ATGGAGTGTCCTTCTTTTTTTTTTTTTTTTAAATTATGGTAACCCTAGCTCAGGGCATAGCTGGGGATTATTCCTAGGAGAGAGACCCCGGTGCCCACTCACCAGCTCTCCACTCCCTACAGGGATCAGGAGTGCAGACCGCGCGGAGCTCATGCGTGTGGCCTCCACTCCCACAGAGGACTACTTCTTCTACGTCGATGACTTTAAGATCCTGGGCACCCTGCTGCCGTTGGTGTCTCAGAGGGTGTGTGCCAGCACCGGAGGGGTCCTGCAGACGGGTAAGGGGCGTGTTGCAGCTAGCGCTCTCGGCCTCCCGCTGCGATGGCTCAGCCCTGGACGTGCTTTGGAATGCTGTGTTTGATCTCCTGTTTGCAGTACCCGTCTAACCCATGAGACAATTACAGCCGAGGGATTTTAGCCATCTCCCCACTGGGACAATTTGGGCCCTGTCTGCACCTGGCTCTGCCTGGCAAGATACTTCTCTTTCTGAGTCTCAGGCACTGGCTGTCACAGCTGTTTCTGGTGCTGCAGTGGAAGGTTTAAATTCCACCTTCCCCTGTGTTCCTGGAGACGAGCCTGGAAGAGCCTCTCGCTGTCTAGGGCTCAGAGCCAGTGTCACGCTGCAGCACTGTTTTGTGGTGATGGGACACTGACTGGGGCCCTGTGTCGGTTCACTTTGGCCCCACAGGTGCTGCCCTGCCCAGTTGTTTCCCCTCTACCCAGAAAGTTTGAGTGAGAACGTTTTAATGATTCTCTTCTGATAACATTCTTTGGTGTGGCAGAGGCCATCCGTCCCCGAGCGGGCTCCCTGCCTTGGGCAGCTGGGAGTTAGAGTATGCGCCGCGGCTCTGTGCGTGTCAACCCTGGGGAAGGTGTGGTGCCAGCAGGGTGCCTGACTGCTGCTTCCCTTCCCCTAAGGTCCACGGGTGTACAGTGGCCCATCCAACCTGGTCTTCGTGGAGCAGGCGGTCGACATGCTGAGGATCCGCTGGACTGCAGCGGGTGGCCCGGTCACAGGCTACAAAGTCCAGTACGTGCCGCTCACGGGCTTGGGGCAGCAAGTGACAGCAGAGATGCAAGAGGTGAGTGCTTCCCTTGCCAGCTATAGTCTGGAGATCCGCCTGCTGGCAGGCTCAGCAGAGAGGCCAGTGGGACGGAGCTGTCCTCCTTGCTGGGAAAGGGGGGCTTCTCTGGCTGAGGCACACTGGGAAGGGTGTGCGTGCAGCCTGCAGCCTGCCCTGTGGGTGAATGGAGCCTGTTGGCTTCTTGTGGTGGCAGCTCTGATCCCTGCTCCAGCACCAAACCCCTTAGGGAAGTGAATGTTGCAAAATCCCATCTGGCGCCCACCCGCTCCATGGGGCCTGGCTCAGTGGGCCGTGCCATCTGGACAGCAGGAGGAGGCTGGCAAGCAGGCAGGATGTTCAGTCTCTCTGGCTGAAGAGGGGAATGCCTTTGAACAGGTCAGCCTGAGTCCCAGGGAGACGAGCGCCGTGCTGAGCCAGCTGAGAGGAGGAACGGATTATCTGGTCACCGTCATCGCCCAGTATGCCAACAGCATTGGCGAGTCGGTCTCTGGCAAAGGACGCACTGGTGAGTAACCCGCCCAGCTCCCCATCCATGCAGCGTGTTTTCCCCTGCCCCCATGCCCTGTCCACCTGCCCAGATGCAGGAGCCAGCTTGCACTCCCAGGCTCCCCGGTGCCCTCCGAGCCAGGGGGATTCCTGATGGAAGAGCCTGGTGAGCTTGAAGTCCAGCCTGGGGCTAGAAAGGTTAGCTACCATGTCCACGCACCATTGTCTGAGGATGGGCCCCATTACAGGGGTAGGGCCTGGTTTCTCAGGGCAGTGGCTGGAGAATGGGCTGGCTGCGAGCCCACCCAAGGATGGGACAGGGCTGCTGGACCCGCTTCCGGCTCAGTTTGGGGTGAGTGGGACTCCTCATGCCTGTGACCGTGGCAGACTTCCCATGGGAATGGGTGACTCCCTGTGGCCCCACCATGTGCTCACTCCATCATTGCCGCCATCTTGGATTCTGTGGCTGGGATCGCTAGGGTGTGAGTGCCGCTGCCAAGCCAGGCACCGGGCTCTCGTGCTGATGGTTTTTGGTGGGTCCCACAATAATGTTAGCTCTGGGCGTTGGTGGGCTTGGCAGGGGAGAGAGGAACAATGGGGAGTCTTTGAGTCAATGTTTAGAATCCCCAGGACGCTGCCCAGTGGAGTGTAACAGTCTTAGGGCTGCTCCGCCACATACTGGGTCTTGGCCCCAGACTGGCTAATGACTGCCCCTGCCCCCTCCCGCATCGCCCCAGGGCAGCTTGCTTTCCTCCTGGCACCAAGGCACCTCTTGACCCTGCCCAAAGGGCTGGGTGCTCTCTGGGGCAGGAGTGTGTGAGGGTGATGGCCTTGCCCCCATTCTCTTTCAGGGGCCCTATCTGGAGTGTCGAATTTCCGAGTGGTGGAGGCTGGGCCGTCCTTCCTCAGACTGGCCTGGGGAGCTGCTTTGGAGAACTTGCAGGGCTACCGGCTCACCTACGTGGCCCGAGGTGAGGGCGGAGTGCGGGCGATTGGGCCGGGGAGGCGCCGCCTCTCCTGTGGCTCTGCAATGTGGGAACGTCTCCCTGGGCTGTGTTCTCTTCCACAGGAGATCTGCCAGCCAGCCTGGCTCCAGACCCTCGTCCCTCATGTGTAGGGTGTGGAGCCTGGATCCATTCCAGGAGGGCAGGGGAATCCAAGCCTGGGCAGGCCTTTCTCCACTGCCCTAGGACTCAGCTGGGTGGGAGGGTTGGAGGAGAAGCAGCTAGCATGGATCTCTGCTCTCTTCGCTCTTTGGCTGCATGACCTCCTTTCCCCCCACCCTCAGTCTGTCCAGCAACTTTATTCGCTACAAACCCCAAGAAGCAGACAGACGTGTGGACTCCCTCCGAGGCAGGCAGACACAGAGCCTGTTGAATGGCCTCTTGCTCCCTTGGGAGGCTGTGCTGTGCTGGGGTCAGTGCAGGGCAGCCGCTGTGCCCGAAGGGGGTGGGCGGTGTCACCAGGATCTCTGTGATACAGTGTGTGGCATTCATGTGCCAGAGTGATGTCCAGGCACCCCGTAGGTGAGAGAGGGTTCCTGCCCCAGCTCCCCTCTTGCTGCAGCTGTATGTGTTGTGGGGGGAATGTGTGGGCCCAGCGTGTACGTGTGTGGGGCGGTTTGGAAGGGGGTTGGGTGTGTGGGTGCTGGGGTGTGGGTGTACAGGACTGGTTTGTGTGTACGGGAGGAGATCAGTGCATGTGCTGAGGGTGTACGTGTGGAGGTATGTACATAGCGGTGCAGTGTGTGCTCAGAAGAGGTTCTCTGTGTGTGTGTGTATGTACAGGGGCTCTCTGTCCATGCTGGGGTTCGGGCAGGGGTGAAGCTGATTTCAACCACCCCCCTCCTCCGCCCCCCCCCCCGTGCTGTTTTCTGTAGGAAGCTGCACCTGGAGCTGCCCACCCCAGCCTGCAGCCATCCCAGTGCATGTGGCCCTGGCAGCACTCCCAGCGTGCCTCGCCCTGCATGCTGCCACGCCCGGCTACCACGGCCGTGCATCTCCCCATCAGAGAATGCTGGCCCTGAAGGCACAAAAACACCACTGAGCTCATCAGAACCACCCGTGTGCCCTGCCCAGACCAAGTGCCTGGCTGAGGGGGCCAGCTTAGAACTGAGTGTGGAGCTTTCCTTCCCATCTTCCCCTCCTTTCATGGCATCTGCAAGCCCGGGGTGCCAGGACTTGCCTACAGCTCCCTGCCAGGGAGTGCAAGCAGGGCCCTTGCTCCCTTTGCCCAGCCCTGCCTGGTTGGCTTGAGCCCCTGATCTTTTTTTAGCTTCTTGCACTGGCTGAGCCCTGCTACTGGGAATGGGGGCACAGAGCTGGGCTGAGCGCACGTAGCATGGCTGCTAGCCATGTGCTTGCACATGTGGGAGGGCAAGTGTGTTCTGTGCTGCATGTACCTGGGGCTCCCCCTCGCCACCCCACCTGGGCACCAGAGTGTTCCAGTCCTGTCTGAAGCCCCACACAGCTTGTGTTCTGCAGCTTGCCCAAGGCCAAGGGTGGTGTCCTGCAGTGCCAGAGCCCCCTGCCTTCCAATGGATAGTCCCCCCACCAGGTGCTGGGCCCCACTCATGCGTCGCTGTCTGTGCCCATCCCAGGTGAAGCTCAAGCGGAGGAGATGAGCCTGGGAGCCAACGCCGTGTCCGTCACACTCCGCAACCTGCGCCCCAACACTGACTACGTGGTCACGCTTCAGCCTATCTCCCAGCGGCAGACGGCAGCACCGGCCCAGCTAACCGGCCGAACCCGTAAGTACCATCTGCTCAGACAGCCAGAGCCTGGGGCTGCACAGAAGGCATCTGACTGGGTTTTCTTCCTGCCCAAAATGACTTTTTTTTTCTTTTTAAAAAGGTGTGCTTTTCTGAAGAGTTTTGTGGTGTATTTATATTTTGAGATTACTAGTGAAGGAACTGTGCTTATTTAGGGGCAGAGTTAAGGTTATTGTTCTTGTCTCTTATGTGAGCTGGCAGTGCAGTAGGGGGGGCTGGGCTGGGCTGGACTCTGCAGTATCCTTTGGCTGCCTTGCGGGTTGCGTGAAGGCCGATCTCTCTGGGTCTCACATTTGTGCCATGGTTGTGTTTTGTTTGATTCCCTCTCCCTCCAGTGCGTTTGGAAGGGGTGCAGCAGCTGTCAGTTCAGAACATCTCCCAGCAGAGCATGCTGGTGACCTGGCGGGGTGTGAGTGGAGCTACTGGATACCGGGTGTCCTGGGGGCTCCCCTCAGGTAGGTCTGCCTGACTCACTACAGCTCTCTCCCCTTCCCAAAAACCAGTGGCAGGGTGCTGTAGACTGAACGATGGACGCGGTTCCCCAGACCTCCTGGCTGGATGGTGGGGGCCCCAGCGTGCTGAGCTGTGGTGCAGGCTCTAAGGAATGGGGTGGGGGGGGGGACTGGCATGCCTTCCAGCAGAGCAGATACACCCCTCCCATGGGACAGGACTCTTCTGCAGTCAGGTGCATTATGGGGCAGAGGGTCCCAAACCGTGTTCTCTGGAGCACCTGCTGCTGAAGTGTGGAGAGACTGGAGCTTCCACAGTGGCTGGAGGACAGGCAAGTGAGGCAGCATGCTGAGGGGAGAAGGGGACCAAGGGGCTGGGCAAGAAGCCCAAGACAGAAGGGAACCAAGTGGCAGACAAGCACGTACAGGGGCAGAAGAGGAGGGCAGGTGGCCGAGCTGCTTGAGCAGTTGGGGGTGAGAGGAAAGTTGTGGGGGGAGGGGTGGAATGAGCAAAGGGGGCCGGGGCGATAAACTTGTATCAAGAGGATCTTTATGACACTGAAGGCAATTCAGATCCATACCTGCTCTCCTGCTGGGCCTTGTGCCAGTCCCAGGTGCTGCGAGGCCCTGTTCTGCTGGTACTGGGGATCTCTCCTTCTGCCCCTGAGACACATGGAGAATCAGGCCCAGTCACACCAGACTGAAAGGTGTCCGTGTGTTCCTGGAAATAACCTCTCCAAGCACTTTGGGGTTTGCGCAGCTTCTCGGCCGGGTCAGCCGTGTCGTCTGTACAGAGCCCATAGGTGCCGACTTCATGGGTGCTCCAGGGCTGGAGCACCCATGGGGAAAAATTGGTGGGTGCTGAGCACCCACCAGCAGCTCCCCGTGTCCCCAACCCCATGCTCCAGCTTGCCTCCGCCTCCTCCGCGAGTGCGCCGCCGCATCCTGCTTTTCCCCCCTCCCTCCCAGCGCTTGCGTCGCCAAACAGCTGATTCGCTCAAGCCTGGGAGGGAGCGGGGAGGAGGAGGAATGCGGCGCGCTGGGGGAAGAGGTGGGGCTAGGGTGGGGATTTGGGGAGGGATCCAATGGGGCAGGGAGGGGCGGAGTCAGGGTGGGGCTGGGGGGCGGGGATTTGGGGAGGGATCCAATGGGGCAGGGAGGGGGCGGAGCTGGGGGGGGCGCAAGCACTCACCGGTGCCAACCTAAAAGTTGGCACCCGTGACAGAGCCGATTGCTGAATCCCTCCAGGAAGGCCCACGCATCTGGGTCACAGGTGCAGGGCCCAGGCCTGCAAACCTCTGGGCATAGAACTGTGGGAGTCCTGCTTGTGGAGGATGGGTAGGATCAGGCCCTGTATGTTAGTCACCTGTGTCTGAAATAGGGTGGGGGGAGCTCTCTTGTTCAATCATCCCCCAGCTTCTCTATTAACAGGAACAATTTTTACTGACAAAGCCACATGTGGCTGGGTGTGGAAGTGGTGTCAGGATATCTGCTGGCCTTTGGCAGCCCAGAATCCAAATCCTGATGAGATGGGCCTGGGGTGTGGCCTGGTGTATGGGGGGAGGCTGGATGCCAGACTGGACTTGATCTACTGTGTCGTGGAGGCAGGGATACTGGATTAGCAGCTCAGCTCTGGCCCTGTGCAATCAGGAGATGGGATAGCAAACTGGAATGGCGGTTGGTCTGGTCTGATGTGGAGACCCTGGTGTTGCATGGGGCTCTCATTTGAACAGACGGCCTGGAATTGTGCCTTAAGCCTTTTTGCTCTGGATTATCTCAGGCCAGGACATTCGGAAATTTGATGTGGATGCCAGCAAGAATTCCTACCTGCTGACAGGGCTGCAGCCAGACACGGATTACCTGCTGATGGTTACTTCACTCTACGGGCAAGTGGAGGGGCCCCCAGCCTCCATTAGGAGAAGAACAGGTGTGTGCATGGCCATGGGAGAGGCTTCCCACTGCTGAGGGGTGGGGGTCAGGGTCTGTGCCAAGAAGCTGGTCTCTCTTTGGGATCGCTTCCTGGCTCTTTGAGCTGTGGTCAAGTGAAAAATTCTCTAATTTGTACTATGGTAGCACCCAGAGGCCCCAGACAGAGCTCCATGGTGCCAAGCCCTGCATAGATTGTGACACTCCCCAGGAGCGAGGCACCTCACCACCACCTGTCCTTAGCATGAGGCGGTCACGTCTGTGCGTGCTGTGGATCAGCTCCCGGCAGCCACTGGCAGCCCAAGCACTGCCGTCCAGATCCCCCCAGGCCTTGCTCTCTGTACAGCTAGCAATCGGTGCACGCGAATCCCTGAATCCTCAGAGCATGCAGTGCAACGTGTAGCCCCTGATCCACAGGCCACTCCTAGAATTACCAAGCCTGCTGTTCCCAAAGGAACTGCATGCACCAGCTTGTCAGGAGCAGCACTTGGCTTAACACACAGCACCGAGATATATTGATAGTGAAAACTAGACTAGGTTTATTATCAAAGAACAGAGATTCCTGTGATAGTGAGTAAGGGTATCGGAAAGAAATGGTTACATACAAAACAAAATCATCACCAGCTTTCTAGATAACTTCATTAACAAGGATAACTTCTCCTCCTGTCTGAAGAAGCAGATCTCACCCAACGTGCTTACCAGTGTTTTCAGCCAAGCCTGATGGAGACCCCTCTTTCATGAAGTAATCTCTCAGTCCGTTTGCTTCCTAGGTGAAGGATGCCAGGGTGTCTTCTTTGCCCCCAAATATATTAGAGCAAATCTTTGATGTGCACTTCAAGTATTGTTCTCCCTGCCCACTGTTTGCTTCTTCCTATTACTTTTTCCTCTCTGAAGCCTTTGCAAAACTTTGTTAGCGTTCAATTCAGCCTGCTGAGAGGAGACCCATTGTGAAGCAGACAATACTTCATTTCCATGTAAGCAGCCAGATAGAGAAACATTTCTTGACTGGCAGAAAACCTGTTTTTCACCTTTGCTGGTGACCAGTCCCCTAGACTTTACCTAGAAAACATAATTTTCAGTGTATGTACATAACTCCTTATGAAACCTCTGTACATGCGTTTCCCGATACTGATGATGAGTCTTTTGTTTGTGACCTTGCACGGCACTCTTTGGTGAACTAGAACATACGTACCAGGTCCAGGAGATCCCAATAAGCCCTGTGCACTCCCTCTGTGCTCCTCGCCAGTTGGCAAGAAGAGATTCTTGTGTCACAGATGAACACCCATGCACATGTAATGAAGAGAGAGGTCAAGCCCCCAAGAGCTTACGCTCTGAGTATGTCCAGAGGGCCGATAGGACAAACAGCTGGGGCAGCACAAAGTACTAGCAATGCACGTGGCCCCAGGCTTGGCTGGTGTCCCTCTCATGGGAGAGTGATGCACAGGGGGACACAGCAGCTCTGCATCCTGGTCTGGTTGGGGAGGGGAGGGTATTGATATGGTACTGAAGGGATCCTGGCTGAGAGCGCTTTGTAATGTCCAGAAAGCGGGATGAGGTGGCACCTACAGTAGAGTGGGGAGGAGGCTGGGGCTGCTCCTGCAGAAACAGTCCTGACAGTCCCCTGCTGGTTGCCCCCAGCAGTACCATCTCTGGTGCCCTTGGCTGGGTCTCCAGGGGTTTAATGCCATTCTCCAGGCCAGGGCACAGTAGCCTTTCCTTTCCCACAGGTCCCTGGGGAGGGAGGCCCCTATTGTAAAGGGGGGCTCAGCCCTGGGGGTGTCCCCATGGCACAGACATTTCTGGAGACGTTCAAAAGCAGAGGGAGATGAGGAGTTAATGTTGCCATGTCTTTTTCTGGATGGGAGCGTCAGTTGTTCCAGGCCTGGCCCGGGGCTGCTCTGTCTGGTGCCCCACCATGGTGTAGGCAGGAGGAAGAAGGAGCCCTCTGTAGGGGGCTCAAGGGAGCCCTGCTGGGGCTCCTGGGCCTTTCCGGGCCTTTCCAGGCCATTGGGCTCGCGAGCCAAGAATGGTACTACTGATATTGGATACAGGCCATTTTTGTTTGATTCAAGCTCATGAAAGGCCCAGAGAGGCGGAGAAACCCAGGGGCAGAGATGCTAGGAGTGGGGAGATCACAGCACGAGGGGATGGGGGGGAGCAGAAAGTGGCTAGCCCAGGGGAAAGGGTCACCACTACCCACCCAGACAGGACACCAGCATGCATGTGCCAATGTCAGCCCCTGTGCGGCCTGCGGGAGGGAGTGGAGTGGCCGTCTCCCCAGCCCTGCTGTTCCTCCCTTCTCATCCCCTCTCTTGGCCTAGTGGCTCTCTCGCCAGTGCAGCCCCCGGCTTGCCAGCCCTGCAGACTGAATCCCTACCCAGAGCAGGCCCCGCCGAGGCAGTGCCAGAGCTGGCTTCCTCCACGAGCTGCCAGGGAAGGACCCTCCATTGGGAGAGGGTATGCAGCTGTGGTGTGGGCACTGGACTGAGGCCCACCACCTCACTTCCCAGAGGGCTTCTCTGGCGGGAGCCCAGCTATTGGCTCAGCTTGGGAGATGGATTTGGAAGCCTAAGTGTTTCCCTTTGGTGGGCTCCAGGCTCTGTCAAGAGCCTTCATGCTGCTGAGCTCAACCTGACCATCTGTCTGTCCTTCCTCTAGAAACCGGCATAGTCCAGTCCCTGAGGACCGTCATTCTGGGCCCAACATCCATCCAGGTGGCCTGGAACATCATCCGCGATGCCCGTGGCTACCGGCTGGAGTGGAGAAGAGCAACAGGTAGGCTGGCCAGGTCCCCAGGGCAGGGGGTGGGGAAGGCTACTGGAGAGGCTGAAATGCCGTGTCTGGTCGGGGTAGGGTGATAGAGCCTCACCCTTGATCTCCTCAGGCTCACCTGGGCTCCAGGTCTGGCTCACAGACCGGCCAAGCAGTTCAGGGGGATCCAGATGCTGGTGCCGGGGTCTCTGGGAGGACTAAGGGGAGGGGAGGTGCTGAGATTCGGGGCTGGGAAGCAGCAAGTGACTGCCTCATCCCTCCCCACCCCATTCTGGTTCTCAGGTGCTGAGCCCCCACAGACTGTGTCCCTGCCCACCAACATCAACAGCTACCAGCTCACCGGCCTGCAGCCAGCCACGGAATATCGCATCACCCTCTACACACTGTACGATGGGAGGGAGGTGGCCACACCTGTAACCATCTCCCAGACAGGTGAGTGAAAGCCTCTGGGGCCCGCATGGGTGGAGTGGGCAGAGGAGAGGGATCCCAGAGCCTGGAGGTGCCCAGTGCACAATGCAAGTGGCTCTATGACATCCTACCAGCCTTTTTTGGGGGTGGGTGGCCCTCCAAGTGAGTGACGTCCCCAGCACAGGGCCCCTGCTCTGCTCCCAAATCACCCTGCTAGGCTCTGGCCTGGCAGCATGGGTGGGGTCATTGCTGAATGCTGGGCCCCCTGCCAGGCCCAGACTGTGTGGGGCTGACCAACCTGCCCCCTTCCCTGGAGCTCCTTGACTGTAGGTTTTTAAAGGTAGCAACTTGGGTGCTGGGCAAACCGTGATCAAACCGATCCCTGCCCTGCCCTTTCCCCTGCACTGGAGCCTCTGTCCAGGCAGCAGCGGGGGTGCCAGGAACCCCATGGACTGGGCGAGGGCAGGATCTCCTGGCCCTGCCAGGCCTGTTCTGACTGTGCCATAGGTCTGTGGTGCCCTGCCCTCTCCTTCCAGTGTTGCATGGTGTCCCAGGCTCTGCCTGCCCAGCTCCGAGCCATAGGCCTAGCGCTGTCTTGTCTTGCAGGAGTTGAGCCCCCAGTGGGCCGCATTTCTGACCTGCGGGTCATTGATACCGTGGGGAAGAGGATCCGGCTGGCCTGGACTGGGGTCCCGGGTGCCACTGCATACAAGATTGTGCTGCACAACTCCCAGGGTGAGTCTCCAGCGGGGAGCCAGCGCTTGGGGGCCTCAGGGGAGTTGTGGCTGCGGACTGGAGCTCCAGACCCACCCAGAGCTGACTCTCTGGAGTGCCACCTGCCTCCTGACTGGCATCTGAGGCCCAGTGGTGGGGGGACTGGGACAGGCCAAAGCCCTGGAGAACTCACCGTGGTGTCTAGATCCCCAATGGAGGCTAACTGCAGTCATGGGAATGACCCCCGCACACACAGTTAGAGATCCACCCCACATCAGTGCTTCTGCAAAGCAGCCCTTCAGTTCTCCATCTCCTGATCCTGCTGAGAGGACGGGTGGGGGCTTGTTCACTGTTTAGTTGGCTGGCACTAGCCCTGTGCTGAGTGCTTGGGGGCAGCTGGCTGAGATTCTGAGGTAGATGCTAAATCTGAGACCGCAGGTTTTGATGGCATTAAGTCTGTGAGTGACTAAAGCCCACAGTGCCGTGCCCCCTGGCTGCCCCACTTTCTCCTCTGTGCTGTGATTTGGATATTCACTGCAGTGCATTCTGCGCTGTCCCTCTTTGTGTGCTGCACAGCCTTGTGTTGAAGCTGCACTGAAGCTGTGATGGGGAAGCTGGGTATTGGGGAATTGCAGGAGGCAGCTTGGATTAGTGGCATAAACCCGTTAGCTGGATACTTTTGCCAAAATGGGCAGCACTGAAATAGTTAAGATTTAGCATTTACGCTGTAATCATTAGGTTCCAGAGTCAACATTCCATGCTCATGTGAATAGAGCAGTTCCCACCTCTGAGATATTGTTTCAGGCTGCTGGCAGACTCAGGCAGGCACTGCTGTGTCTTGTACACTGGGGTCACATTTTGAAGGTTTGCCTTGCACTTGTCAGGCCATAGCTGAATTGTGTGACACAGAACTGATGCCACGAACTGGGGAGCACGTGTTCACAAACTCATGCTCAGTAGTGGGGGGGGGGGGGTTCCCAGTTCCCAGTCCAGCAGCTCCAGCTGCTCTAGCCACCCCAGGCTTGGCATTCCTCCAGAGCACAGTGGCCACCCTCTGCTGGGTGATCTGAAATAGCATGTGTGCTTCCAGGTCCCCCCGGCCATGCAAGTGGGCTCTGAGGGAAGTGCGCTCACCCTGCCCATCGGACCAGACATGCGCATGTGGTGGGGAAGGAGTGGTACCTGCTCTCCCTCCGCTCTCCAGCCCTGTCAGCTCCCCAGGCAAGAGATCTGTGCCCAAAGGCCGAGGAGGCAGCTGGGGTCAGCGTGGCTTGGCCTGTGGGTGGGGGTGCAGTGCTTTGTACCTGGGTCTGAAGGTAGCAGGGATGTCACATCAGCTATGTCAGAGTCCCTTGTGACATCAGAGCTGGAGGGAGCCCTGAGCCTCTTCATTCCTGTCACCCCTGCAGATGGCAGTGACAAGACCAGGCAGATCCCAGGCACCCAGACCACGCTGGAGCTCGAGGACCTGAGAGAGGAGGTCACCTATGTAGTGCGTGTGTCAGCCCTGATTGGCAGGCGCGAGGGCAGCGCTGTCTCCATCAATGTCCGCATTGGTGAGTGCCAGCTAGCCCCGGTGGGTGGGTGGGAGCTGAGATTGGCCTGCGTCAGCCCCACAGAGGATAGGCTGGACTCAGTGTTGTCCTCTCGTGGAGATGGTCCCAGGCACAGTCAGATGGGATTTCTTCCCAGCAACCCCGGGAGCTCTGACTGGGGCATGGGTGGGAGATGGGTTCTTGTCACTTCACACAGGGGTCAGTCCCTCTTTTCCTAGCTCCTTTCCCATGTTCCCTCTCCCAGCAGCAGGCTCAACTGGCATTCAGCACAGCTGGCAGTGTCTCTCTAGAACAGACACCCAGGGGTGCCCATGAGCCCTGAACACTGCACCCAGCCCCACTCTACGAGCCGTGCATGCTATGTCTAGTATTACCCCCACTCCGGGGGCCTGGTCGCTGCACCTTTCCCCTGGGGTAGTCATGTCTGCTCCCCCAGCAGGCTTTGGGCCAGGCCCCTTGGGCTCGCTCTGTCTGACTGGGGGGTTCCCTTGTGTCTCTATGGCAGAGCCCTCGGTGAGCAGCGTGTCCAACCTGCAAGTGGTGCCCGTGGGCGTGGGCCGTGTGCGGCTTCTGTGGAGTGCCATACCCAGGGCCACTGAGTACAAGCTGGTGATCACCAACAGGCAGGGTAAGCGCTGGCCTGCAGAGCGTGGGCATGGGCATTGGATAGGCTGTGGTAAGGGGGCCATGCCTGCTGGTACCCATTTCTCTGCCTGGCAGAGCTCTGCCGTGCAGGGGTGTCTGCTGAGGCACATGGAGGGATGTCAGTGGAACGTGGATAAAAGGTGGGCAGAATGGGGGGCTGTGATGGGGCAGGGCAGAGGGCCTGGGTCCTGTGGGGGGAACAGGGTGGAGGGCTCGGCTCTTGTGGTGGGGAGGGGGGGCTGGGTCCCATGGGGGGCAGTGGGATGGAGGGGCTGGGTCCTGTGGGGTGCTGCAGGGTGGGGCTCATGTGCAGCTGTGACTGAGCAGGGCGGAGGGGCAAGGGCCTGTGGGAGGCAAGGCAGAGCCTGTAGGCAGCTGTGACTGGGCAGGCGGAGGGGTTGGGAGTTATGAGGGGAGCAGGACATGGCTGTGGGGTGGCTGTGACAGGGGCTTTTGTGCTGGGCGAGCCTGGCATGCACCAGTACATTAGGGCCTTCTCCCCTGGGAGCGTCGGAGTGTCTGAGAGCCCTTCCCCCCAGCCGCCCTGTGTCACAGTAGCCATGCTGTGGGAGCCTCGCTCCCTGCTGGGGCACAGAGGCCAACTCCCCTGTACTCTCCCTTGCTGCAGATGGCTCAGAGGAGACCAGTCGCGTCCCCGGCAACCGGAATTTCTTTGAGCTGCAAGATTTGAAGGAGGGAGTCACATACCTGGTGCAGGTGACAACCCTGATGGGCAGCCAGGAAAGTGACCCTGCCACTATCACTGTCCAGCTGGGTACGTCTGCGTGGGGACCCGTGCAGGGGCACGGCTAGCCCTTGGGGGGCAACAAGCTGGCTCAGCACTTGGGCTGAACGGTCCAGCTCTTCCAGCAAGCCTGCGGGGCTGGGTGTTACCACTGCAGGGCGTCTGGCTCTCCCAGTGAAGGCTCTGGGTATGCAGCCCTTGGTTAGCACCAGCATCTGTTCCTGCCCTCTGGCTGGGCTGATTGCGGGGACCGGGCATGACAGACGAGTCTCTGGGGTCTGGACTGACGCTGTCTCCGGCCCTGCAGATCCCCTGTCTGTGGGCAGCGTCACCAACCTGCGGGTGGCTGAGATGAGACCCAACCAGCTGAGGGTCGCATGGAGTGGGCTTCCTGGGGCGACTGGCTACAAGTTGACGTGGCAGGCGAGTGATGGTAGGTGTACTGAATGTGTGTGCGCTCAGGTGGGCCATTGAGGTGAGACTATCCAGACTGGCTCCTTGCCTTGGGGGATGCCCCCATTACCCATCTGCCTCTGCTAGGAGGCACCCAACTGCAGCATGGTCTAGTGGTTAGAGCAGGGGACTGGTGTCTGTGCCTGGCTTCTTGCTTAGAGCCGGTGACAGGATCCCCTTTGCTCACTGGCAGCCCACAGCTTGCAGTGTCTTTGGCCTGGGGTACGTTGCTGCCCCAACCTATTCTAGGCCCAGCTGGGCTGGCTGTGCCGTAGCTGGGAATAAGTTGCAGCCTCACAGAGCAGATCCTGCTGCCGGAGGTTTGCAGGCCAGTGCCAGCTGCAGGCAGGGTGGGGCTTGGTTTGGCCATTCCATGCTCAATGGCCTGTGCTTGGCTAACCCATCATTCACTGTTTGAGGAGACCCCGTCCCCCTACTCCCTGGGGAGAGCACAGACTGGAATCCTGGCCCCTGCTGTTCCCAGATTGGTGGGTCACATCCAAATGGCAGCTGCTGTTGCCATTCCCTCCCCGCTGGATGGGGTGCGGCCATGACATGCTGGCCGTGGTCCTCCCTGGTTGTCACAGCATCTTGGCCTGGGGTGTCCCTCCCGCAGCAGCTTAGCCCGCCCCCGCCCCCATCCTCCCAGACCTGCCCTGCCTATGAAATCCAACCCCTGCAACTTGTGCTTCTCTTACCCAGGCCAGGCGATCTCCCGGGTCCTGCCAGCCGACAGGACCTCCTTCAGCATCGAGGAGCTGCAGGCCGGGGCCATCTATGTTATTGGGGTCTCGGCCCTGGTTGGCAGCAGGGAAGGCAGCCCCATCACCATCACGGCTAGAACAGGTGAGGCCTCGCCTGGCCCCAGGGTGCAACTCCTCCCTGCCCCTTGTGGCTCTGTGCGATACTGATCTCTTAGTAACCCAGGCGTCCTGTCTGCCCTCTGTCACAGCTCCGGAGCAGGTGGGGACAGTCTCCAGCCTCAAGGTCCTCTCGTCCAGAAGCAACGTTGTCCGGGTCACCTGGGTTGGAGTGCCTGGGGCAACAGCCTACAAGGTGGTGTGGAGCCGGCGAGACGGTAATGTACCCAGCCAGGCCAACACACTGCCTGTGGTGCCCACGTCCCCAAATCTCTGACCAGCTGTTCTGGCTTTGCCCATGGTTGCCCTGGCCTGCAGATCCCATCACTCCACTCCTCTTGCGCTCGAAGGACAGAGGGCCTTTGCCTCCAGCCCTGGAGTCTCCTCTCTGCCATTATCTGACTGGCACAAACCTTGGAGCTGGGCATTATGAGATGAATCTCTCCGTCCCCTGATGAGACGGGATCACTCACCATCACCAGCTAGTGGAGGGCCTGGCGCTGCCTCCCTCTCCCTCCCCCGCTCCGGGCACCAGGAACGAGGCTGGCATCTCTGCCGGCTCTGCCCCTTCCGGGCACCATGTTAACCCTCTGTTCCTTTGCAGGGGGCTCCGAGTCGAGCAAGATGGTTTCTGGTGACACCAGCTCCTTTGACATTCTCAACCTGGAGGGTGGAGTCAGCTACACCGTGAAGGTCACAGCACTGATTGGCAACCGCGAGGGTGACCCTGTCTCCATCGTTGTCACCACACGTAGGTGCTGATGCCTGGCCATGGGAGGCCTGCATCCCTGCTGGGCCTAGACTGGGCTGTGGGTGGAGTTGGTGACTGCCATTGTCCAGGGTGCCCTGGGCCTGGGTAGTGCCCTCCCAGTGGGGTGTGTGCAGGGAACTGGAACTCCCATCTGCTCCTTGCTCTAAGATCTGTGGCCTGAGCTGGTGGGCAGTGCCAGTAGGAGCTGGAGGTGGCGATGCCTGTGCCAGGGAATTAGCAGCAAGTCTGCCCCGACAACAGTCACCCACGCAGCCCAGAGAGCTCTTCCCAGGCCTCATGGCACAGCTCCGGCCCCGCCAGGACCTGTCCGAACCCTGACAGGAAGCTGAGGAACCCAGCCCAGTGCTCCCCAGCCTGCCCATGTGGGCCGGGACTCCCAGTGGGGAGCCTCTCTGCGCACCCAGCCTGGCAGCTGCAGCAAGGACTCTCCTCCCCTGACCCCATCCCTCTGTGTTGCTGATCCCCAGCGGCAGAGGTGGCCCCCCAGCCTGTGGGGAACCTGCGGGTGATTGACTCCTCGGACCAGCGCATTCGCCTCACCTGGAGCCCAGCGCCAGGCAGCACCGGATACCGCCTGAGCTGGAGGCCAGCAGATGGTGAGCTCCTTCCCCTCCTCCCTCACATCTCTCCTGGCACGCCCTGCCCCATTTAACCCGTCTCTCCCCTGGGACAGGGGGGCCGGAGAGGAGCCAGCTGCTCGCCCCCAACGTCAACTCCTACGACATCGAAGGCCTGGAGGTGGGAGAGCGCTACGAGATCTGGATCACCAGCCTGGTGGGCAGCCAGGAGAGCGAGACAGTGGGCATCGCTGCCAACACTGGTACGGGTGACCCTCTTGCAGGCCGGCTCTGTCCTTCCCAGCCCAGGGTCTGAGGACCTGGAAGGAAACCTCCGACCATGGCTGTTCGCTGGCATGTCATCAGGGAGCGGGATGGGACAGGTTTTGCCCTCTCTGGAGTCTGAGCCAACCTAGCAGGCTTAGAAGCCGGCTCTCTTAAGGGGAACCCAATTCTGCTCCCTAGAGACCCTGTCTGGCTGAGCCGTGTCTGGAGCCAGGGGGCCACCCTGTGGCGAAATGCAGAACTGTGCTTCCCCGACCCCTTCTCCCTTGCCTGGTGGGCGGAGTTTGCTCCCCGCGCCCCCACCATCTGTTGGTGAGGGTTGGGGTGGCACCAGGCCCTTGGGCTGGAGTGGGAGGCGCACTCTACACCCTATTCTTTCCTGCCCTTCCAGCACCGCTGGGCCGAGTCACCAATTTCCGGGTGACGGAGACCCGAGACAATTCTGTGACCTTGGCCTGGACTCCGGCTCCCAGAGCCACCGGCTACCTCCTCACCTGGAAGCTGCCCAGAGGTAACGAATAGCTTTCCAGCACAGCTGCCTCTGGAGCTGCGGCGCTACAGCAGGGACCACTAGAGCCTGCATGGAGCTGTGCCCCATGGCTGCCTGAAGAGATAGGAACCCCGCTTCCATGCTGGGCCACAGCTAGCTCCCAGCTCTGGGACCCCCTCGCTTGCCCAGAACCGGCTCTGCAGAAGTCCTGGCTAAGGCTGTGCAAAGTCCTAGAGGAAACCCAGGCTCGGGGCTAGCTCACTGAAGTGAGATTGGGGCTCAGCCCTCCCTTAATGGGCAGGAGCCCAACTCCCCCAGCTGGCAGCCTGCTCCAGACAGGCCAGGTCACTGCTGGGAATGGGGACCTGCCAGGGGGTCGTTCTGGGGCAGGGTGGATGGGGTGGAGCTGAGCTCAGTCTGGGGCTCTGGAAAGAGGGTCTCTGTTTCTGTTGCTGTGGGATTCTTGACCATCCCCTGTTCAAATACCCCTTCAAAGGGAGAAAGCACTGGGCAGAGAGGTAGGGGGAAGAGGGAGTGGGTAGCAGGGCCCACCTCCCTCGGACCCTGTCTATGCTGAGGTCTCTTGTCCCTGTTCGGGTTAGAGGGAGGCGAGATGCAGAGTACACTGCCTGGGTCAGCAACTTCCCACCAGGTGTCGGGGCTGCGGCTGGGGCACAGATACCTCTTCACCATCCGGCCGCTGTTTGGGAGCGCCAGGGGCGCGGAGTCCACCCTCACCGACCGCACAGGTAAGGGACAGCCTGGATGGCTCCCAGGGCCAGTCCGGCTCCTTTTGGGATGTGGGAGGGGTGGGGACTGGGCTGTGGGGCCTTGCCCCATGGGGGCACTTAGACGTTTGGGGCTCAGCCTAGTTGCTGCTGGGACAGGGGCTCTCGCTAGTCAGCTGGCAGCTCACCTGGAGCCTGACCTCTCTGCTACCGCTTGGTAGGGGCACCGTGTGGGGAAGTTCGTCTGCCACTGCCCAGGCTGGGTCTGTTTGATGGCTGTGGAGGCTTCTCCAGCACCAGCTGCCCCTGATCCTGAGCTGCGGGGCAGCGGATGGGAGCGTGGCCTGCACACAGGGGAGTGGCCCTCCAGAGCAGAGGTGCTGGGAGCAGCTCCTTTGTCAGGCCCACCCCCAGGAGCTAAACTGGGCGGGGCTTTTCTTCCTGTCCCACCACCCCTCAGGGGCTCCCTCATCACCTTCTCCTGTGCAGTTTGCAGGGACGCTCGCGGTGACATCATCTTCCTAGTTCATGGCACGCGGGACAGTGCCTACAGCGCCGAGACCGTCCGTGCCCTGCTCTCCAACACCGTCTCAGCGCTGGGCCAGCTGGGCCCCGATGCCTCCCAGGTACTGGGGGGCAGGGCTGGCCTGGGGGCTGGGCTGGCCTGGGGGCTGGGCTCTGGTTCTCCCCACTGATGCGGGGGGTGAAGGGAAGGAACGTGCACCCTGCACATGTACCCCTTGTTCCTCTACCTGCCCTGGGGGCTGCCTCGGGCCATTTTGTGTCTCCCCTTCCCCTGCCCTTGGGCTGGTCCCACCCCGTCCTGGGACCGCATCATGGCTGTGAGCTCAGTAGCCTGGCTGACCTCTTGCCTTCTTCCCCAGGTGGGCCTAGTGATCTACAGCTACCGCAGCATCCCGTGGGTCCTGCTGAATCACTCCAGTGACCTGGGCGCTGTCCTGGAGCGGATCCGCACCATGCGCTACGAGGAGCCCAGCGGCAATGCCCTGGGTAAGGGGCACTGTGCCTGCAGCCTGAGCTCCCCCAGGGTGCCCCACAGTGCCTGCTATGAGGTGGGAGTGATGCCAGCTTTGGATGCCGTGCTTCTTAGATGCCATGGTGCCAGGGGATAAGGACAGAACACAGTAATGGGGGAGGGGCAGGAAGGGAGGTGGTCCTGTACTCTGAGAGTCCTGTGCAGTGGCGGGTTGGACTCTGCACCCCCAGGCCATGGGAACACCTTCCCAGTTGGCTAAGGTCCCGCTCTAGAGTTAACCTTGAGTGGGGGTGAGTGGTGATGAGGGAGGGGACAGAGGTGGCGGGGCCCTATGGGGGGTGAGATGGGGTTGGCATCAAACCTGCTTTGTAGTGATACCCTTTCTCTCTGCAGGAGCTGCCATCAACTTTGCCAGGACCTACATGCTGAGCCCCAGTTTAGGGCGCCGGCCTGGTGTGCCAGGGGTGCTGGTGGTGCTGGCAGACAGCCCCTCTGGTGACGATGCCATTGGGCCGGCCAGGGAGATCAAGGCAGCAGGTGAGAGCTGGATCCCTGGAGCTGGGATCTGGCGTTTGAGCCAGGTGGAGAGGGTGGGATGGGTGTCGCAGACCCATATGATCGGTGCTACACCCCCAGCTTTGGAACCCCTTCAGCATGCCAGTCCCCCTCCGGGTCTCGTGCTTTCTCCAGGGTAAACCACTCGGCTTCACCACCTCCTTTGACTGGTCCTCAGTACCTGCAGCTTTCCTGTTTCACACTGTTCAGCAAGTCCAGCTGAGACAGACCCCGAGGGAGACTTGCCCGCTCTTGGGGGGGAATCAATGCACCTCGCCGAGCGTTTGCAGTGACACTTCCACAGTCAGGTTAATTCGCTAACTGGAGCAGGGCATAGGAAGGCCTTAGGGTAGTCTAGAGAACTGAAGGTTAAAGCACAGACCATTCTGGTTAGTAGAGCCCAGCCAAGCTGTAGTGACCCCTTGGTTCAAGCTGTGTCTGTCTCCCTCCGTCTGATCTTCTCCATCAGACTCCAGGTGAGAGCCCAGACTCCTTCCAGTAGCTAGCTCTGATCCCCCAGCTCACCCTTTTCCAGTCCTTTGTTCTCGCCCTGGGGAAATGCTGTTCAGCCTCCCTCTGGGTCATTGAGTGCTAAGTGCCAATGTCTGAGCAATTGGATTTGCCATTGTCTTCTCCGATGCTCCATTGATATAGGGCATAAGTCCCAGACAGCTAGGCCTGTCCCGAGCCTGCCCCGAGAGCAAACAGTCCTTTTCCACCCACTAGGTAACAATTCATCATATGGGGGAAACCGAGGCACCAACCAGACTCATACAAGTATTACAAAATGTTCCCACTTTGTCACATCAGGCAATAGTTGGGGGGCTGAGGAAGGAGGAAGAGGGCAGGAGGGTAGGGAAGGCGTGGACAATGGTGGGAAAGGAGGGGTGTGTGGGGGAGGGGTGGGAAGTAGCAGGAAGGAAGGGGATTGTGGGGGGCACCTTCTCCCTCTCCCCTTTACTGCTGGGTTGGTCAAAACCCCTGCTCAGGGCAGTAGTGCCAGAGCCTCTAACCCCTTTCCCTTCACTCCCTTGAGCAGTGGGTCCAGGGGGGTTAGTGCCAGGCTGGCCCCCCTGAGGCTCCTGTCTGCTGCTCTGTGCAGGGATCCAGGTGCTGGCGGTGGGCATGGACGGGGCAGATCGTGAGCAGCTGCGCCGCATTGTCACCAATGAAGACCCACGCCATGTTTTCTATGCCAAGGATTCGAGGGCCGGTCTGTCAGAGCTGGAGGACAGGCTCGCCAGCACCCTCTGCAGGATGACTGTCACGGACAGGGTAAGAGCGGGGAGTGGCCTGCCAGGGGGAAGCTGCCTTCTGCCCCGGTAGGATTGCCATTTGCCAACCCTCCTGGTTTTGCCAGGAGTCTCCCAGAATTGGTCTCTAGCTCCTGGAGGCTACTGAAGCCAAACTGGGAGATTTTAGGCCGCTAAAAGTCTGGTGGCACAGCAGGACTAAGGCAGGACCTCCACGTGCTGCCCCTGCCCCAAGCATTGACTCCGCAGCAGCTGAGAACTGCGGCCAATGGGAGCTGCAGGGGCGGTGCCTGCAGACAATGGCAGCATGCGGAGCCCCCTGCCCACCCACCCAGGGGCCGCAGGGACACGCCAGCAGGGCAGGCAGAGAGCCTGCCTTAGCCCCACTGCGTCGCCAACTGGGAGCTGCCTGAGGTAAGTACCACCCAGCCGTAGCCTGCACCCCTCCTGCACCCCAACCCCCTGCCCCAGCCCTGAGCCCTCTCCTGCACCCAAACTCCCTCCTAGAGCCTGCACCCCTCACCCCCCACACACTCCAACCCCCTGTCCCAGCCCTGAGCCCCCTCCTGCATCCAAACTCCCTCCCAGAGCCTGCAGCTTGAGCCCCCTCCCACACTCCAAACCCGTGCCCCATCTCTGAGTCCACTCCGGAGCCCACAGCCCGTACCAACTCCCACACCGCAGCCCAGCCCCAGCCCGGTGAAAGTGAGTGTGGGAGAGCAAGCGATGGAGGGAGGGGGAATGGAATGAGCGGGATATGGCCTCAGAGAAGGGGCGGGGCCTTAGGGAAGGGGCAGGGCAAGGGTGTTTGGGTTTGTGTGATTAGACAGTTGGCAACCCTGGCCCCGGGGCTGACCCCAACTGCAGGCCTGGGAGCTATCCCAGAGCCAGGTTGGAGCTGCTGTTGGGTGGGGGGATAGGAAGCTGCAGGTGACTGAAGCCGTAGGGCTGGGGGCAGCTCTCCCTTCCCCCTGCTCATGCAGCATCTCTGTGGCCCACGTGTATAATGTCCCCCTGCAGGTGGGGGGTGCTGCTCCCTGCCCCAGGGGCTTGGCACGGGGTCGAGCTGACTTGGCTGCCCAGGGCACTCTTTTTAATACAGAACTTTTCCCCCTCAGCTGGAGCCCTGCACAGTTCAGTGTCCCAAGGTGAGTCCCACGCCAGTCAGCACCTCTGCAGCTTCCTCCCACGAGGAAGCCGGCCCTAGACGGGGCTGCAGGAGAGCGACTGCAGATAGCCGGACCCCTCCTGGAGCTGGGGGGCATGGGCCAGCATGGAGTTATTGTGGGGGATCAGTGCAGTGGGAGGGGAGGCAGCGTGGAAGGGCTGGGCTGTGTGAAAGGCCTGGTTGGGTTGGGGCAGCGTACTGGAGAGGGGGTGGGCGAGAGGACTCCAGGCTCTGGTAAAGTGGGGAGTCAGGAGATATCGAGGTGCCCTTGGGAGGTGAGGGCGCTCCAACCCCAGGTGTATCTGCCACGGTGGTGGGTGTGAGAGCACGAGGCCCCGGGCCAGGAAGGTGGGGAGAGGCGGGTTGGGTGATGGCTTTTCCCTGCCAGCTCTGCACTGACTCCTGGTGCAGCCTGGCCCGCCCCATTGCTGTCTGAGCTGCCCTCGGCATGGCTGGGCCTAGGTGCAGGAGGTGGAGATGCCCACGGGTGGCTCTTCCGCCTGTTGCTGCGCTGCCCCCTAACTGGCCTCTTTGCTGTTTTGCTGCAGGGTGAGAAGGGGGAGCCCGGCCAGACTGTGAGTATTACAGGATTTGCTGGAGGGGTGCCGGGGTGCAGGGCGGGGGAGGGTCTGCTCCCCTCCCAGGGCCTGCGAAGCCGCTTTGGTTTAGTGGCTTAGCTGATGGACTTAGAAGCTCTGACTGCTGATCAGCCTACGTCCTGGGAGCAGGAACGGCCATTCATTCCTGTCTTTGTCTCTCTGTGCAGGGGCAGAAAGGACGCATGGGGCAGCCTGGCCCCCCTGGAGACCCGGTAACACCCCCCTCTGTGTGTGGGCCCCTGGGTTGTGGGGTTGTGGTGCCGAGCTCTCCCTGCACTCAGTGTGGGTCGGGTGCAGACCCCGTGTTAGTGTCAGGGCCTCGCCAAGGCACAAGGCATGCCTGGAAATGGGCTGGGACTGGGGAGCTCCGCTGAGGGGTGATGCCGCTGACAGCCCCAGAGCCTCTGCGCAGTGAGGGCTCGTGTGAGGAGGAGCGCGGGGGCTTTTAGGGGGCCTTATTACAAATCCCCAGTAAGCAGGCAGGGGGAGATCAAGGGACCCCTCCCTGGGCCTCCTGCTGCGCTGAGCTCCTCGGGGGCCCTCACTGGCCTGGCCTGGGAAAGCTTCTCGTGGCAGCTAATCGTCCTGCCTTTTCTTTGGAGAGGCGCAGAGAGCAGGAGAAGAAGGTGCTGCAGGGTGATGGGCACAGAGGGGCCTCGGTGACGTTATTAATATAATCTGGGACCATATAGATCATTGTTGCAACCAAGGTCCTGTAGTGGCACCAAATCTGGTATAAAGGAGATCAAATAAGGTGTCTAAGACAAGGTTTGGTTTGCATAGAAACCCTAGCCTTGGCCTGTAACTGCCCTGCTTTAAGCAGTTTGTCCTAAATTAATACTCTCAGTTGGGTCCCACCAGAACCAGCATCGTTACAGCCTCCCAAGGCCCCGAACCCGCCCTTACCACTGGGGGCGCATCCCCACGGAATAACCCCGTGTCATTTCTCCATGGCTGTTTTCTCTCCTCTCCTTTCTAGGGGCTCAATGGGCTTCCGGGCCCCCCAGGACCAGTGGGGCCACGGGGTGCCCCAGGCGAGATCATCGAGCGGCCAGGCCAGAAGGGGGAAAGAGTGAGTGAGTGCCCTTCACACCCTGTGCCGTGGGGGAGGGGCCAGGGCTGGATGGCTGCATTGTAGGGGCAGAACATCCACTTTGTTCAACTCTGATCTCCTTCCGAGACGGTGCCCTGGGGTCCCTCTGGGTGCATCCCCCAGGCCCATGTCCACTATGGAGCCTCTTGGTGTCCCTATTGGTGGCACGCATGCCCTTGAAGCCCATTGGCAGTGCTGGGCACGAGGGGCATGGACAGCACCGAGTACAAGGCACTAGGCCCATTGGCGGTGCTGGGTACCAGGGGCACGGACAGGCTGGGTAAGAGGTACCGGGGCCATTGGCGGTGCTGAGTACCAGGGGCACGGACAGGCTGGGTCAGAGGTACTGGGGCCATTGGTGGTGCTGGGTACCAGGGTACAGACAACACTGGGTCAGAGGTACTGGGGCCAGTGATGGTGCTGGGTGCCAGGGGCATGGACAGGCTGGATCAGAGGTACCGGGGCCATTGGCGGTGCTGGGTGCCAGGGGCATGGACAGGCTGGGTAAGAGGTACGGGGGCCATTGGTGATACTGGGTGCCAGGGGCATGGACAGGCTGTGGGTCAGAGGTACCGGGGCCATTGGCGGTGCTGGGGATGCAACTAACTTTCACAACCCCCTTTCTTCTGGGGTTTCTCTGGCACTGGGACCCAGGAGAGATTCTATCCCCATGGAATCACTTGGGGAGCTAAAAGCAAGTCCAAATGGGGTTCTGCAGTAAGAGCTTTGGACAAATCCCAGCTGATGGGACCCTCTAAGCAGAGATGCCCTGTCCCAAATGTAGCCCCCGTGGCTGCCCCGGCATGGCTCAACACTCTGGGATGACTTTGAATGTAAATGGCTTTTCACTCTGGGGTGTGAACCTGCCTGGGAATGGTGGGGGCAGTGGCCAGAGCAGAGCCAGGACCTGCTGGTTTATTCCCTTCTCTGTTTCCAGGGATACCCAGGAGCGGATGGGATCCCAGGAAGCCCTGGTCGCCCTGGAAACTCTGGCTCTCCTGGCCAGCCGGTAAGTAGTTCCTCCTAGTTCCTCCTCTTGGGCCATATTTACCATTGTTCTTTGCTCCCCTGGTGATTTGCATCCTCCTTCCCGTGATGCTTTGCAGCACTGGCTATTACTTGACTTCATCCCATGTAACGAGGGCTGTAGAAGTCCAGATTAAATGGGTCTCTGAGACCCGCATTGCTCCTGTCATCTCCTGTGTCGATCCCCTTCCAGGCCCTACCTCCTGCCTGTGGTGACTGTAACTTCAGTGCCATGGACTGTAGCGATTACCCTGCTCTATTGCTTCTGTGTCTGCGTCCTGCTCCATGCCTGGCCACGTGCATACCTGATCTCGCGGCTTCAGTCTCCTGCTCCCTTGGCCGGAGGACACTCCTCATCTTGGTGTTTGATTTTTTTTTTTTTCTAGGGTAGACAAGGCATTCCCGGCCTCCGAGGGCTCCCGGTAGGTAGAGCTCCCGCTTCCCCTTTAGCCTTGCTCCCTGCTCTGGAGCACCCCTGCTCACTGTTGCCTTTGCCTTCCAGGGGGAGCAGGGCCCAGTGGGACCTCCCGGGCAGCGGGGAGAGAAAGGCGAGCCGGTAGGTAGAAGTGCATCCCGTCCAGTGCCACCTAACGTGGCCACCATCTTGGATTCCCCACCAAGCAGGGCAATCCCAAAGGCTCTGCTCGGAAAGAGCGAGCGAGTTCTGTCTGCAGCAGCCTCTGCCGGCACCCAGCCTTGGGGGTGGGGGAGGGGTCCACAGGCCCCTCCCACCTTATGTAACCCCTGATCCCTCCAAGCTCTGTGTCCCGCAGCCCTACCAGGCAGTGCTGCCAGGAGCAGGTTCTGGCGTTGGCAAGAGGGAGGCCCTCCACCTTAGATCCAGTTAGACACCTCCCTGTAAATTACACACACTTCATACTGGGGTCACAGCAGCACTCCCAAGCTGAGCAGGGTGGAACCAGCTCAATGCTTGGAGTGGAGACTCCATTGGCTCTGGAGTGCTGTGAACAACTCAGTAGGGATTGCTCTCCTTTGATCTCGGTGCCGTCTCCTGGTGCCAGGGATGCTGTGCTGCTGGATAAGTCATAAAACTGAGTTCCTGGCCACTTGTGATCACTAACGGTCCCCTGGCCCATTGCCCAAGAGTCACCTCCATGTTCACCCCCACGTCCTGGCCAGAGTCCAACTCTGGTATCTCTGTGCAGCCTTCCCCGATTCCTTCTTCGCTGCCCGTCCTGAACGGTGGTGCAATGTTGCTGGTACAGCTGCCATGTCTTCTCCCAGAGAAGCTGAGGCACTTGTGTATGGGGCTGGGCTGGTGTGCTGAGGTTTGGCTTTCTGTTTTGTGTAGGGAGATCCAGGAGTGATTGTGAACGGAGGAGGGAGGCTGCCTGGCCGGAAAGGGGAGCCTGGGAGTCCGGTACGTAGTAGAAAGCAGGTTTGGACTGTGCGGTCATTGGGGTACAGGAACAAAAGGAGAGGTCCTGTAGCCCAGGGCCCTGGCATCCCCAGTGAGACTGCGGGGGGGGGGGGCGGTGGCTTTGTATCTCTCCACCCCATGGTGTGAACCTCTGGCATCCGTTCAGTGGCACCGAGAGCGTTCCGATGAATCTCCGATTGCACGAGGATTGGTGTCCCCAGGGCACTTCTGCTCTGAATAGATCTGTGCTCAGCTCTTATTCTATGGACCCTGCCCTCTCAGGCCTCCTCAACACGGGCGTAGTTTGGGAGGGTGGTGGGGCATTGCCCCCCCCCGAACGTGCAAGCCTCAGGCAGGCACGGAATTTGCCCCCGCACATGCAGCCCCGTTAGCCTGACTGGAGCTGCCCCTCAGATATAGAAGTTATACTACGTCTGTGCTTCTCAGTGCTGTCCCTGCCCTGTGGCTGGAGGCTTGAGGGACTCGCAGGCTTGCCCAGTGCCAGATGAGCAGGGATCCAGCCCTCCCAGCAGCCCTGCCTCGGTCTGTCACCCTCTAGGCCTCGCACTGAGGTTCTTAGACTCCTTGCTGCTGGGCCACCAGCTCTGGGTCTGCCAGCACATGGAGTGAGGAGGCCTTCTGCCATAACCCTGTTCCACAGAGACTGAGGGCCCTGCCTCTAGGGCGAAGCTGTGCCAGGCTACAGCAGAGCCTGCACACAGACATGCTGGGCAGTATGGGCAGCATATGAGCACTGGCTGGACAACACTTGGGTTTGATGTCTGCGCTGCAGACCTGCATGGCTGGCTGCAGGGGCTCATCCCAAAATCCAGGGTCCTCAGTCCGTGGTGCACTTGCTCCCCAGCACAGAGCACTGATGGAGCCTCTCTGATTCTCTAGGGAAATCCTGGCATCCCTGGGAACCCTGGGCCTAGAGGAGCGGTCGGTGATCCAGGACCTCCTGGGCCCATTGGACCTCCAGGGCCATCAGGACCTGCCGGAGAGTTTGTCAAGGTGCGTTCCCCCTCCCACTTGGGAGGAGCTGTTCAGAGGCCCTGCCCCAGGCAGCTAGATGAAGAGACACATCGAGCCCCCTCCCCTGTGCATGCAAGCAAACAGCCTCCTCCACAACACCGTGCACCCGCCCGGCAGCCCCCGCGCAACCCCTCCACAGCTCCTTCCATGCACGCAGGCCCTGCCATGCCTTGCCTCCCCGGGCATGCAGCTCCCCCGCACCCCGTGCATACAGCAGCCTGCCCCAGCACCTTCCACACAGCCAGGCCCTGCCTGTGGGAAGCTCACCTGGCCTGGGGGGGCTGAGGTTTCGGGTTGGGGTGTGCACTCAGGAGCCTGGGCTGCAGAGGAAGCTCAGGCAGTGCCTGGGGCTCGGGCAGCAGCGGGGCTGGGGAAAGGTGGTGGGGCAGGCCCTCAGCTGGGCGTCGGAGGCACACCGCAGGCTGAGGAAGCGGTACGGTTAGGGCAGCTGCGCTGGCACCGAATCCCTGCTCCCCTGCCCCGGGCGCCCAGAGCAGCCACCCGCCTGGCTCCTTCCTCCCCTTCCTGGCTGCTGCTCTTATGCAACCGCTAGGGGGTCCTGTCCTGGAAGGGAAACAGCCCTTCTCTGTCCCCTAAACGATGTGGCTCTGCCCAGCTCGGCTCCAGCCCCCACCTCCAGGCGTTCCCTCTCCCCAGGCTGCTCCATCTCGCACCTTCCCTGGCTACAGGGGTGGAAACAGATCAACCCCCACAATGGAAATTAGCCCCCATTGCCCCCCTGATTCTGCTGCCTCCTGCTGTATGTGCATCATCCCCCCTCCCCCCCCCCCCACTGTGTGCGCACTGTGTGTTCGTGGATCTCTCACCCGTGCACACGTGGCCCCTGGCTAGGTGTGCGCACACGAGTCAGTTACTTCTGGTGGGTGGGCATCATGCTGAGCTGTATCGTTGCTTGTGGTTTCCCCGCCAGGTGCCTTGGGCTGTGAGTGCATCAAACCCACTGAGCATTGCGTGCCCAGGGCTGCCCAAGGGGCGCTAGGATGCCAGGTGCAGGGAGCCCTCCCTTTAACCCTGTGTATTTCCTCTTGCAGGGGGCGAAAGGCGAGCGAGGGGAGCGGGTAAGTGACTTGCCTCTTCCCCTGCGTGCTGCGCTCTGGCCTGGGAGAGGCTGACAGGCTGTGACGCTCAGCTGCACTTGCCCCTTCACGCCAACGGGTGGGGTCCCGCAATGCTGTGACAGGACAGGAGTGGGCTCTGCTCCCTGCATTGTGGAGCTGGCCTGTGGGAGCTGCAGCCAGTTAGCCACAGGGCTGAGCCAAGACATGCTCCCCTGGGTGGGTGGGCTGTGTTTGGGTGCAGAGCGAGCTCGTGGGGCCGTCAGGGCATAGCCGGGCGAGAGGGGTAGGAGGAGTGTGACGTGATATCTGAGCTCCCTGTGATTGTCTCCCTAGGGCCCCCCCGGGCTGATTGATGGGGTATCTCCCGGAGGAGAGCCAGGCATCCCGGTGAGTACCTCCCCCCTGCCATACCAGGGCCAGGAGTGGAGATGCATGGCAGGTGGGGATGGGGGGAAGGTGACTCTGTTGGGAGGGTGTGTGGGGGGGAAGTTGGGTGAGGAGGACTGGGATGGGGGGGGGGTATGAGTTAGGGAAGGGGCAGAATAAGGCTCCATAGAAAGGGAAATTCCCCTTGCTAGATGTGGGCAGTGTTAACCTTGGGCTGAGGCTGGCTTCCCATCAACGCTGTGGCTGGGCTGAGGAGGCCACTGCCCCCATGTCACTCAGGGCTGGTCTCTGTGCTGCTCAGGTTGGTCTCAGCTCTTTCTTTCTCTTGTTCCTCAGGGCTTGCCTGGCGATCCTGGTTCCCCTGGGCCCCGGGGACCTGCTGGGCCCCCAGGACAGAAAGGAGACAAGGTAAGAGGAGGGGCTGTGGTGAGAGGCAGGGGCCGCAGGAAAGCCCAAGTTGTGGTAGTGCAGGATCTGCTGCCGTCCCTCGCCCCCCCAGTCCACTGTGAGATTGTGCTCTGGTCTCCCTTCTGCACAAAGGCACTTGATGCCATGACCGGGGCAATGCACACATGGCAGGAGGCTTTGCTGTGGCTTGTAGTGGCCTCCTTTCCCTGGATCCCACCCTGCTAACCTGGAGGAGCAGGGGCTCAAAGAGCCATCCTCGCTGGCTCCTGTCCCCTCGAGTTCCCTGAGATATGTTGCCTTTGTCTTTTCGGGGCACTTCCTTTGCTCTTTGTCCCCAGGGTGATGGGGAAGAAGGTTTTCCAGGGCCGCCAGGTCGCCAAGGGGACCCAGGAGATCGGGTGAGTCCCATAAGAGGAGGTAAGCCATGCCCTGGTGGAATGAACCCAGCTGGCATGGAGCACCCTGCAGGCCTGTGGAGCCTTGAACAGTAGGCCCCCTGAGTGGGGAACAGCGAACCGCTCAAGAGCTCTGTGGTCAGAGCTGGGAAAGGCCAATTAGACCTGTGAGTCCATGCCCCAAGCAGGGCAGGAGAGAGCCTCTGGGTCAGAGGCTGCATGAGACCCACTGGGCCAGCGCTCTGCTGGCGGTCTCCCTAGAGCCAGCCCTGCCTCTCCCCAGCTGGATGGCAGCTTGGCAAGCCCTGCCCCAGGGGTGGAGGAGCTCATGTACTTGGCTGGCTGCTCTTGGGGCAGCCGGATGGCAGTCCTAAAAGCCACCTCAGCCAGGAGCCTCCCCACTCTCCGCTCTGGGAAAGCAGCCTTCCAACTGGGGTCTGCACAGAGCAGGTGCAGTGCTGGGGGGCTGCTCACGCCCTGGCTCAGACTACGGGCAATGAGGCCTGCGCAGGGGCAAGAAATAGCCCTGTGTTCACAGGTATCCTGAGGAAGTCAGAGGCTGAGCCTGCAGGAGTGGGTCCTGGATTCCAACCTCCTCAGCCACTGACCCACCGGGCTGCCCCCTGGACAACCCAGCTCACGCCTCGCTCTGATCAAGCGGGGAGATAGGTCCAGGCTTCCCTGAAAACACACCTCAGCAGGCTTTGCCAGGGACTCCCTGGTGGAGAGATGTAACGTTCTTGCTTTGCTTTCCTAGGGCCCGAGAGGACCTCCAGGTGAACAAGGAAGCAAGGTGGGTCTTGGGAGACCTCCCTGCTGGCAGGCTGTTCCAGGTGGAGACAGGGAGTTGGGATTCGTGGGTGGTGTACCCAGTTCTGCCAGTCCTGTGCTCTGCGACCTTGGGATGGCCCCTTCTCCTCCCTTCTGCACCTGTTTCCTCATCTGTAAATGGGGGGAGGCTGTCTGTGTCCCTGGAGCCGTGGGGATAACGTGTCTTGAGATCCCCAGAAGGAGGTGCTGAGTGTGAATTGTTATTACGCAGGTGGCCTGCCCGCTGTACTGGGTCACTGCCCTGTAACAAGGATGCCTGTCTGAGCCTTTTCCCACTGGACTCTGTCTGGGGAAGCTGGGTGTGATGGGGCACCGCCCCCACGCCCTGCTCTTTGGTGCGTGGGCTCCTGGCCAGAAACCTTCTGCCTGTGATGGCCAAGGGACAGTCTGAGACAGCACTGCAGCCTCAAGTGGGGAAAGTCAGCGGGAGCCACGAGCCTGTTCTGTGTTCCTGTGCCGGGGTGCGAAGGCAGGGCCATGCAGATGGGGAGTTGCTACAGTCCATTCTGCTCATGGGATCCCCCCTGGAGGCATCTGCTGGCCACTCGCCCAGTGGTGCCTGCCTCTTAGAAACTCTGCAGGATGAAATGGGCCGAAGGCCTCCGCTGTTGCCCCAGGGGCTCCTCCCAGTTAGGTCCTATCCCTGGGCATGGTCCTGTGCCCTCCAGCACTGATGCACTTGTCTCTTTTGTGACAGGGAGACCGTGGGCAGCCGGGAGAACTCGGAGAAGCAGGGGAGAAGGTGAGAGTTTGCTGGAGCACAGGGTTACGCTGTGGGGACCGGGAGTATCGGGCACTGGCTCACCTCTGCCCTTGGGACAGTGCTGTTGAGTCACGACATCCCGTCCAACCAAGAGGAGAGTTTGGGACCAAGCAGGTGACCTGTCACTATTGGAGCAGGCACCACACTCAGGGCTGCTGATCTGAGGCTGAGTGCGGTTGGCTGCTGCTCCCACCTCCCGAGGGTACGCCCTTTGCACAGGGAACAGGGGTCTGCAGTTTACACCCCTGGGACTTTCCACCCCCTGCCTGTTACTGCTGCTCCAAACCAAAGCTCTGCCCCAGAAGTGATGGAGAAAACGGGAGCCTTGAACAGGGGAGAGTCTGGGATTTCCCTGTGACCATCCCTGTCTGCCGGCAGTCACCCCAGTGACAGACTGGCTCACAGTCGGCAGGTGTGCTAGAGACCTGGACAAACTGGATGTGGATTTCTGGGCCCCCGGATGGGCATGACCATGCTCCGTGCTATGGCTGTGTAGCTTGGAACCCTGCAGGAGACTCTGTATAGAAGATGGATGCTCTGCCCTAGTCTGTTTCGACTGGGTCTCCAAAGAGGCTGCCTGTTGGCTGCTAGGGAGCGGCTGCAGGGGGCAGGGTTATCTGAGGGGCCCCGGCGAGTATGAGCCCGGTTGAAATTCCCTTTCTCTTTCCATTTCCTCTGCAGGGCGATCGCGGACCCCCTGGGCCGGAAGGGAAGAAGGTAGGTTCACTCTGGGTTAACCTTTCCCAGCCAAGGGCCTGCGATTGCTGGGGTTGGGTAGTAGGCAGGACAGCTCTTGCCAGGGAAGCTGGGTCAGTCCCGTCCCTGGCCCTGGCTCATTCTGTTCAGCCTTGTGGCCCCCTCTGTGGCCCTGATCAGCACATGAGGGACAGCAGCTGGTTGCGGAGAGTGGCTCTTCCATTGTGCCAATGCAGTGGGTCAGTGCACCTGCTCTCTGTGCTTCCCTCATGACGCCGGGAGCTTCTGCACAACCGAAAGGGTCCCCTTCCCCCAAACCCACCCTCGTCCTGCAGCTCAGGAGAGCAGGAGCGCTGGCCAGAGGCTTAGATCAAGCAGTGCTGTGTGATCCCAGCCGGGGAATGGTTGGGGGAGGAGCAGAGAACTGGGTGAGGTGGGGAGGCTGAGCAAAGGGTGTGCTCTGGGTGGAGGTTGGCTCCTGCTGGGCTGTGGGGGTGTGATGGTCCTTCCTCACTTCTAAATGCCAAGTGTGCACAGATCCTGTCCTGCTTCCGCTCACGCCTTCTCTCCTGTTTCAGGGGGAGCTGGGAGCTCCAGGCCGCCTGGGCCCAGCAGGCAGAGAGGTGAGTGTGGGAGTGTGCCTAGCCCAGGTGGAACGTGGCAGTGCCAGCCCCACACTGTTGCACAGCCTGGGCAGGAATGCTCCTGTGCTGAGATGTGTTTGCCGCGGCGCCCCCTGCTGATCTGGCACCGTGTTTTTTCTCCCCTACCCCTCCGCTGAGCTTGACAGGCCCAGGGGATGCATGGAAGGGACATGACTATTGGAACCTCCTGTAAGTGCCCTGCCTAGGCCTTGGCTTAGTACACTGAGTCAGTGGGAGAGTTCGGTAGGCGGGGATCCTCCCTCCAGCTTCTAAGCAATGGGCCCCAGCACAAATTGGGCTGGAGTCTCCATCCATGGTTCTTGGGCAGTCTGGCTCTAGCTTGGGGTGTGAGTCTCTGGGGTGGCTGGTATTCCCTGCATGGATAAACGAATGTACCGCCAGTTCTCTCATGGGCTTCTCTTGTCTCTCTAATCTCTGGAACAGGGATTGCCAGGACCGTCCGGCCCCCGAGGGGAAAAGGTAGGGACCCTTCGGTATGGCCTGTGTCCGTCCTGTTTGCTGGGCCCCTCAGCCAGCTCTTGGGCTGAGCAGAGCATTTGTGGGGCATCCATGAAGTGAGAGATGACAGTGCCCGCCCCTGAGCTGCACTGATTTTCCACCCATGTCCCCAACATTGCTCCTAATGTGGAGAGTTCTCTTCCTCCGTGTGTCTTCTCTGGGACGGCGCACCCCTAGTGTTGCCTTCGTCAATGTCCCTCCCACAGGTCTGGGCCTCAGGGGCCAGGAACCCTGGGCCTAAGTGCAGAAAATACTCACTGTCCTTAATGCAACAGACAAGGGGTCAGCTGACACACTCCTGCCCCCTTTGCATTCATCACTGACATTTGGTGAGGAGTGAAGGAGGAGTCCAGGTAGGAAGGGCAGGGCTCTAGGTCTCTGGGGAGAGAAGTGCTGGGAATCCCCCTTGATAGGTGAGACTTGTGGGCAGGGCTGTTGGAGCTTGGAGAAGCTCTTAGAAGAAATAAAATTCCCCAGGTGGCTCTTTCTAGAGAGGAGGTGTCTCCCCTGTGCTGGGATTGCCCTGCAGAGGGAGGTGGCACCGTGTGCAGTCCGCTTGGCTTATCACATCAATGCCAGCCTGTCATCTCCAGCCAGGGGTGCTGGTAGGGCAGAAAGCAGGTGTCCTCCCTTTGTGACTTGTGCCATCTGTGCTCACTGGGTACAGAGAATGGGACCACTGATGCTCTGTCACTCAGCTGGGGCAGTAGCATTCTGCTGGCCGAGTCACTGTCTGGGTCTCTGGCACTATCCCCAGTGCCCCTGGGCTTGGGTTCCGAGCGCTGCAGGGGAAGGGGAATCCTTGCGCTCTTTGGATCTGTGTGTTTAAAGTCTGTGGTGTGGGGGAATAGCGAGATCAATAACGCAATCTTCCGGTCTGGCACCAAGCCCCTCAGGAATCTCCTTGTCGATAAGTAACGCCCAAGGAATGGCAGCTGGGTCCCTTGCTGTCCGATGGGGACCTTGGCCTGCAGCGCTCAGCCAGGTGCAGAGGGCTGGCGTGCTCACCACCAGTGGGAGTGAGCCACACTGGCAGATAAGCTGAAGGGCCGTGGCTCTCAAAGGAAATCGAACCAGTCCTGAGACCCTCGGCACGTGGGGCTCTCTGGTGGCTTCCTCACGCTCCCAGGGCAGGGTGGGCTGCTGCCCCTCGGGAAGGCTCTGACCCCTGGCCTTTGTCATTCTCTCCCTTAGGGGGATCAAGGTGCTCCTGGGGAACCTGGAAAGCCGGTAAGTGGCCGCCTCTCTGCCAGGCAGGAACTGCATTCTCGAGGGCCGGGAAGGGTGTTACTGGGCTCCCAGCACCCAGGGTGGGAACTGACCCTCAAAGGGGCAGGAGAGGCACCACGGGACCATGTTCTGCTGGGACAGTGGCCCCCAGCGTTGGTGCTGGGGAGAAGGTCGGTGCAGAGATAACTCACTGCAGGAGTGGGGCGTTGCCTATGGGGTCTTACTGCACCCCCAGCAGTTGGGGTTCTTCCTCTGTACCCCATCACTCTTCTCCTGAGTGCTGACCTCAGTCAGGGATGGGAAGAAGGCTGCTACTGTGGATACCCGGCCAAGGAGAAGTGCTCTCCCTGGTGGCTGTGAGAGGTAGCATTTCCCATGAAGGTCAGGCAGAGCTCTCTCCAGGTGGCCTTGCCAGCAGGGAGCAGTGCACGGATTTCAGCAGTTTCTCTCCTTGTGTTTCTCCTCCAGGCTTCCAGCGTCTCCGGAATCAAAGGAGAGAAGGTAACTGAAAATGATCCTGTCCCCAGAAGTGGGGCGCTGGCGTGGGAGGGGACTCTCTTAGTTCTTTTGCAAATGTACAGTTTGTAAGTTGCACTCCCAGCTGGCACTGTGTGTTGGGGCAGGGCAGAGTGCAGCCATGGGGCTTGGGCCTGCGGCGTAGTGATGGCTGATGTGACCCAGGAAGGGGGCAATTACCCAGCAGGGCTGGCGAACTCAACTACATGTTGATTCTGCTCCGTGGGCCAGGGTTTCTGGTTAGGATGGGACACTCCCACAGCGTCCAGGAGATGCCCCCAGAGATTGAGGGGAGAGGCCAGTCTCTGTGTAGTAGCTTAGGGTTGGTCTGTTATCTGCTCAGTGACTTATTGCTGTGGTCCGCCTTGGGTGAGAGAACACGCCTCCTTTAGGCCGCCATATTCCTGCCCTGTGTTCCCCTCCTTCAGCCACTCTGTTCTGTGTCTCTCTTCTTCCCACTGCCTTGCCTTTCCTGCAGCAACTCTCAGGACCGAGGGTGTCACTCCTACTCCCGTCCCCTTCTGTCTGTTCAAATCAGCAGCAGTGAAAGAGTTAGAGTTGACACTCACGTGAGGTCATTGGGCTTGAGAGTTGCTGCTCCAGTTGGATCGGCAGCGGCGCTCACCCCACTGGGTCATCGCATCAGGCTCTCTGCAGACGCAGGCAGCCATCGCTGCAGTGGCTATGCTCAGCTCCTAACTGGAAGGCTCTCTGCAGCTGGGAGGGCTGGAAACATATTTCTTGTAATGAAAACTGAGGCCAAGCAGGCTGGAGTCCCCATGCTTGGGAGCAGGGGGGCTTTGGCTTCGCTGGGGGCAGCGTGGAAACGTCACCTGCACAGAGGCAGCTTTGGCGCTGCTCGCACCAGCATCCCATGCACATTCCTTCCACCCCCCGCCACTCCCGGCTCCATGTCACCTGTGGTCAGTCCAGCCAGCTCCTTTCAGTGTCATCCTATCCTGAGCCCAGCCTGCCCCCGTTGCCTTGGGAAGCAAGTGAGCGGCTCTGTCTCACCTGTGGGGGGAGGGACAGTGTTGGGGTCCAGAGGGGATCAGCTCAGTGTGGCTGATGGTTCTGTTTCCTCCGTTCCAGGGTGACAGAGGCCCTGTAGGAGCAGAGGGGGCCCCGGGTTCCAGGGGAGACGCAGGAGATAAAGGAGACCGCGTGAGTATCATTTGGGCCGTCAGAGGTATCGCTCCAGCGCCCAGCACAGCCAGGAGCTCTGGCAGAGGCAGGCAGCTCAGCGCGGGGCCAGGGGATAAAGCCATCTCTCCTGTCCCCTCTGAGACCCGGGCCCAGGGCCAGCTCGCTGAAGTGAGGTTGGGGCTCAGCTCCCCGCTTAGTGGGCAGGAGCCCAAGTCACAGCCAGCAGCCTGCTCAGGACGGGCAGGGATGTTGCTGGGAGTGGAGACCGGAGTAGCTCTTGGTGCTGGAGAGGGTGATCGCTCTGGGACAGTGGCGTACAGCTCTCCTAGCTGGGTAGGAAAGAGGGTCTCTGCCTCCGGTGCTGCATCCCATGAGGTGGCTCCTCAGTGCACTGTGGCTTAGGGGCGCTTCAGGAGTGAGTCTGAAATCTGGGCCTGTGCTTGGGGCTCCCCGAGACGCCTGTGTAGCTCCCTGCCCTGGGAGTTGGAATCCATCCCTCCCCGAGGGCAGGCCAGGCTCCACCATCTTCTCTGGGTGTAATGTCGCTAGGGGGAGGCAGTGAGGACCACAGCTTGGCCAGGTGAGGAGCCTGGAAAGGGCTTGTCCTGCCCGCCTTGCTCTGACCTTTCTTTTTGTTGCAGGGCCCCCCTGGATTCAGTGTCGCTGGCCCGCCTGGCCCCAAAGGAGAACAGGGCGACAGGGTGAGGCTTGCCTGCCTGCCTTGTGGCTGGCATCCCCCAGCTGGCTGTGCCCTGCATCCCAGGCCAGGTGCCATCAGGGCCATGGGCCCGTGCTCCCACTCGTGTCTGTCCCTGGGATTATGTCTGACTCTGAGCTCTCTCTGAGGAGGGAGTTGCTCAGTCTCTGCCCTTTGGGTCAAGGTGGCATCGATCAGCCTGGGGCTGTGCCCCTCTCTCCCTCCTAGTGGTGGGTAAAGGGCCAGAGAGCCAAAAGCGGCTGGGGTGAGCACAAGTGGGAGCCCATCTATGCACGCGTGGGGGGCCCTGGCTCACCTGCACTTGGGGTGGGGGAAGGATTTGGGGACTTGCACCCCCACCACCCATGTGCAAGAAAGGCTCTATCAGGCGTCTGGCTGGAGGGGCCCTGGGGCCACTCCTATTGCCCTGGCCTATGGGAAGGCCCAGGAGCAGTCCCCAAGGCCCCGTGAGTGCTGCTCCATGTCCTGCAGCCTCCCCTGAGACCACGTCCAGTGGGGGCGGCACAGACTCTGCAGGAAGCCAGGTCACCAATAACAGCCTCTCTCTTTCAGGGGATTGTCGGCCTCACTGGCAAGAGTGGCCCAAAGGTAATGGCTCCGTGGGGTGAGGGGTGTGTGGGGAGGGCTCCTCTGCCTGGCTGCCTGGGGGCTGGGTTGTGTGTGTGCACTGGGCTCCTCTCCGCAGGTGCTGTCCTGTGGGGGGGGGAGGGGTTCCTTTCTTCTTGTGCCATTTGCTTGGATGCTCTGTTTGGGGGAGGGGGGGGCTCTCCCTACCCTGCACGTGTGGGTGCTGTGTTGTGTGAGGGGGAGGGAAGGTGCCTCTAGGTATTCACTGTTTATGTGGTGGGGGGCCTCACCGGTTGCTGTGGGCTGTGTGGGGGGGCTCCTCTTGTTCTACACTGTTCACATGGGTCTGTGGATTGGGTCTCTCTTAGCTGGGCGCTGGGTTGTAACCAACTGGCTGTACACTGACCCAGCCTCTCCTCTCTCTGCTATGATTTTTCTCTTGTCTAGGGTGACCCCGGGGAACCCGGTGAGAAGGGGGAGCTGGGGAGACCAGGAGCTCCGGGGCAGATGGGCCTGCGAGGGAAGGAGGTAATGTAGAGGTGCTCTGGATGAGGAGGGCATGACCTGGGTGCATGCCAGGGTGCCCATGAGCAGGCAGATGGGGCTCTTGGGCCTACAGTTCTGACTGTTGCCTCAGACAGTTCCTGCTGGTGGAGAGCCTGTTTCTGGCCACAGTGATTATACAACATCCTGGAGTTTCCATGGAGACCCTGTGCCAGATTGCCATGACAACATCAACAGGCTATTTTTAACAGGGGATCCAAGAGGTATTTGAGGGGGCTGTGTGGAGTGGAGGTGTATCCAGTGGAGGTTCGTTTGAGGGGCTGGTGGGGGTGGGGTTATGTGGAGGCATATGCCTGGTGAGGAAGCTGTGTGGAGTGGAGGAGTGTTCCTAGGGGTGTGTCGAGTGGAGGAGTGTTCAGGGTGATGGCAGGGGCTGTGTGGAGTGGAGGCGTGTTCCTGGGGGGTGTATCTAGGGGAGGCGTGTTCCTGGGAGTGTAGCGAGTAGAGGTGTGTTCAGGGTGATGGTGGGGGCTGCATGGAGTGGAAGCATGTTCCTGGGGATTTATCGAGTGGAGGCATGTTCCTGGGGGTGTATCGAGGGGAGTTGTGTTCCAGGTGATGGTGGGGGCTGTGTGGAGTGGAGGTATGTTCCAGGGAGATGGGGGACTTGTGGATATGGAGGTATTTAGGGTGCTAAGTTTGCACACAGGGTGCAGTGAATGGGTGGCTCTACGTTTTGTTGGTCAGGAAAGATTACTGGTGACTCTTTTTTTTTTCTCTTGTGTGTGCTACAGGGTGAACGTGGTGAGAAGGGTGATGAGGGGACCCCAGTAAGTGATCACTCTGTTGCTTTGTGGCAATGCCCCTCCCCCGCTTGACCACACTTGGCTTTTCCCACCATTCTCTTACTTCCCTCTCTTTCCCTCTCAGGGAGAGTCGGGCCAGCCTGGAAAACCTGGCGACCGGGGCCCCCGGGTAAGTGAGGGGTGTATGCCGTGGAGTGGGCGGGGGGGGGGGGGGAGAGGAGATCATGGGAGGGCTGCATGTGGGATGCACAGGGGGCCTGAGTTGCTGAGACCAAATGGGGACATGGGGATGGACAAAGTGCTGCCCCCCATGGGACTCCATGCTGTCATGCTCCCCTGAGCTCATGTGAGTGGGGAGCTGCAGAATGGGCCCAGCTGAGCCCTGTGTGCTGCCTGGGGGCGAGACAGCAGCCGAGATACTGGCTGGGGTGAGCTCCAGAAGGCGGAGCCTGGGAGAATGATGTTACAGTGGGGTTTGGAAAGGCGACTGTCCCTTTTCCCCAACCTGGCAGCTGGGTACCCACCACTCTTGGGGAGCCTGGTGAATTCCAGCTTCTGTAGGGGCAGCAGCAGCACCATCGTTGCGTGTCCCATGGGCCTCTTGGAGGGGCTTCTGCCTGGCCCCTGCTCCATAATTGCTTGGACCTGAGTGCCCGTGCTCCTCCCCAGCCCTGTTCCTTGGGTCTGGGCTCCCCAGCCTCTCACTCCAGCTTGGGGGTCACCATGGTGCTGTGGACCCGCTGCCTCACCTGCTGTCCCTCCACCAGGGCCTACCAGGAAACCGTGGCCTCCCCGGGGAGAAGGGTGACCAGGGAGACTCCGGCGAGGATGGCAGAAATGTAAGTTCCCGACTTGCAGCCCACCCCCTCCTTCCCCAGCAGCCAGCTCCCTGACTCTCCCCTCCCCTCACTGTGCCCCTTCTCTCCTTGCAGGGCAGTCCTGGAGTACCAGGGGCCAAGGGCGACCGTGGGGAACCGGTGAGTAGCTGCACCCCCTTCAGCCACGCTTGGAATGAAGCGTTTAGTGCCCAACCTGGGGGTGCTCCACCCCCATAGGGACCCTTCTCCTTGGGGCACTGCAGTAGAGTGAGGCTGGGGCCCCCAGTGTCACACCTAGAAAGCTGCAGACAGGGCACGGGGCACCACCATGACCCATGCACAATGGAAATCCTCTGAGAAGAGCCGTTGCAGGCTCAGGGTGTCCATTGCACGCTCTGTGCACACACCCCTGCTCCTGTTGCACGCTCACCCCACAGAGACACAGGCTTACTTGTACACTTGCTGATTTGCCCTGGCCCATCTGGTGCTGCCCGGGCCTGCATGTGTCCTCCCTCATGCTCGCCCAGGCCCTGCACAAGTATCCCAAGCTCAGGCGACGGCAGCTGGGTTTGATGATCTTTCCCTTCCACGTCTCTGGTTTGGAGCCAGCCCAGGCTAGCAGTGCTGGCAGCTAAGCCAATGTGCTAAGCCTGATGTCTTACCCAGTCTCTAGTTGGCAATCTCAGCAGAGTACCCAAAGGCTAGCTGGTCCCCAGAGATGGGCCAGATCAGGGCAAGGGGGCAGCGTGGAGAAGCTTGCACCAGTGGCCATCCCTGAGCAGCTGCCCTGGCCATGGAACCCCCCAGTGCAGCTTCTTGACTCAGGGCAAGGTGTGGAGCTCGGGCTCTGTGCCGGGTGGGGGCCCCCGAAGCTCTTGTTCAGTGGTATATCTAAGGTGGTTTGGAGCCCTGCAGAGCTTGTTTAGAGGGCTTCCCCCCCGCTCCCCGGGTGCTGCTGTGTCTTGGGCTGTGTCTGTGCAGATGTCCTAGAGGCCTCCACTAATGCTGGACTCTCTCTCCTTCTCTGCAGGGGCCGCCTGGACCCCCAGGACAAATTGTAAGCTCAGCATTTCTTTGTCCCTGCCCTGGTTGTGTTGGGTTTGTGCTCTGGGCCCCATAGCATGTGACCCCTCTCTCTGCCCCACAGATCAATTTGGAACCTGGAGGAGGAATTGGAGAGAAAGGCGAGAAGGTAAGGCTGCTACTACCTCCTGGGGGCTGTTGTGGGATGGGAGCTGTGGAGCTGCCCTCTCTCTGCAGGAGTGGGATAGCCCAGCTGAGGGCCCCAGGCCTGAGGCTGGGCTGTAGCGTAGAGCTCTGCGTGTTCTGGTACCACTCAGGACTCTGCAGTATGGACCACACCTGCCCTGCAGAGATACTGTCCTGGAGTGGAACCGCTCCCTCCCTGCCTGGCAGGGGCATGGCTCACCTGGGCTTGGCTCTGGGGGGTGCACCTGGAAGAGGATACAGGACAATCTGGTTCCAGGGGAGCGACACAGCTGGTCCACCTGCCTGAAAACACTGAACATCTGTGGTCCCGTGTCTAATCTGTTCTGATTTGGCTGTTTCCATTTCAGGGGGTGCCAGGGGACCCCGGAGAGGATGGGATGAAAGGTGCGAAGGGCGAAGCTGGGGTACCTGGCCTGCTTGGAGAGAGGGTAGGTGCCAGTGCCTGGGAGTATCTGTCTCAGGAGGTGCCACTTGGAACTGAAATGCCCTTGGATTGAAAGCCTCTGCAAGCCGAGCTCTAAGGGAGGGACGGGGGGCGTGGCAGAGGGAGCTGGGGGGCTGGGTGTAGCTCCTGGGAGCATAATAAGGACGCTGTCTCGCAGGGAAGGGATACCCATATTGCAGGGGGTGGAAGGTGCCTGCCAGGGGAGCAGTGAGTGTGGGGAGGCTGCATGGGGGGGGGGTGGTATTGCAGGGGTTGGGGAGTCTGTTGCACGGGGTTTGGGGCATAGATGCACATAAGAATGGAGCATGCTGGGGGCTGGTACCTCTGGGGAACATGCACATGTGGGGAGAGCCTGCACAGGGAACTGGTTCATCTCTCAGGTATTCATGTGGTGAGGGGCAGGGTGATGAGTATATGGGGGAAAGTGGGCCCCAGCCATTTCCTCCTGACACTCCTGGAGCAGAACCATCTCCTTCCTCTTGCAGGGGATCGAAGGTCCCAGAGGCCCCCCTGGAGCTCGGGTGAGTCCCTGTTCCCTTTCCTCTCTGCTGCTTTGGAGGAATGCAGCACTTACTGCTCCCCACCCAGGTGCTGGGGAGCTTTTGGCTGGCTCTGCCCCTCACCTTGTGACCAGCCGTTCTCTTCTGTTTCCTACCCTACAGGGTGACCCTGGAGACCGAGGCCAATCAGGAGACAAGGTAAGAGCCTCACTTTCATGTAACATGCCAAGTCTGCCTGGGCCCAACATGGGGTGGGCAGGAGCGTGTAGCTGGGGTGTGTTTGAGGGGCCCCATTGGATCGTACCATGTCTATAAGTGGAGCTCTCACCAGGACGTGCAGCCGGCAGGGCCTCTTTGCCTTGTTCGTGGGGGAGGAGGGATGCATCCCTGCTGCTTGGCCTGTGCTTGCAGTCCCAAGTGAGGGGTGCAGAGTGCAGCATGCCCGTCTGCATGGAGCAGGGTGGGGGCATTCAGTCTGAGTGCTGAAGGGCTGGCCTGCATCACTGTTGCAGGAAGGTCCTTACTTCCATTGCATCCTGTGCTGCACCATCTGTTCTCCCAGCTAATGCAGCTGCCTGCCCCACTGGTGGACTCTCGGGGAGGTAGGAATCGGGGAGCCTTGGTGCAAAGCCATCACTGCCTGATTCTCTTTCAGGGAGACCGAGGCCCTCCGGGGCTGGATGGCCGGAATGGCTTGGATGGCAAACCTGGGCAAATGGGCCCTGCGGGGCAAAGGGTAAGTGTGGCCTGGCTCGGGGAATCCCATCCCCCTTGCGTGAGGCTGCCCCTCGGAGGGGTCTAGGAGCGGCTCTGCTTCTTGCAAGGAAAGCCACTAACTGGCATATCGGTGTATCGCCAGGTCCTGCTACCCATGTAACATACGCCCGGCAGCATGACCTGCCCCTGATAGCGCCGCCACCCAACAGCAGGGTGTGCAGGTGCCCGGGAGACCCCTTCCCCAGGCTCCAGGACCCCGCTGTAGCTGAAGGAGCTGCCTCGATATTGAGGGTTGCGGTAGGAAGGCAGGTGAAGGCGTTGCCTAGCAGGGCTGTGTGGGACTCTCCACGTACAGGCCGACAGCTGCCCCAATCATGCCAGTGCACCCTAGAGTAACACCCCCAGGGTGGGAGGGAAGTACAGTCTCTAGGGTGACCCACCCAATCCTTGGCCTCTCTCTGCTGAGATGCCAACAAGGGTGCCAGATAGTGCCAGCTGTAATGGTGGCTCAGTAGTGCCGGCACCTGCCCTTGAGGATGGATGGAGACCATCAGCTTGTTCACTTCAGCCACAGAGCCCATGGAGCCTGAGCTGGGTTTGAGTCGGTGCCTAGAGGGAGGCTTTGTGTCCCCGAGCCGTGCAGTGCCCTGTGCTCATTTGTGTCCATGCTCCCTGAGTGCCTGCTGCCGGGCTAACTCAAGGTAGCTGCTGGCTTTCCCTGGGTGGCTGCTGCTCCCTTCCAGTGAGTCTAGGGGCCCTGTTAGCAGAGGTGCCTTTATGGTGGTGACCTCTCCTGCTTTCATGCCGTGAGGTGAGGCAGGCCTCTCTGGAGCCCCCAGGGCAACACCCTGACATGGGGTGGCCAGGCCCTAGAGTCAGGCCTGAGCCCATCCCCAATGATCACCGCCATATTCTCTTGTTTTTCTAGGGTGACCCAGGCAAGCAGGGTGACCCCGGCCGAGATGTAAGTACAGAGCTCCTGATTCTGAGGGGTGGCGGGTCACAAGATGCAGGGGGCTTACCCACTCCCCTCTTTCCCTGGGGCACCCCGAAGTCTCATGCACGAGGCCAGTATCTGAATAACACCGCAGCAATGGGACCAAGCATCACCAGAGCAAAGCACTGGTTCAGCTTACTCTGCGCCCCACCTCCCTGTCACAGGGGTCCATCCATTCCAGTATCCTTCCTCTGATCAGCAACTGATGCTTTACCCTGAGGGCCCAAGGCCTGGAGCTGTGTGTTGAAATCCTGAGCATGGTGGAGCTGTCCTGGGGGCCATCTGACCCTGCAGAGTCCCTGGCCCAAGGGCACTGCTTACCCCTGCAGTCACCACTCCTCCTCTCCCTTTGGTGCTGAGCTGCAGCCCCTCGTGTCTGCCTGTGACCCAGCTGGGATCTGCCTCTCACCTGATCTTTTATTGTTGCAGGGGCTGCCAGGCCAGCGAGGGGAGCAAGGTCCCCCAGGAGCCATGGGCCCCCCGGGACCACCAGGCTTGGCTGTAAGTAGTTTGGTTGGCTGTTGTGGGCCATCCCTGCTGGCTGTTCTCTGCACCTCCTCTGGCATTGCCCTGCACTGGCAGGGCCCCAGATAACCCACCCTCTGACTTGCCTCCCTACCAGTGGTTTCCTTAGAATCATAGAATATCAGGGTTGGAAGGGACCTCAGGAGGTCATCTAGTCCAATCCCCTACTCAAAGCAGGACCAATCCCCAACTAAATCATCCCAGCCAGGGCTTTGTCAAGCCTGACCTTAAAAACCTCTAAGTAAGGAGATTCCACCACCTCCCTAGGTAACCCATTTCAGTGCTTCACCACCCTCCTAGTGAAAAAGTTTTTTTTTCCTAATATGCAACCTAAACCTTCCCCACTGCAACTTGAGACCATTACTCCTTGTTCTGTCATCTGGTACCACTGAGAACAGCCTAGATCCGTCCTCTTTGGAACCCCCTTATGAGGTCACTCCTGCTCTCCGGCTGCCTCTCATCCATGGTCTCCACTCACCCTTATGTGCTTGCCCTGTGGGGTGTGACCCTGCCTCACACCATGTCCCACATGCTCTGGGAGGCCTGTTCCCAGGACTCATGCTGCCCCCTTGGGCCATCCTTTTGCCCTGAGCAGCCTAACCCAAGTCTGATGTGAGGCCTGCTCGGGCCTGGGGCTGCTGGCCCAGAACTTCCTGATCTGTCAGGCAGGTTTGGGGCAGCCCTTTGCTCCCAGCAGCTCCATTTGGCTGGTTGTTCTGTCGGCCCGGCCCATGCTGTTACCCTGGGTCTAGCTCTCTCCAGTCAGCTGCCTGCTCCTGTTGGCTGTCATGCGCTTTCTAATCACTCTCTGGGCATGGCTCACAGCCTGGGCAGGTAGCCTGACCCAGCCTCCCTAGGAGCTGCTGCCCTGTGGTATGACAGCATTGGACTCCAGCCACCCTGCCAGTCGGGGTGAGCCCAGAGGGGCCTGTGGAGGGGTCTGCTGCTGTCTCAGGCATGTGGAAGGCCCTTCACTCTGCTAACAGCCTGCACTTCCTTCCAGGGCAAACCCGGCGACGACGGCAAACCCGGCCTGAACGGGAAGAATGTGAGTAAGGCAGCCAGCCTCTGCTGGAGGAGGGCAGCTCCTGGCTGTGGCAGGCAGGGTCTCTAGGCCTGATGTGCAAGGACCTGCCCGGGCAAGAGGGAGCTGCCCTGGCAATGGGGTGGGGACAGAGGAAGAGACAGCTGACTATAAAGCCATAGGGTCCCTGAGACTGTACTGAATGCAGGCAGAGGGCTCCCTGAGCATGGGGCAGGGAAGCGGGGGTTTCCCTTACCAGACTCTGGTGCCCCTCCCGACAGGCCAAATATTGACAACCCCTGTAGCAGGTCCTCAGCTTGCCAGGACCTTCCACTGATGGGTTGTCAAAGGGGCATAGCAAAGGGCTTCCCAAGCCCAGAGTGTGGGCCCCCCATGTGGGTTACCCATGTGGGGCACCCACTGTGCCATGGGTAACCACCAGTGCCTGCCATCTCCCTGCTGCCCACCAGTCCTCAGCTCCACTAGCCCTGAGGGAGCCTGGCTCATCTAAGGGCTGTGTGGCAGATGTCAGGAGGCCTGGGGGACCCAAGGGGATGTATTGTGCTCCCCAGTGTGGAGGTGACAGTCTGATCTGGGACCTCTCCCTCTACCTGCCGAGGGCTCAGCCCCCTAGTGTGCAGGGCCTATGTGGAACAGGGCTTTGACTAGTGGTTTCTATCCTCCTAGGGAGAAGATGGGACTCCAGGAGAAGATGGGAGGAAGGTAATGAGCTAAAGGGCCCCTCTCCCCTGGACTAGCCACCCCGCTTTGATAGCCAGGCCTGTGAGCAGCCTAGCAGGTGGGGTTCCCCTGGGGGACCGACTCCCCTGCTGCTCCATTGTCTCTGCCAGGCACCTCTCACCATGTACTTCCTATGGGAGCAGGAGCTGCCTCCTGGTGCCAGCATGCAGCTCCGGGCTGCTCCAGCTTTGCTTACCCAGCAGGAGGGGTGGGTGAGGTTACTTCCTCCCCACTAAGTAGCAGTCCTAGACCTTGCTGGCTACAGGAGAGGGGCCACTGGGAAGACAGACCCAGGCTCTGGGTGAGGGTTCTTGCCCCAGTGGGGGTGGGGCAGGCAGCCGCAGTGGCTGGGCCCTGCCCGAGTCCCCTTGGCTGTCTCATTTGGAAATGGAATGAGGCTGTAAGGTAGCCATTTTCTCTTGGCTTTTCCTGATTAGGGGGACAAAGGAGAAGCTGGCGCCCCTGGCAGAGACGTAAGTACCTGTGATTCTCCCCTATCCACCTCCACCTGCCCTGGATTTACCCCAGTCACAAATTGCCCCCCAGCCTAGGGGCTCGGCGCAGGGTCTGTCTGTGTTTGGTGGCTCCACATGTGACTCTTCCATATGCTGCCTACACAGTCACTACGGCCCCCTCTCTCTGCTCCGATAATCCATCACACTGGGGGCTGCACCGGCTGGGTGGTGCCAGTGGCAGAGACCCCATCTCGCAAACCTGGGGGTGACTCTGGTGGGTCTCCCCGGCTTGCTACCCATAGGCAGGCAGGGGTGGTCGGTAGTGATCCTCGCTCTCCAGTGCATCGGGACCTTTCCCTCCGGCAGGGGAGGGGAGTGCAAGCGGCGTCCTGAGGCCTCCCCCCACCACACACTGTATGAGGGCAGCTGTGCCCTCTGGCTTCTGCTCCCCGGCTCATAGAAGCTTGGGTTTAGATGGCAGGCTCTGCTTAGCTGGAAAGGGCAGAGGAGGTCCCAGCTCTGGCTAATGAGATGCTGATGCGGGGGTGGGGGGAGTGGATCGGGGTGGGACTGGGGCCTCGGTGACTCCATTGCTTACAGGCCCTAGTTGTTTCTTGGGCTCCCTTTTTGGCACCTCCATTAAAGCATCACTAAAAGATGCTGGTCTGCTCCCAGTTGGTGCTCCCACCCACAGCAAGTGGTGATAGTGCCAGGGGGAGGTACATGTCTTCTGCTGGCACCCCAGGGTGCTAGCACTCTTTGACAGTGACAGGCCTTTCAGCAGTCATCTGCCTGTAGTACCTGTCTGTAGGCCCTCCCAGCTGGAAGGAGGTGAGGGTAAGAGGGTTTGGAGGGTGATGCCAAGGGGTAACAGCACCAGATGGTGATGCATCTGTTCTTCTTTGGCAGGGTCAAGAAGGCCCCAAGGGCGAGCGAGGAGACCGTGGGGCGCCAGGCCCCTTGGGACCTCCTGGTGTCCCCGGTGTACCTGGGCAGGTTGGACCCCCAGGCCAGGTGCGTAACCTCCAGAATAATACTTCTAATACCAGCTGCTTGGCACGGCTTGCTGTGCCCACGGTCATTTGGGAGTGGAGCCCCATAGCCTGCCCGAGAGCTGGGGGCGGGGAGAGCACTAGTGCTGTTTACAGCTGGGAGAGTGGAGAGAGAAGAGGAGACTGGCCCAAGATCACACTGAGCTCAGAGCCTAGGACTCTGGTCTCCCAGACCCTGCTCTAGACACTAGATGATATGCCCATGGCTGAGGTGGGAGTCCAGAGCCACCAGGGTCTGAACAGCAGAGTAATGGCTCATTGTGCCATGGCATGGATACCCTGGGTCCCTCTCTGATTCCCTGGGGAAATCCTGTTCCTCTCCAGCTGCAGCTACAAGCTCCTTCCAGCCCTGCAGGACCACTTGGGATTGGACTGCTGACCATACAGCCTGCTTCCTGCCTCAGGGGGCAGACCCCGGGGCAGGGGAAGTACCCCAGCTTGAGTGGGCTTCTCCTCCCAGACTCAGTGCTCACAGACACCCCAAGCTGCATGGCTTCCTCTCCCCAGCCCTGGGAGTGCTTGCGGACCCCACCCATTGGCAGTGAAGCTGCTCTCTCCCCTTGCTCGCAATTCCAGGGTCTACTCACATTCCTTCTATACCTTCCAGGGTGCTCCAGGCCTTGCTGGGGCTGCCGGACAAAAGGTGAGTGTTTTTCCCAGCCCCCATCAGGCCACTGGAAAACGAACAGAGCAGAACAGCCTCTCCTGTCAGACCACACTGGCTTGCTGTGCCAGAGCACAGACCTCTGGGCCCTCAAGGGTTAATCCTGTGAGTTCCCTGAGCCCTGCTCCCCACTGTGCCCAGCTGGTGGGTGTGGCTTAGTGTCCTCCTGTGAGCTGTCTTCTTTGGAGGAGCTGCGGGCTAGGAGGGACTAAGATGCTTCCTGGGGGTCCTGCGTGGAGAGCAGCGGGGCCCAGGTGTGAATAGCAAGGGAGCTCTGCCCACATTCTCTGGGGTGCCATAGGCTTTGCAATAGGCCAGTGGGGGTTCCAGCGGGTCTGGCCCAGACTTGATTCCAGGTAGAAGTTCTCAGAGGCTGCAGAGCCCATGTACTGGGCTAGCTGGGGGTGGAGCACTGGTTCATGTGTTCACCTGCCTGTCTGGGGAGGGAACTTGGGTATCTGCCCTTCCCTCAGCACCTTGGCACTGTTCCTCCCCAAGCTGTATCACTTCAGCCTAGGCGTAAGCGGGGGCTCCTCCAGAGGAGGCGAGGCTGAACTCTTCCTCCAGGGCTCTACTCTCCAATCGCTGGGCTGGAGGGAATCCTGACTCCTCTTGCTCTGTTTCAGGGCGACCGAGGAGAGGCTGGATCCAAAGGAGAACAGGTGAGTAGCCAGCACCACCTGGGGCGATCCGCCAGCGCTGAGTCCTCTCCTCCCCCCAATGCAGTGCCCTTTGGGGGATGTGGGGGGGGGGAACCCAGAGCTTGGTCAGCCCCACTGTATTCCCTCTGAATGTAGCTCCTGGGGCACTGGAGCAGCTCCATCAGCGGAGATGAACAGACCCTTGCCAGTCACTGCCACTTGGGAGCAGGAAGACCACGGTGATTCTAGGCCTACTGAGTCCACCCCTGCAGTGTTCGTTCTCATTGCCAAGGGAGCCTCCTCCTAGCCCTGGTGGCTGTGAAGAAATGCTTGGGAATGTGACCCGAGCGTAGCCGATGCAGCAATGCCAGCCTGAAAGAACTCTGCCCCACTCATGTCAATCCTGTGTTAACTCTGGAACTTAATGAGGCCAATTTAATAGCAACATAGTAACTCTTTCCCTGCTGATCGTTTTAGCAGCAAATCCTGTCTGAAGCACTTGCTATTTCACAATTCCAGACCACCTCCTATGGTGCTAACCGCCCCAGCTGTCCCAACCTCCAACTTCCCCGACGGCTTCGCTTAGGTGGTTCTGCATTAATACAAATGCCTGCAGCCCAGTGAAAATGGGGGACAGTGTAAAATGGACTTTGGTATCCAAATAGCTAACCCAATGTGCTGTGGGCTCCCATGTGTCCCTGGGATAGAAGTTACCACTGTGCCTTTCCTCTGGCTGATGGGCTAATCCAGTCCCCTGGGTAGTTCAGGCAAGCGCTCGCTTTCTGAGTGTAAGTGACGCTGCTGCAGAATTAGCAGACTCTGGCTGCATGCAGCAGGTAGGTCCTGCTTGCTGCAAGATATGAAGAGTTAATGCAAGTGACTGGCTACATTACAAAGGCAGTTGACCGGGGCCTGTGTGAGACCTGCAGTCCCAGGGAGAGCGCAGTAGTGACCTGTGAGTGGTGTCATCGCACTAACTGATGGGTGAGATCTCAGCCCCGTCCTCCTAGAAGGGGAGGATTCTCTCTCCCCCATATTCACCAGGTCCATTCTCCTTCCCCCCCCAAGCTCCTGCTGTGTCCTTCCCAGGGGTTTTCATGTGACATGGCCAGGTGGGCAGTGAGCAGAACTGTTCTAATCTGGTGTCGTTTTGCTTCTTCTCATGGTGACTAGGGCAGACCTGGGGATCCTGGACAACGTGGTGAGCCTGGGACCATCTTGGTAAGTCATTGCGTGGGGCCAGTTGTATCCATCTCAGAGTGGGCGACCTACTTACACCTGCAAAATAGCCTGGGCATCTGCTGGTGCAACCAGTTCAGCCCTGGCAGATGCGGGGAGGGCTTAGGCCCTGGGGTCTCACAGCTGGCAGTGAGGTTGGGGTTATGCCTCGGCAACCCTGGCTGGGGGCTGACCCTGTTTTTGTTCTCATTGTCTTTCCCTTGCTGTTCGTAGAATATTGAACGTGCCCTGGAAGCCTATGGGATTAAGGTAGGAAGCAAAACAACAGCGAGCATCTGTAAAGAGGGAGGGGAAACATGGGACTTGGGGTGGGGATACTGTCCCTGGCCACTGGGAAACCAGCAGGAGGGAGGCCTGAGCCTGGTAAGGGTGGGTGAGGAACAAGGGGAGAGTGAGATGTAGGGGGGATGACAGAGCCCTGACTAGTAGGCTCTTGGGTGGAGGAGACCAGGGCCCGGAGAGTGCACAACCGAGAGGGAAGCCAGCGCCATTGAGCATGTGATGTGGAGAAGGTTGGGATACTGGCTGGTGCACCTGGTAAGGGAGTGAAGGCCTGGGGGCCATGGGTAATAGTGGGGAAGGCATCTGCCTGGTATCCCAGCAGCTCTGTTGCTGGCAGGCATTTGGCAGTGGTAGGCCATGGCTGCAGGGTGTTACAATGGGATTGTTCCCATGTGTGCCAGGGGGAGAAGTCATCTGAGTGTGAAGGTCAGACCTACCATTCTCTGTCCCTGCCACTGACCTTCCCCTAGCAAATCCTGGGACCCCAGCATGTCTGCCTGCATTCATCAGGAGACCCTGTTCTCGTGCAGTGGTGGGATCGAGAAGCACTTGCTCAGGGATGTATGGACTCTCCAGGTTGTCCCTCTGTCAGGGGGCTCAGGGCCTGGATAGATTATCCCTCCCCCAATCCAGTATCTGGGACTTCTCTCCTTTGCCCGCTGTTGTGATGACCGCGCTCTGTCTCTCTCAGATTGCCTCGCTCAGAGAGATCACTGGAGCCTATGACGGCAGCACTGATCCATTTCTGCCCTACCCTGACCGCCGGAAAGGTCCAAAGGGTGATAGGGGAGACTCAGGGGAGAGGGGACCTCCAGGCAAAGAGGTGAGGTGAAGCCACCAACAGAGGGCTGGGGCAGGTACAGAGGGGAGGGGCGAGTTCCTCTGGGGCCTCTCTGCTGCCCCTTGTGGGTGAGGGGTCCTTCAGCCAGCACCCAGGGAAATAAAACACTCCCCGTCTTAGGGGTTGCTCTGAACCTGGTCCCAATGGGCCCCACTTCAGGCCTGGGTTAAATCCAGCCTCTCTGAGTCCCTCGGTGCTCAGGGACAAGCAAACAGCTCCCCAGGTTGGTCCTTTCCTCAGGAGAGGAGGCGTGTTGAGTCTCCAGCCCCTTCTCCTCAGGACTCTCACACACACGGCTTTGGAGTCCCCTGTCTCCAGGGGAAGATGAAGGGGGGAAATCCCAATGGCTCCCTGGTTCTCTCTGCCTCACAGCTCAGAGATGCAATGAATCTCAGCAGCATCTCCTCTAGGGAGTTGCCTCCCTCACTAGGGCTGTCCAGTTCCTGCCAATTCATAGATCTGCTCCATGCTGCTTTCCTGGGAAGGCAGTGGACTCCAGCTGCTTCTGGGCCCTGCTGGTTAACCCTTGTCTCCCCATGCACAGTCCTGCCATCACACTCCATTAGCAAGTGCAGCTCTACCCTGCCCAAGGCCGAGCGAGACTTACCTGCTTCCTGTGCCCAGTGCTCCACAGGCAGCCAGCCCTGACTTGGTCTGTCGCTGGCTAGAGACTGCACTCCCCGCTGGCCCCGAAGGGCTCCCTCCAAGCCAGGGCTGAAACCCGTTGATAGGGGCAACACATGAAGGAAGCCTGCCCATCCACTAGCAGCACTCTGTCTCCAGTGCTGTCCATCCAGCCCCAAAGCATGAGCTTCCCCATCATGTTCCTTCACCTGCTGGCGCCAGCCCTGGGACTAGCTGAGTTGTGGTGTGTTTCTTGCAGGGTGTGATGGGCTTTCCTGGAGAGAAAGGGCCCAAGGGCGACAAAGGAGACCAAGGCCCTGCTGGCCCCCAAGGCCCCATGGGACGTGCTATCGGAGAGCGAGGTCCAGAGGGGCTGCCTGGCCAGGCAGGGGAACCTGGCAAGCCTGGAATCCCAGGGGTGCCAGGGCGGGCCGGGGAGCTCGGAGAGGCTGGCAGGCCTGGCGAGAAGGTGAGTGAAACCTGGGGAAGAGGGAACAAGGATTGGAAGGTCAGTGGTGGCCAGTTGTGCAGCTGGCCTAGTGCGTGAAGCTGCTAGGGGATGGGACAGGAATGGAGGGGGCTTCCCTCCCCCCCCTCCCCGACTGTAAGATGTGGTGACGCCTGCCTGCCATGACTGTTCTCTCAGGGGCAACGGGTGCCTGTGTGGGTGGGAGCAGCCCATGGATTTAGGGGCCTTTTTGAGGAGGTTGTGCAGGGGGAAACAATCCTTTTGGGAGGACTCTGTGCTACATGGTGACCAGACTCTTGGTTCCCAGGCAAGGACCTCAGCTGCTTGAGGGCCCCAAGTCCTGTCTCAGGCTCCCGGTGAGACTGCTCCGAAATCTATCAGCTGGGGCCCTCCTGGCATTTACTGACCCTTGCTTGGGAGGGGAGGAGGGAGCAGAACCAAACCCCTGAGACAGCTCTGCTGACCTGCCCCCCCCCCCTTTGCTTTGCAGGGCGATCGGGGCGAGAAGGGCGATCGGGGAGAGCCGGTGAGTGAGGCCTGGACCCACCAGGCATGCAGCCTGCTGCACCTTTCCATATCATGCACTCTCCATAACTGGCAAACATGCCATGATCTGTATCTCCGTGGGATAAGAGGCAGCTATTACTGCCCGTGTCTGCACATGCATCGAGATTGCCAATAGGGGAAACTGACCCTCTGATTTAGGGGGCTCAGGATTATTCCCTGGGGGTGCAGGGGCCATCGGTTGCATGTAGCCTGTGGCCATGGGGCTAGATTCCAAATACCAGGGACAGGGGTGCTGTCTTCTGTGCCCCCCAGGCATGTCACTGATGATTCAAAGTCCAGTGGCTCCTCATGTAGCCCTACCCTAAATCCAGCAGGAATCCACAGGGCACACAGAGAAGCCCCCAGCTGGCTGGCACATGCACCAGCAGGGGAAGGATTTTGACAGTGCTGCAGTACCATAGTCCACCTGTGTTGTGCTCTGGGCTTGCAGGTGGAGCCTTGGAGGGCTGGGATCAGAGACGGTGCCCGCAGCCCTGAAGGGAGCACTGACTGTGGGGCACAGAATGGAAGGTCCCTGGGATCTGGGGCCCAAACTAGGGTGGGGAGAATGGGCCAAGAAGTGCATAAAGGACAGTCCTTCACCTTCTCCCCAGTCCTTCGCTCTGCCCCCTTGGGGTGTTGCTGCAGGGTCAGTGTACAGGGGTTGCCTTCTCCTGGGGTGTGGGGCTGTTTCCCCCCGGGGACGGCTTCTGCTCTGCCCTCTGAGGGATCATCTGGGTCTTTGATCCATGTCCTGTTTGTCTTGTCTCAGGGCAGAGACGGCGTGCAGGGTCCTCCAGGGCCCCCGGGACCCAAGGTGAGTGAGTCCCCACCTGGCAATGTTGTCCAGGTCTGCCCACTGGGACCAGAGGGTGTTTGGCTCTGGGCCATCTGCAAAGGACCTGACTCCCCTGCTCCTTGGAATGACAGGGATGGGATAGTTGTGAAGGCCATGTGCTGAGCTGTTGGGGAAGGGAGTGCCCCATGCTTCCCCACAGCCTCCCCCTTCTGGGAGATGCTTGGGTCTAGACAGCCTTGTCCATCGCTCTTTGGCCAGGCCTAAGAAAGAGCCAGCAGGACACAGGGCAGATCCTGTACAACCCCCCACCCTCCCCAGGCCTTGGGCCTTTGAGTCCCTATTGTCCAGTGTTATCATGGGGTCCTGCTCTTCAGGCAGCTCAGACACAGGTGTCGGGAAGCCACTGCAGGCAGCAGCCAGGTGACTAACATCACGCTGTTTAGCAGGGGCCTCACCATTGTGCAGCCCCAGTTGAACTAGGAGACAGCAGCTGGGGCAAGTTGCCCCAGGACCTGTCCTTTTAACTAGCAGGCGCCATGGGAAGACCCCTGAGGCCTGGCAGGGTTAGTCCCCCTCAGCCTGTCTAACAGGATCAGCACAGCTCTGCAGGGTCCCAGGGGAGGCCACCAGTGACACTCAGCTCTGAACTCTGGGTGTGGCCCCGAAAGGGACGTTCCAGACCCAGTGGGCCCAAGGGACACCCAGCTTCATTCGATCTAGTACAGAACATAGAGGAGATACGAGCCCTGCTGCTTCACAGCGTCAGCCAGCCACTCCATGCCCAGGGCTGGAAGAGGCTGGGTAAGTTCTTCCAGAGAAGCCCATTATGGGTTTCTTGTGCCTTCCTCTGAAGCAGCTGGGTCTGGCCATTGGCCCCTGGGCAAGAGGGACCCATTAGTCAGATCTGGTCTGGCAGTTCCTATGGCTCCAGGGGACAAACAGGAATCTTACCCAGGGCATGTGGGGAGAGGGGTCGGCGGGTGCCCTGTAGGAGACCAGATTCCCATGGAGGGTTCCCAGTGCTGTTGGCGGCAGAGTTGCTGGCCCTGGGCTGCTGCCTCTCACTGTGCTCTTGTGTCTCCAGGCAGATGTGGTGGAAGGGAGCCTCTCGGGTCTTCCGGGGGAGCGTGGACCCACAGGACCCAAGGGAGCCAAGGTTAGTGCCGAGGAGGAGAGGAGCCCTGTCTGTACCCCATGTCTCAGTCAGAGTTTAAGGCCCAAAGGGACCATGAGAACATAGTCTGAACTCCTGTCTGTCACCACCACCAACTCCACCCAGCACCGCACATTAAGCCCATCTCACCAGATCTCCCAGGGTGCTGCATGAAATGGAGCTGGTAACTCTTTCCTCTCCCTGAATTTGGCCCAATGCCCCAGTGTGGTGCTAAGAGGTGCTGTGCTGCTGCGTTTCAGATGGGATGTTCGAGGTCCTTTGTGGTCATCAGAGAGCTAATGGCGCTTACCACACAAGCGTGGGTTTTAATCGTTGTGTCCTGGCCAGATTCCTGTGTGGAGCAGGACATCCCTAGATTCCTCCTGTACTTCCAGTTGGCTAAGAGATTCTCCTTCATAAACTCTTGTTAGTGTGCTGTGTGATGTTCAGCAGCCCCCCCAGCCCAGAGGTGGCTGCATTTCAGTGGTGGGTAAAATGATTCCTGCCTGTAATGTTATAGGAATCACCCTGTAAGTTCCTTATTTCCTAAACCAGGGTCTTCCTTCAGCTCAGTCTGGAAACTGACACTGTGGTACTGTGAGCTCAGTCCACTCTGGTGACATCATTGTTGCCACAACAATCAGTGTACTTTCAAGGGGACAAAGCAGCAGCAGACTGAATGAAACACTAAGGGTACGTCTATACTTACCTCCGGGTTCGGCGGTAAGCAATCGATCTTCTGGGATCGATTTATCGCGTCTTGTCTAGACGCGATAAATCGATCCCGGAAGTGCCGTCGACACCAGTATTCCTGCTCCGCGAGAGGAGTAGGCGGAGTCGACGGGGGAGCCTGCCTGCCGCGTGTGGACCCGTGGTAAGTACCTTGTAATTCGAACTAAGATACTTCGACTTCAGCTACGTGAATAACGTAGCTGAAGTTGCGTATCTTAATTCGAACTGGGGGGTTAGTGTGAACCAGCCCTAAGTGGGAACAATGGTGGGGCTTAGAACAGAGGCAGCAATGCTGTCTACTGGATTGGGGAAGGTGGTGGTGGCAGCTGCCACTCAGGAGAGATGTAAGGAGAGAGTGGTCTGGAGGTTATAGCCAGGACTCCTGGGTTCTATTCCCTGCTCTATGAGGGCGTGTCCCCGATGGTTAGAGCAGAGTGACTATCTGGCTATGGTTTGAGCCAGGGCTTTCTGACACTAACTTCCATTTTCTTCTCCCTCCTGTGCAGGGAGAGCCCGCTGAGGATGGCGAGAGAGGACCCAAAGGAGATAAGGTCTGAGTGTAGTAAGTCTTCTGGCACCTGCACTTCACCAGCTTCCTCTCTGACTCTGTTTCGCTCACATCCGGGGATCTCCTCTGCCTGGGGCACTTGACTCTGTCTTTGATCCCTCAGCCTCTCTCTCGCTATCCTTCTGTCTGGCTGCACTGCTGCTCAGCAGGCCCAGGTCTCTGGGGCTGGCCCTCCTGTGTTGGAATCCAGGCGCCGGTGCCCTGCCAAGGCACTACTGGTGGCTCATCACCCCATTGGAATGGTTCTTTCCTGGCAATGGCAGCTCCTCAGGCTAAGTCTGAGTGGTCCATGGAGAGAAAACTTGCATCCCCCAAGGGGGGCCCTCCAGGGCAAGTGTGAAGCATGTCAGCAGGTGATGGTGTGTGGGGGAAGCTGGCCTGGCCACTGCCTGTTCGGCTTATAAACAGGAGATCTCAGCCCCAGGGCTGTCAAGCCAGCAGCTTCCACACACAATCACTCTGAATTTATTCTTTAAAAAAGAAGGAAAAGTCCACATTATACCGTAGGCCCTACATATAAACAAAGCAGCACGAGCGCACCCGCTCCCTGCGCTTTACTATGGCACGAGCCCTGCTTCCTGTGCAGCCATGGGAGTCCGTTCCCCTGCCGATTTCCAATAAATGCCCAAGGCTGTGCTGTGCTGAGACCTTATGTCCCCATGTGATGTCTCCCTCCCCAAAGAGCTGGGCAGCACTAGGGAGATGGGGGGTACTCCTCAGGGAGCAAACAGATCAATATCCCAGCGGGTGAGCCTCCCCCTGCCCTGGACAGGAGAGGGTCTCAGGTTGGGATGGGTCACGGTGATTTCCTGCTGGTCTTTGTGACGTGCTGCGTGTCCCGATTGCAGGGTGAACCTGGGCAGAAGGGGGAGAGAGGAGAAGCTGGCGAGAAAGGCAGGGATGGCAGCCCGGTGAGTACTGCTATTGGGACCAGAACTACTGGAACAACAGCAGGGTGTGGGTTGGGACTGAGGTTCACTGGCAGAGCTGGGAGACAAGGCTGCACTGACGGGGGCTGGGGTGCATTGGCAGAGCTGGGGGGTGAGGCTGGACAAACAGGGGACTGGGGTGTGTTGGCAGAGCTGGGGGGGTGAGGCTGGACGGATGGGAGCTGGGGGGTGAGGCTGGATGGATGGGGGATGGGGTGCATTGGCAGAGCTGAGGGGCGAGGCTGGACAGACGGGGGACTGGGGTGCGTTGGCAGAGCTGGGGGGGTGAGGTTGGATGGACGGGGGGCTGGGGTGCGTTGGCAGAGCTGGGGGGTGAGGCTGGATGGACGGGGGGCTGGGGTGCGTTGGCAGAGCTGGGGGGGGGTGAGGCTGGATGGACAGGGGGCTGGGGTGTGTTGGCAGAGCTGGGGGGGTGAGGCTGGACAGACGGGTGGCTGGGGTGTGTTGGCAGAGCTGGGGGGTGAGGCTGCACTGACGGGGGATGGGGTGGCTTGGCAGAGCTGGGCAGGGGGCGAGGCTGGGCTAACACTGGGGCGGTTAATATGTATTGGCAGGGCTGGGGGTGGGGTGGGGTCAAGGCTGGACCAGCAAGGGCTAGAGTGAGGTGCTTCAGCAGAGCTGGGGGCTCGGTGCTTCCAAGAGTTGTTAACCCCTTGGTGTCTGTTTTTTACTGTCTGTCCCTTGCCTTATTTGCTTTAGGGCCTCCCAGGAGAAAGAGGCCTTGCTGGGCCGGAAGGGAAACCGGTGAGTAAAGGCGGGAAGCATCAGCCTGGGAGTGCGGGGTGCGGGAGGGGGCGCATGGAAATGGGGTGGCCGGAGGAGTGTGTGACAGGCTGGCTTGGAGGCTGCTCGGAGAGGAGTGAGCTGGTCACTTGGGATTTTCTCAGGAGCCAGAGTCTCTGTGTCGGGGTTTAGCTGAGGTTGTCATTCCCAGCTGCAGAGACAGGGCAGCTCCCGCGAGACATGCCAGCACCCCAGTACACTGCCTGTTCCCCAATACCACCTCTGGGCTCTCTGGAATGTTTGCGGGACAATTCCCTGGGCCGGCAGGGATTCAGGACACTGAGTGGGCATGGCTGAGACCACGTGCAGGCGGGTGAGGTGCCCCCAGCACAGGGGGACAGGGTGTGATTCAGGCAGGGAGGAGAGACTAGGGCTCAGCATATGGCTAAGAGCCCCCAAACCAGCTGCCTTTGTTCTGTTTGTCGTGCTGTATCTGTGCTCTCAGTGCCGGGAGGGTTTGGAACAGGTACCCAGTGCTGACTGTGATCGAGCTGGTGGGGGATCCCCAGACAGCCCCCAGTTTGTTCTTGGGAACACGTCCGTCTGCATTAACCAGCGGGAGACACTAGCTGTGCAGGAAACCCTCCCGCACAAGGTGCCAGCATCGCTGTTCCAGCCCCTTCACACTCCCGTGAGCAGCATTCCCCACTGCGACATTGTGCTGCCAGCTCACGTGTTATCGTTTTGTGTCCTTCCCTTCCATCCAGGGCCCGCAGGGCTTTAGAGGGCCTCCCGGCCCAGCTGTAAGTAACCATTCGTGGTAGGCCTTGGTTCTGGGCCCTGGCTGAGGTTGGCTTCCCCAGCTCTCTATCTATCCTGTGCAGTAGCTCTGTCTTGGCATCATATTGTATAGGAGGTCAGGCCTGAACTGGGGCTGCTTCAGGGGCTGCTGTGGTTTCGCTAATTCTCCGGCTTTGAATTGCCTCTTTGCAGGGTATGCCAGGCTTTCCCGGAGTTCTAGGCCGACCGGTAGGTGATTGCCTTCCCCTCCTGTCTTGCGCCCTTTCTGCATGTAGCAAGTACATCCTTCTCCTGCAGAGTCTGGGGCGTTTCTGCTTTCAGGAGCAGCCTGCATTGTAAACTTTTCACAGGGAGGCAGAGATCATGCATCTGGAGGTTAGAGCAGGGACCGGGATTCCAGAGATATGTGTTCTAGTCCTGGTTCTGACTCACAACTTTGGACAAGTCACTTACTCTCTCCTGGCCCTCAGTTTCCCCATCTGTAAAATGGGGCTAGTGACTCTGAAGCTCCTCACAGGTGTAAAGAGCTCAGAGATCCTTGGATAATAGTGCTAGAGCAAGACCCACAATGACTGACTGTAGCGCACAGCTGGTTAAGAAGTGCTGACAGCACATAAAGTGAGAGGATTAAAATCCTGTCTGTCTGTGCCTGGCCCCTGTTGTAAATCCCATAAAGCAGGCTGGGTTTGCTCTGCTGCCCCTATTGTCCCAGACACAGTGTGACATGCACAACAGCGTGTGGAGAGTATGGGTGCAACCCTGTCGCCCATTGAGTGCGACTTCCCTCCCTCTGCAGGGCCGTGAGAGGGGGCTATGGTATGGTGGCAGGGACACTTCACATGAGGAGAACTCAAGAGTCCAGAGCTCAGCCCTTTTTCAAGAATATTGATCCAACCAAAACTCAGTTAAACCCAAAAGCCAGTCGGCCCATCTGACCTCTGCGGTGGCAAGAGGTGATCAGTCTCCCAGAGTCCCCATCCAGCACTGACAACCTCTCTCCTGTCCTGCAGGGCAACCAGGGAGATCCAGGGCCACCAGGCTCAGCTGTAAGTAACACCAGCCTCCTGTACCTTCTGTTGTCCATGGCTGTGCGTGTATCAGAGCCACATCTCCGGTGGCATGGGGGAATCTGCTACTGCCTGAACCCCAACATTCACAGTAGTGTCCAGATGGTTCCTGGAGGCTGAAACCTGCTGGCATGAGATGTCAGCCCAGCACAGAGCTTATGCTGGGAAAGGGGAACAGAAAATGACATCCATTGGAGCTGCCAGAGGCACACAAAGCATTTCTGTTCAGCTTTCACCACCCTGCCAGCCCTCGCCATGGGGCCTGCAAGAGATGATGTCCTGCAGAGCTGGAGGCACAGCCCCCTGTGTTCTTAGCAGGGCCAGGGCGATGCGGATCCCTGAGCCCAGGATGTTAAACGGGGCTTTTGTGGGTGCGGCAGATTCCAAGGCAGCAAACCAAACAGGAAGCACATCAGCGTTGTCCATGCTGTGCTCCAGAACCGGCTCAGTTGCACTGCTGGGCTCTAGCTGTACCCGGGGATAACCATCTTCTCTTTCCTTGCAGGGGCTTGTTGGACCGCCAGGCGCTCAGGGCCCACCTGGAATAAAGGTGCGTCCCAGACAGCAGCTTCTTCCAACCTGCTGGAGGCTGGAACCTCTGGCCAGAGGAAGCTGGAGTCCTACTGCCTTTGCTGGGCTTAGGGACTCCAGGAGGCTGCGTTAGCTGGAGGAAGCACTGCAGATCAATGAATCGATATGGAACCCACAGGCATGGCTCATGCATCCACTGGGGGAGGCCTCCAGCTCCCGGGAGCACCAGGCTCCAGGCAGAGCCGCATGTGGGCTGAGAGAGGGCCATGCATGAGGCTTGGATGATGGGCACATCCCTGAGCAAGCCAGAGGGTGTGGAGCTGCAGAGCATGCAGAACCCTGTGCTAGCTGGAGGGCTTTGCTGCCCTGCTTAGACCCGGGATTGCAAGGGTCCGATTCCAGGTCAAGTACTGCACACCTATGGGTTACACTGTCCCCTGGCCACTGTGGTCCCAGTGTGCGTGAGATGCAGGCTGTGTCCTTAAAAGGTGCCACCTGTTTGGAAGGCCCACATGGCGTTGTCCCATACTATGGAAAGAGGGGGAGGGGGAGGCTTGCTGGGAGACTGGCTGGAGCCTTTGGGCACCCCATAGCACAGGGGACACGGGGAAGGAGTGACAGCAGGGGAGGCTCCACTTCTCCAGCCTAGTAGGTGAGGGGAGCGTGAGTCACAGTAATGGACCAAATTCACCCCGGGACACATCCCTGGAGTCAGCGCAGTGAGCCCAGGGCTGAGTGTAGGAAAGGAATGGCGAGGACAAAGTCCCTGGAGGGGAAAGAGCAGCAACCCAGGGCTGGGAGACACTGAGTGTATCTTTGCAGAGAGCACCCTGGGGGGTACCTGTCCCCATCCGTGGGTGGACGTCTACCCTGCTCTCCTCACTTAACCACACGCCAGTGCACACGCAGGACCCAGGCTGGTCCTCCTCTGCCAAGCATCCTCAGGCTGCGTTAGCTGTAGGAGGCCTGACGAGCTCCTACCATTGTGGTCTCTGCTTTGGTTAGTTTCCTGGAAATGTTCCAGTGAGCGAGCTGCTGAGTGGAATGGGTCGGGGAGCACTCACTGTAGTAACAGACCCTGTGTGGAGCTGGCGGTGTCAGAGCCCCGAGTGTGAAGCTCTGGCATCTCCTGGGAACTTGGGTCAGCTCAGTTCCCAGTTGCAGCTGGAATCCCCCTTGTGTGGCTGCTGGATCCCTCCTGCAGGTCTGAACAGCTGGAGCTCCCAGGGCTGAAACAGGAATTGGAGAGAGAACAGCACAAATACCACGTTGAACTCTCTCGTACACAGCTCCCAAATCCACCCCTCCTTCCTCCGTAGCCAGGCAGCCAGAACTTTAGGTGAGAACACCGAGCTGCAAAGGGCTAACGGAACAGGCCTGAGCCAGATCTGGTTGGCATTCCTTGATCTGTCACCAGACCTGTGCCCTGGCACCTGTCTGGCTGGAACAATCCCCGGCACACAATCTCGAGAGGCCCATGAGTATTTGCTGTGGTCAGTCGCTGTAGAAGCTGGTATTGGAGGTCCTGTCTCTGCTGAAGTCTTGTGTAGGCTCCTGAGCTGCCAAGGGCTGGCGTGGCCATCTGAGCGGGGGGGTCTGGTTCCTGATAATGTCTGGAGAGGCTGGCTTGAGGCCTCATGGACACCAGCAGATGGATCTGGGATTGTTGTACCTGCCATGTGGGGGTTTGTAACAGACTCTCTTATTGCAGGGAGATTCGGGTGAGCCTGGCTCCAGCATTCGGGTGAGTAGCTCTGCCATGCCCTGCCATCTGTGCCCCGTCCCTATTCAGGCTGGCTCTGGCCTGAACTTAGGCACTTGCGGGACCTTACCCAATGGGTACACACCTGTCCTAAAGTGGGTGCTGGGCCCTTTTCTTCGGGGACTGCTGGTGTGTCCTGATTCCGTGACAGGCCAAGGCCTGGGAGCCTGCAGAGTGACTCTGCCTGGGGGGAGATGCTGTCAGTGTGGAACCCACTATCCTAGGGAGAGGCTTCCCCTGCTCTCTAACACATGCCTCTTTGTTCCGTTGCAGGGCTTGCCCGGGCCCCAGGGGAGCGTCGGCCTCCCAGGCCCCTCAGGCCCCCCCGGCCTTGTGGTAAGTAGTTGGTGTGATTTTTCTCTCATTGGGGTGCCATCAGGGAGTGGAGTTTGAATGTTCTCTGTGCTGCTGCCCAGGGTGGAAGATTAGCGGTTCCTCCCTCATTGCCTTTGATTCCTGACTGTGTTTGTTTTCCATCAGGGACCGCAGGGCGCCCCAGGATTGCCAGGACCAGTGGTGAGCATTGCTTGTGCACAGTGACCGATAGCCCCCTTGCTGCTATGGGGGCTATGAATTGCCAAATTCCCAACTGGCCTGGCTTTGCTGATGGCCCTTCCAATGTCCTGCCACTGGCATTTCTTCTCTTGGCAACCTTTGCCTTTGTGTACGCGTCCATTTGGCAAAGCTGGGCCTTCCTTGGCTGAGAGAGCAGGATCCAGGTGGCCCATTGCGCAGCTGATGCTCTTGTGTCCCTTCTCCGAGGCCTGGAAGTGGCAGGAGGCGTCCGATGGAGATGCTAGCTGTGGAGTGGATTGTCAGCAGTGCTGTCTACTTCTCCCTCCCCCTGATAATTCCAGCTGTTCCATTCCCGTTTTCTAGGGCGAGACTGGAAAGCCTGGAGTGCCGGGGAGAGATGGAGTGCCGGGGAAGGAGGGAGAACCAGGGCTGCCTGGGAAAATGGTATGTCCCACACAGATGCTGGCAGGGCATGTGCCTCTGCTACAGTGAGCTCCAGCGGGAAGGGGAATGGCAGCATTCTCCAGATACTCGGGGGATGGAGGAGTTAGAAATGCCACAGTCCTACTGCACTGAGCCTCTCCGGCCTTCCCTCCCATTGTGTGTCTGGCACTGGAGACCACGTGGATCAGGAGTTGTTCTACGTCTGTCTGTGCAGCTGGCTGCCCCTGTGACTCTAGCCCAGTTGGAATGACACAGGAGGTCTCATCAAACCACAGATTCCAGGGGATGTGGCACCTCTAATCGGCACTGAAAGCTTGGCTTTGAATTCAGCGTGGTTTAGATTTTCCATGGCAGCGTGGTGTGTGGAAGAGTACATTGAATTCAACCACTGGGAGTGTGGTATGCAAGAGAGCTAAGTCAGCAGCCATGTATGATTGGCCAGGTTACCTCCGTGGTGGCCCCACCTCCTGAGAGGGAGCTGGTAGTGGCAGAGCAGCCAAGGGTGCCTGGATGGGAGCATGGAGTTGGGGCACAGCAGCACCCATCATGCCCATCTCAGGCCAAGGCTAACAGTTGTGTTGATTGCATGACAGGGTGTGCCAGGACCCACAGGCCCTGCCGGACCTAAAGGAGCGCCAGGGGACGCCGGGCTCCCAGGACAGGTGTGTATGACGTTCTCCTATCTCGCTTGGCTCATTTTCTGAGCCAACTGTGATAGGTTCCTAGCTCCCTTCAGTGGATTTTCCTTCTGAAGATGGGAGTAACTCATCCAAAGCCCAGCCCTGCTGGGTGGGGTGGGCTGAGCTGGCCCCTCTCCTGGGCTGTGGAGTGAGTGTCTCCCTCATGGCCCCTGCCTCTGGGTAATAACTCTCTCTCCCTGCCACCTGAGCCCAGCTCTGATGGAGGCGGGACCCTTCAGCGTGCACTGTAAGGTTGCTCTCCTCCCATCTCAGGGTGTGTGGGGTGACCTAGGATTGACCTGTGTGGGTTGGAGGGGGGTCATTACATCCCCTCCCCACCACCAGCCCAACATTACCTGCTACAGGAATTCTGAATGCGGGTCCCATACGGGGATGGTGTCGGGGCCTTTAATCACTTTATAGCTTGCCCAGTGAGGAAATGGCAGTAGCCGGGGTTCAGCTGGGCTGGACAGCCCTTCCACATGGGGGTAGGGAGTTACTATCCCCCTGCCTAAGCCATGGACCAAGCAACGGTGCTTAGCATTGTGCTCTCTTGCTGTCCTCCTTTGTGTGATTCACTCACTTCCTACCCCGGCCCTTGAAGTGAGAAACCTCCCCCCGTCCCTTGTGTCACTCCTCTGTTAAATGTCCATATTTCCCCCTGCCTGTCTCTAGACGATTGTCGGTCCTCCTGGGATGAAAGGCGAGAAGGTAAGAGGCTTGGGGGTTAGCTCAGAAATCTGCACAGAAAGCTTCAGAGGGGGAGTGTGGGGACAGGGAGCCAGGACTCCTGGGATCTTTTTCCAACTCTGGCCCAGAAATTGTATTATTATTAATGTTGTTAGAGCCCAGTAAAAAACAGAGAGGGAGAGGGTGGTGCTGGAACAGCCTGGAGTGAGTGACCAGCCCTTTGGTGCGGGGCTTTCTCAGTGCCACGCTGCCCATGTTCCTGTGTCCGTTCTGATGTCATGAGCTGCATCTGCTCTGGCTTGCCCACTGCCAGCTTCCCCGGTGTCTCATCAGCCACTCCAGTGTCTGAGCAGGAGCCTAGGGGTCCCAGGCTGCACCAGGAGTGATGGTTTGTGGTGACCAGGATCAGTGGAAGAAGGTAGCCCAGATGTCAGCTCAGGGTGGGGAGGGGATGGGGAGGCCTGGTGCTCGCTTTGTGGGGATGCAGGGGGCACAGGAGGGATGCCTGACGTGCTGAGCCTTTGTGTGTTGCTGTCTAGGGCGAATCCGGAGGGACTGAAGGGAACCTGTTGGGTGAACCGGTAAATTGGCCTTTCATGTCCCTTCCCACTGTTGTATCTCAGACTCTGTGCCCAAAGCCAAGCACTAACTCTGCTCTCTACCTGCAGGGTGCCAAGGGCGAGCGAGGCTTACCGGGCCCCAGGGGAGAGAAGGTGAGGAACTTCCCCACACCCCATTGCAGGGAGGGGCTTCCACTCTCTGCTCTTAGTCACCTCCCTGTGATGGCTCATGGTGCCTTTGTGACCTGACCCATTTCACTCCCCATTGGTGAGTCTCACTCTCTTTCTTCCTGCCAGGGGGATCCTGGAAGACAGGGGGAACCTGGAGACCCTGGGGAAGATGTAAGTACCACATAGATGGGGTGCTGGGAATGGCTGGGATCCCCACTGTAGGAATGCTGAGTCCAGACCCAGTGTTAGAGGCTGGGGGAGGCTCTCCCCTGCCCACCTGCTCAACCCCCCCATTCAGGTTCTTGTCCTGGGCCCAGCACTGGAGTATGTGAGTGGTTTTGATTTGTTTCATTGCCCCACCTGAATGGGAAGCCCTGGCCTTTGCCATAGTAAACATCTGAGCACGGGCAGCTCCAGCATGTCTGAGATCTGGCTCCAGGGGGAAGGCTACCTTGGTGCGTTGTAATCTAGTTCTGAAAAATGGTATACAGCACGTGTGCATGCCCTTAAATAAATTAAATAAATAAATTAATGGAGATATCCTATCTCCTAGAACTGGAAGGGACCTTGAAAGGTCATCAAGTCCAGCCCCCTGCCTTCACTAGCAGGACCAAGTACTGATTTTGCCCCAGATCTCTAAGTGGCCCCCTCAAGGATTGAGCTCACAACCCTGGGTTTAGCAGGCCAATGCTCAAACCACTGAGCTATCCCTCCTGTGTATGTGTGCAGTGAGTGTGCACAGCATGGTTTGTCCTCATTGTTTCCTGTGCTTGTATTTTAACAGGGAGCCAAAGGATCCCCTGGAGTCAAAGGGGAAAAGGTACGTAGCAGCCCCAGTACTTGGGCTCCAGTGTACTGAGCCTAGAACCTCACTGGCACGGCCTGTCAGTCACAGAACAGGATGCATTTAGCAGCACTTGGTGGCTCAAACACCCACCTGTCACTCGTTACCTTCCATATTGCACTCGGGCTCATGTCCCTGAGGTATCTCGCTTGCAGTTTGATTGTCATGTGCTGGTGGCTGAGGAGCGGGGAGGATTGTGGCAGCAGTGAGAAGGGAAGGTCTCTGAGTCAACACGAGACAGAGAGAGCCCTTGAGAGCCGGAGCAGCCGCCAGCTGTGTGGTCAGGGTTACTGGGACGAGCTGGCCTGCTCTGATTGGTGTTTGGCTGGGTGAAAGGCTGATGTGAATGGGCTAATCAGGGCCCTTCTTGCATTGTTTAGCAGTGACTGGGGTGTTCATGGCTGTGGAAATGGCTGTCACAGTGTCTGTGCCTCATTCCTGCCCTGGCGGGACCCCCCCGGGGCTAAGAGGGGAGTTTATTCTCCAGGGACCACAAGCAGGGCCAGCTGAATGCACCCCGTTCTGTGACTGACAGGGCATGCTGGTGAGGTTCTTGTGATGTGGCCGCTTTCCCACTAGAGACTGACTGAGGCCTGGTAGTGAACAGCCATAGATTGCAACCATGCTCAGTCACCAGCTGGGGCATAGCTTACTGGAGGACAGGTCTGTCCCATTCCCATCCACTCCTAACCCCTGTATATCCCTATGTATCCAGGCCTCTGCCCCTCCATGTGGCGTGACTTACCATTTCTATTCCATCTGCACCATTCAGGGTTCGGTTGGCATTGGCCTGCAGGGACCCCCTGGACAAGATGGGCCTCAAGGTTTGAAGGTAACATCTCCTAAGACTTTGTTAGCACAGAGAACCTCTCCTTAGTCATACGGGGAGTCTGGGAATCAGAACTCCTGGGTTCTCTTCCCACCTCTGGCTTGCTGAGTGACTTGGGCCAAGCCTCTTCCCTGGCTCTGTGCTTGTCTCCCTGTTTGTATAATGGGGTTAATGACACTTGGCCTCTGTTGTTAAACACCTGGTTGGAAGGTGTATATTATTATTGTTATCAACTTAAAACATGGAGTGAAACGCCACGTGCTGGCCTTGGTACCGCTCCCTGTTCAGCATTGCTGTCTCCTGCTGTACGGGACCTGCCCAGCCCGCAGACTTACTGCCAAGCCAGGAAATACTGTGAATTTTTACAGCACGAGCAAGATGCCCATAATCTCCCCCTTCATGGGAAATTGGTTATTTGGTAGATTCTCGAGGCCGTTTGAGTGAGTCACAGGACAGCTGTAGATGGGGAGGTGGCAGGAGCCACTCTAGAAGCAGGACATAAAGGGCTGGATGCCCCACCCCTTCACACCTTGCCTACCCTGCCCCTCACAGCTTCCAGGCTGAGAGAGACTGGTGCTTACAGCGCTCATGTGGCATCAGCACCACTGGTGCTGGACAGCTCCTGCTGGAGGTCCTGAAGAGCTGGGACATTCTACTCCTGGTTCCAAACCAATCCCCCAGCAGAGATCTTCAGCGCCCAGTTACCAATGAAAATTACCCCCCCCCCTCCACCATGCACACCCAGGGAAAGCTACCTACTCCAGTGTTACCGCAGAGCGGGCAAGTGCTGGGATCAGGATATCTCCACTCCAATGCCAGCCATCCTCCATATACAGGCCTGACCCCCTCTCTTCTGTGCTGCCTACTTCTACAGGCCTGAGATCCTTTGCCCTGCTTCTGCCCACCCTCAGCGTGTGGGTGTTTGGCTGAGCTCACCTCCATTTCACTCCTCCCCCCGGGGCTGAGTGCTCTGCCCTGCTGGAGTACAGCATTTCCCTCCAGACTGACATTGAAGTCCCCTGAGGAGTGTGCAGCGCCACCCCACTGCTCCTCTCTCAGCAGTCTGGCATCAGGGGAGTCCTTCCCCAGCAGCAGGCTCACCAGCACTGGCTCCTTCTGTCTCCCCTCCAGGGTGACACTGGCTTACCTGGCCCACCAGGATCCCCGGGCGTGCCAGGCATCGCAGGGACCCCCGGCCAGCCAGGTCTGAGGGCAGAGAATGGACAGCCAGGCCCACCAGGACCTCCAGGAGAGAGGGTAAGAGGAGCAGTTACTATCTGGCCCTGAGCTCTGGCCCATCTCACCCCTGCTAAAGCACAGCCACTTGGACCACACGCCCCAACCGCACATGCTGCTCAGCACCAAGGGCCAGTTCAGCAGCACGACTGCCCAGCTCCCCCAGCTTCTACCCTGGGCCTGGCCCTGGAGGTGCATGCAGGGGAGCCACATTACAAAGGGAGGCCACTGGGTGAGTCCATGAGACGTTCCAGAGCCCTGAGGCTGCCTGTCCATGGACTCCTTGGTGCCGGCAGGCAGGGCCTCCTGCTGTGGGAGTGCAAGGGGTCAATGAAAGAAGGGAAAAGACCATGAAGGACCTTCCGGCCGCCCCCAGACCAGACTTTTCCCTGCAGCGCTTTCTCCAACCCAATGTGAAGTGTGCGCCAGCAAAGCAGCTTCCATCAGCTCCCTCCTGCGACGTGCAGAGTCTGCAGCGCCCCCTCAAAGGGTTAAACGTCCTTTCTCCACTCACTCCTCCCTGGTCACGTGTGGTAGTGCCATCCCGCACTGAACAGGGCTCTCCTTCCTGGCAGGACCCAGGAGTTCACCCCGAGCTGCACAGTCCCCCTCCCACGAGAACACTTGCACTTGCCTCCGCCTGGTGCCCGGAGTGTGAGCTCTGCCATGGGGGAGCTCAGTGAAGAGAGATGCCCCAGGGCCATGGGGCTTGGCCTCTGCCCTGGAGAGGCCTTAACTGTGCTCCCTTTACAGCGAAGGCCACTCCTGAGCCTTCACTAGCTGTGAAGTGGGGCCTCACCGTGGCCAAGGCCTCTCTTGATTGATGTATTTTTCCTGCTAGGGTTTGATTGGCTTCCCTGGAAGAGACGGCACCTCTGGCTCACCAGGGCCGCCGGGGCCCCCAGGGCCAGCGGTGAGTGTTTGGGCATCTGGGGCCAAGAGTGCTGGGTGTGTAGCCAGGAGGAGGAAGATGGTTTCAAGGGGGTGCAGCTATTGCTCCCCCTAACTCAGCGTCTCCCTGTGTCTCTCAGTAGGTGCCCTGCACAGCCCCGGGGAGGGAGAACTGGGCAGGGTGCTGGAAAGAGCCTGCTGCCCTGACAAGAGAAGTCAAACTGCCAGGCTCTCTGGAGAGCAAACGAACAGTGCAGGGGGTGACAGGCAGCTGCCCTGGGCCAGGAAAGAGGCCATTAAAACCCAAGTCAACGCCACTTTGCACAGCTCCAAAGCGAGGGATTTCAAAGGTCAAGTGCCCTAAAGCAGGCGGGCTGGGTGTCTAACACACTTGGGCCATTGCCACAGCAGGGGCACGTTGTCTGCTTGCACACACAGCTGTGACTCTTGCTCATCACTTGCACACACAGTCCCAAGGATTGTTTGAGATCTTCCAGCCCCCACCCCCAAGCATGGGGTTCACCTTTGGGTGACAGAAAAATCTCTTGCTTATGCCAGTGCAGGCACCCTTAGGGGTTTCCCTGTGGACTGGAGCCAGAGCAGCTTTGCATCCAGATTCAGAGCTGGGTGAGAGGCTTACATGAGTATCATTGAACTATTCCCTTGAGTGGGTTGGGGTCGGGGAGGGATGGCTGGACAGATGAATATCTGCATTTCTTCAACTAAAACTCCCTCTGCCTCCTTGTTCGCTCGTGTTACCCCCCTGTTGCCACTAGTGCTGCCCAGGGCCAGACAAATGAAAGGGAAGCGAGGTGAGTAGTACGAGTGACATGGCCGAGGTCTGACCCCTCTCCCTGGTGTAATTGTGGTTGGCACCTGGACCAGGGCAGCACTGATCTCTGTATCCTGTGATCTAGTAAACCCCCGGGGATCGCTTCAGAGGCCCCCAGGCTGGGCCTGGTACACTGATCTGTCTCTCTGGTTTCAGGGGGCACAAGGCGTCCCAGGACTGAAGGGTGACAAGGTAGGCTCTGGTTTCACCCTTATTGCACCAGCCTCCTGCGGCTCCTGGAGTGGGGGAGAAGAGCATGTATTTTCCAAGGGCCCCAGCTAGAGTGGGTTTTTTTTTTTTCTTGCTTGGTGGATGTTCCGTGTTGCCTTTGAATAACACCTGTCTCCTTTGGGGGATGTATCACTGGAGGAACCCAGACTTTTCTCTCCCAGTGCAGCTTCGGGGCTAGTGATGTTGATAGACAGAGGTACAGGGACATCTCAGAGCTACCTACAGGTGGAGCCCTTGGGGTCAAGTGCATCTCTGACCCATTTGCAAAGGCCGCTCTTTTCCCTTCCTCTTGCCTCTGGTGCAGTCGCTTGTCTCTGAAGAAGCCTGTTGTGGGGAGTGACCGTGGAGCCAGGCCCCATAGGTTGATTCTGGGGCTGGCAATGCTGTTACGGTACAGGTACCGAGGAGCAAGTGAGCTCCTGCCCTGTTCGAGGGCATGTGCAAGCAGAGCCAGGCAGCCAATGGACAGCAGCACCCCTGGGGTACAGGTGACATGAGGATCCTGCCCCCTACATGGAAACCTCTGAGCACCAAGGGAGCAGCGAGGAGAGGCCATGGCTTTCCGGTTTTGCCACATGTCTGGTTGTCAAGCCATGCAATCTCATGTATGTGCAGGGTAGGGCTGCCAGTTTTGGTTGGATGTATTCCTGGAGGTTTTCACATAACATAATCTTTCATTAAAGATTAATCTTTATTTCCTGGAGACTCCCGGCCAATCCTGGAGGGTTGGCCACCCTAGTGCAGGGCAGTGTCCCATGGAGCATGATGCTAGAGATTCCCAGAGCTGGGACAAAGTGAGCAGCAGAGGGTGTGGAAAGGGGCAGCCAGTGGCTGGATCCAGCAGGGCCCGGGTAGTGCCCGACTCAGGCAGCTTGGGCAAGATATGCAGGATTGCCGTTTACCTCGGCTCATTCAGAGAATGCTGCCATTAGCTACAGGGTCACTAACACTCTGTCTCTCTGCCCTGTAGGGGAACGTGGGGGTTGGACAGCCGGGCCCTAGAGGCGAGCGAGGAGACCCAGGGCCACGGGTACGTATCTCCCCTATTGCCTCCTCCAGCTGTGAGTGTAGACCCTGCTAACCCACCCCTCTCCCCAGCACAGCACATCAATCCCGCGGGGCCAGAAAGGCTTTCCAGCCTGTAGTACAGTGTTGGGGAGCATGGCATGTGCCCCCCTGTGGCACTGGGGACTCTACCAGGCCTTGTGGCTTTGGGATACTGGCACGGCCCTGCATGGGCAGGGGGTATGTGGAGCAGTCTTGGAGATTAGAGATGGAGAAGACACATTCAGACCTTTTGAGCCCATCTCCCTGAGGAGAGCCCCTCCTTGGCACACACCCTGGCTGGGGCTGAGGAAAGCCCACACGTGGGTATCCTGGAGGCATCCTGTGCCCAGGACCCTCCCCAAGGCCGACATCACTGCCCTGGGGCTTTGCCTCTCACCGCCATCACCATGGATCAGGATGGCAGGATATGGAATTGACCCACGGTGCCCTCGGTGCCCAGCTCTCCTGTCCCTGGGCCTGTGCTCTGTCTCACTGTCCTTTTCCTCCTCGGCAGGGTGAAGACGGGCGCCCAGGACTGGAGGGAGATCGTGGGCCTGCGGTAAATACCTTCCCCCTCCCCTTGCCTTGCCCTTTAACCAGGGGTTGGGATTGGCTCCCACTCGCCAGTGACTCCCCTTCTCTTTTCCCTTTAGGGGCCTCCCGGAAACCGAGGGGAGCGTGGTGACAAAGTAAGCAACCTACTGGTGCGGGGGGGAGCGGGGCAGGGGAGGGGAGTCTTCTCCCACCTCCCCCTCCATCAGGCTGCTATTGACGTACAAGTACCTGCCCATGGGGTAGAATCCCACTCTGATGGGGTGGGGTCAGGGTATTGCCCAGAGCTGCCCCGGAATTTCACCCCCCAGCCTGCTTGGGCTGCTGCCTGACCAGGGCTGTCTCCTCTTCAGGGGAGCTCATGGCTTGTTCTCCCTCTTGCTCTCATTTCTCCCAGTTCTAATAAAGTCAGGTGTGAACCCGTTTCCCTCTGATCCTGCGCCCCCCACTCATGCCTCTCAGGACCCCATGAACTTCCCTAGGTTTGGGGTCCCCTAGGCTGTTGGGGCTCCTTCCAACCACTCTCCTCCCCTCTGAGTGTCATGGTTCTGGCTGGTCTCTTTGCTGCTCTGAGGGAGGCCCTCGGGTTTGGTAGTGGCCTGACGGGCTGTAGTGGGAATGGGGCCTGACAGTCGTGAGATCCACATGCCCCTGTGCGAGGCATGTTTCCCACCCACTCTCTCTTCCCTTCTAGGGAGACGTTGGAACTATGGGGCCCAAAGGAGACAAGGTGAGTTCCTTATTTACCCGCTGCTAGGGCTCATTGACTGACCACTAGCCCCAACTGCCACACCAGAAAGGCCCATTTGCCTTCAGACCTGGGAGTGTCTGGGCCACACTCTCCCACCTTCCTTAGGGGACTAATTCTGCACTGGCACAGAGCGTTTCCATCTGCCACTTGCACACCAGGCGCTTGTGCCCAATTGCAACCTAACCAAATGCTGCCACAGCACGTCCACCCCACGTGAACCTTTCCAGTGCTAGTGGCCAGCTTTGGCTATGCCCCGACCGGACACTCCTTAGCCCTGGGGCTGCTCCAGTAACCTCTGCCTGTGTCCCTGTGTGGCAGCCCGCAGGGTTCTTGCCACTGGGCTGTATAATCCTTGGACCTGTCCTTGCTGCGGTGAGACCCCTGGCGGGGTGGGAAGCTGGACTCTTGACTGGCTTGATGGCCAGCAGATGGTCCTTGGGCACATGACTCTGTTTAAACCCTTAGGATTGCAAACTGCAGCATGGGTCAGTGGTTTATTTTGAGCTCTCATTGGCTGCTGTGTGGTTTTTTCCCCCCTGTGTGCAGGGTGATACCATCATTGTGGAGGGGCCGGCTGGAGTCCGGGGAAGCAAGGGGGAGCCGGTAAGAGCCCTACCCCATAGAGCAGAGGTTTTCAAACTGTTGAGTGCACTCCCTAGGGGGGTGTGGAGGAACGTTTGGGAGGGTGAGCATCGACACCAGGCCAGCCCTGCACGGTGGGGCTCAAGCCAGCCCCACACCATCTCCACCCCCTGACTCACCTCAGCGGGTCACCCAGCCTGCAGGTCAGTGTCAACATCCACCATGGCTGCACTGATTTCCACTCCAAGCAGCCTCTGCGCCCAGTGCTGGCTCGGCCCCCATCACACGCGTCTTCCCCCACCCTGAAAACCCTAGTGGGGTGGGGCATGTATTGTCTATTTTTGTCTGGGTATTATAACTCAAAATGGGGGGGGGGCTCGGCTCAGAAAGTTTGAAAACCGCTGCAAGGTCCCGTTGCCCAGGGGCCAGAGTGGGCTGCTCCCAGGATGCTTTGAGATTTATCAGCCTGGAGGTGTTTCCTGCTATTGAGCCTGTAGCTGCTAGGTCCGCCCCGCCTACGACCCCCTCTTGCCTTGAGGTTCACACCCCAGATCTCATCAGACACTTCTCCTGTGTATCCCCTCACCCCAGTCCCCACGTCCCTTTAGCCAGACAGACCAGACTCCACCCCAGGAATCTCCCCTCCAGTCCCAATTCGTGCCTTGCTCTTCTCTGAATCCCAGCCCATGGGTCATCCTCCTTGTGCTGTCAGGGGACTGATACCCTGCACCCTCCGCTCTTTCCCCTGCCCAGGGAGACCGCGGTCTGAAGGGGATGGAAGGGGAAAAAGGCGACAAGGGTGACCCGGGCCTCCCAGGAGAGAAGGTACGTGAGTGAGCAGCTGGAGGATAGGCAGGTGGGTATGGGAGGATGCCTGTCTGAAAGTTGTCCCAGAGGCTTGGGAGAAGCCACAGAGCACTGGAGGCTTGGCAGGACCGAGAGCAGGTGCTGTGATGACTGGGCACTGTGGAGCACAGCCAGCCCAAGGAGCTAGGAGCTGGATGCTTTGCGCCTTTTGCTTGCTGTGAGCGCAGCCATTGAGAGAGGAGGGGCTTTAGGCTGGCGTCAGTGGGAGCTGCAGGGCCCGGTTATGGAACAGAGACTGGCGAGGAGGAGGATGAGAGAGGGGCGGGTCACTGGACACTGCAGGGGAACAGGCCGAGATGTGATGGAACAGGCTCCGTCCCAGCATGCGTTATACTCTGCTGATGGCTCAGGGGCACCCCGTCCTGGCCAGCGCCAGCCCCCCTATGCCACTGGCAGTGGTGGGGATGCTCAGCAGAGAGTGGTCCCTGGACACCTCCTTTCCCGAAGGTGCATCAGTCTGACATGGAGGGGAGTTGGCTAGTGAGTCACTGCCGTGGGGGAAGCAAATCAGGGACATTTTGTTTCTCTCATTTGGGGAACTTTTGTTAGAACCTAATATAATTTCAGAGGCTGGTTCTGTCCCTCCAGCTGCCTGCTGGGAGCAGGGGGCGCTTTCCTCAGGCTGTGCACTGATGTGTGCTTTCACCCGCAGGGAGGAAGGGGCGAGCAAGGGGAGAAGGGCTCCACAGGCTTCCCAGGAGCACGCGGTCCCGGAGGGCAGAAGGTAAGAATAGCCACAGGTGCGCCCAGCCCTGCACGTGCCACTCGTGCTCAGATGTAGGTGTGCCCGCAGGTGTGCCCGCAGGTGCGTGTGCACACAGGCCTGCTAGACCATCTGCTGTCCCGATCCTGGCATGTACCTGCGGGCGTCATTCCGGCACCCAGCCCCTCTGGCCTTGACCCAGTGTCTTTTCCTTTCCAGGGTGAAGTTGGCGAATCGGGAGACCCCGGAGAGTCGGTGAGGAACTTTCCTTTGCTGCTGTTTCTCGCCCATTGCCTGGGAGCAAAGCCCGAAAGTCACTCTGTATTTCCTCTTTCTCCAGGGCCTGCCAGGAAAGGATGGAATCCCAGGATCCAGAGGGGAGAAAGGGGACATAGGGCCACTGGGAATGCGAGGCCCTAAGGTGGGCATTTCCTTAGTCTGTCTGTCTGTCCTCCTGTGACCTGAGAGCGCCTGCCTGTCTGGGCCAGACGTAGCCTTAGGGCAGACCAGAGGGAAGCTGAGCCCACTCACGGCAGTGTCTTGGGGCCAAGCACCTTGGGAGAGAGGACCCCCCCCCTGTGTGCATTCAGGATCAGTGTCAGGGAACCCCCAAGCCACCAATTAGCCCCTGGGAATGGGCTTGGATGCAGTGTAGCCTCCCAGGAATGGGTTCGGTGGCATCAGCTGCAAGACATTGGTGGCCTTGATAGCCTGAATTTCTCCCCCTTGATAACTGATACCCAGCATAGACCCTGCCTGCAAAACCAGCCCCCTGCCCCAGGGAATAGTGGCGAAGTGGGTCACAGAGCTGTGTTGTGACTTCTCTCTTCACTGCAGGGGGATCGGGGAACAAAAGGTGCCTGTGGCCAGGATGGAGATAAGGGGGAGAAGGTGAGTGTTCATGAGTGTGCACAGTTGACCCCCTGTCTCCAGCCAGTCAGCAGAGGTGGGGACACTTGGATCCAGAGGCGGCAGAGCCACCACGCTAACGGAAGGTGGGACTGCAGTGCGTTGGGATGTGCCAGTGGAGCCTCCCAAGAGCCCTGTGCTCCCCACAGAGCTGAACGGATCCCTGAGGAAATGCCTGATGCTTAAGGGCTTCTAAGGGAATAAAGGCTGCCCTGGGGGGCCAAGAGGCTTATGGGAAGTGGAGACAGTTCAGTCCCCATCTGGTAGAAGCCAGTGGGGCTAACTCTGGGCCCAGTCTCACCCCCAGGGCAGCCTGGTCACGTCACTTGGCTGGGATGCTATGGAACTAAGCTCCGTTAGACCAGCACTGGGCCTCTGAGCCACCAGTGAGGTCTGTGTAGCGGATGAGGGAGGGGCCTTTGAGAAGCCCCAAGTATCAGCCCTGTGGCACTGGAGGGCCTCAGGGATGCTGTGGAGGCTACTGAGGAGTTTGAGAAGGCGGGGGGACCCTCAACCCCACCCCTTTGGAGCCCTAGTGTTGTACGATGCAGCAACCCCCAACCGGAACTGAACCCCAGGAGGGGTGAGTCCATGGGCGGGCGGAGCTGTGTGGCATCGCCCCAAGCACTGCTCAGTGGACTGGCTTCCCTTGGAGTGGAGGAGGAAGCCACGGGCTAGATATAACTCCATCAGTGAAGCAGTCTGTGCTGTAGGCACGAGCCCAGCAGGGCGGGGCCAGGGCATTGTCCGGGCTGGTTCCCCGTTACCCTGCTGTCTCCCACTGACTCGTGTCTCCTTCTGCCTCCTCTAGGGGGAGCCGGGGATTCCAGGCCGAATGGGACTTCCAGGAAGGAAGGGCGAGCTGGTAAGTGCACCCAGCTTGCTCCAAGGGCAATGTGACGTGAGCACACCTGGACTGGCCAGAATGAACATCTGGTTTGTTTTCCTAGGGAGAGCTGGGCATGCCTGGAACCCCAGGAATCCCGGGGAAAGAAGGTCTCATGGGACCCAAGGTAGGGATTAAGGAGCAATAATGTTTGGGGGGTGGAGCGAGGCCTGTGGATGAGGGGCTGCTGAGGGGCTTGCTGTTCGCCCTCTTCAGATCCTGGCCTTCCTTGGCCGGAGCTGCCTCGCTGACTGTTAGTTGATAGTGTGCCACGGCACGTGCCCATGATATGTGCAGACAGTGGGATTTCTCCAGTGCTGCTAATAGAGGCACCAAAGCTGCCAGCAGCTCCTCATTAAGATGACGCTACAGACCTTTCCCGTGCACTCAGTCCTGAGCGTTGGGAAGTAATTAGATGCTGGGACATGATGTTTCCGATCTAACTGCTGTTCCTCTCTATACAAACCTGAAATTTGGGGCCCAAGCTCACCTGACAATGGCACTTCTACCCAGTCGCAGATTAGCTACTGGGCCAATGGGGCCTGTTCCCAGGGACCCTGGTCAATTGGGGGGGCCCTGGAAAAGGGGTGACCCTGTGCCATGACCTGCTCCTCCCGCCCGGCGCTCCTGCGGAGTGGAGCAAGCCCCCGCACCCCAACAGCACTCCCCGGCTGGGGCACCAGGCCGGCGGAGCGGGGCAAGTCCCTGAGCCCTGAGCCCACTCCCTGGCTGGAGAGTCGGGTTGGCGCAGTGGGGCAAGCCCCTGCGCCCCAACCCTGCTCCCTGGCAGGAGCGCCGGGGCGGGATTCTGGCAGGAGCGCCGGGGCGGGGCAGGGACTGCAGGCAGAAGGGGTGGTCTGCTCTGGCTCCACAAAACTGTAATCCGCCAGTGTCCCTACCCCAAATCTCCCTAGAAAAACCACCTTGTTCTTTGCCTTCCCAGGGTGACAGGGGATTTGATGGTCAGCAGGGAGCCAAAGGAGACCAGGGAGAGAAAGGAGACCGGGTGAGTTCTGCTTCACTAAGAGCCAAACTCCAGGGCCCTTGAAGCTCGTGTTAGTGGGATCAGGGCTTATCCCTAAGTGCTTAGGAGTTTGGTAACTTCCCCACAGGAGCCTTCTGCTGCTGCTATGGCAAACCCCAGCATGATGGCAGAGCTCTGGTGCCCCGACTTGCTAATTGCTGGACAGTTTTCAGACACTGACCATCGGTAGCTTGTTGCCTGTTAACCAGAACCGGACACTGATGTGTCCTGTAGGGTGTAAGGATATGCCCGGCCAACTGGAGAACTGTGATTTTCTAACCAAGACAAGGGTCCCAGCACTGACTTGAAACTCCTCAGCATCCTCCCTTCCAGAGGATTGTGGCATGGCAGAACCGGTGCGTCAGGCTGTAGTAAAAGTGGGACTGGAGCAGGGTCAGTTCACTGTTAGAACTCCCAGCTGGTGAGAGCAGTCGCAGCCCTGCAGGCCTGGTGGAGAATATCTGCGATTCTCCCACTGACAACTGGTACCGTCTGGCATCTCCCCACAGATCCACTGCTGTCCTGCACCTTGAGGGGGGTGGGGTAGAGCATCTATGCCGTATTGCCAACCCCAAGTGTTCACAAATCAGGAGTCCAGCCCTAAAAAAAAATCTCAAGATTGGCTGAAAATTTGACTTTTTTTTTAAATGACTACATGTTGGGTTCTTTACCTTCTGGTTTGGGGGCCTTAAGGATGCACTCGGGACACATTTTTCAGCTTCTCTCTGTGACCAGGAGGGCGAGACGTTCATTCTTTTAAAATGCAAGTTGAAATTCTCACGTAATCACAGAATTTCAGGAGCTGGGGTTCTAAGAAAACCCTCAGATATGCTACTGTGATGAAATTGTGAGAGTTGGCCACATGTCTGTCAATAGACGACGCCTATCTCAAATGGTACAGAGCGGGTCAGTGCTGTGGGAGATTGACTCGGTGTGGGCCAAGGTGCCAGTCTGTCACGCTCCCAGTTTGTACTGCCCTGTGTGGGTCGTGCCCTTCCTAACCCCTGCCTCTTTTCTCAGGGTACTCCAGGCATTATTGGCTCCCCAGGCCCTAGGGGCAATGATGGAGCACCTGGCCCACCTGGCCCCCCAGGTAGTGTTGGCCCTAAGGGCCCTGAGGGGATTCAAGGGCAGAAGGTAAGAACCTCTTCCCTGTGCATGGCCATTTCCCTACAGCTTCTACCTACCCCTCCCGACCAGGGCAGTGTTGCCCTCTGAATGGCCAGCAGGTGGCGAGCTCCTGTCTCTTGCTGCCTCTGGAATTCCACAAGGAAACAAAAACTGGACCCCAAACCCCAGTGCACTCCCAGCCCTGACAACAAAGGGACCAGTGTCTGAGGGGGAGCAGCAGCCCCTTTTCTGTGCAGCACTCAGGAGCAAGAGACCACCTGAAGGGAGAGAGTGAGCTTGCAGGGGTCCCTTGGCAGGCGCAGGGTGGAGAAAGCAGTTCCCCTTCCCCTCCCATCGGTTTCAGTTCTGCCTGGTCATATCCCCATCCCAGGGCAGTGAGGAGGGCCCCGGACCTGCCTGCAGTTAGCAGGCAGCGAGGAGATGGTAGTTAGACTCTGTTTAAGCAGGATCGGCTCCATCCACCTTCTGAATCTATGAACGGTGCCGTGCGAGTGATGTGCAGAGGCTGTTGGAGTGACAGGCAGTGTTGCTCACTGGTTAGAGCAGGGAGCTGGGCGTCAGACTCCTGAGGTCTATTTCCAGCTCTGTCACTGGCTGACGCTTTGACTTGGGTCAGTCTCGTAACCTCTCTCTGTATCTCTGGGATGATTTCCTCGCCCTAAAGGGGCGGTGGGCTTCCTTAATGAATGCTGCAGCATGCCTCTGGCCCTGAGCTGGCAGGCACCCCGCAGGGGTGCAGTGTATTCATTCTGGCTCTGTTCTGGAGCACTGCTATTTCATGACCTCCCATTCATGCACAAGATCAGCTTCAGGGCTGCCCTGAACCCAGCCCGAGGGCACCGTGTGTGGTGTCTTCCCCGCAGTGCTGCATCTTTGGTCAGATCGGATTGCTCCCGTAGGGGACCGTTCTCACCTACAAGGGCACGAGGACCCATGTTTGAGAACTTTTCACTGGGGATAGGGAGATGAAAGCAGAAGAGTCTAATGTTTTGGAAGCGGCTGAGAAATCTCTCTCAAAATAAGTGAGACTGTCAGGCGTACCAGCTCGTTTAGAGCCGCGTCTAGGGAACAGCCCCATTCCCTACAAGAGGGAGCTCTGGGGCATGGGGAGGATGGTAGATCCGGTTCTGAGATACTGCCCAATCCTAGAACTCCCCTTGCCGGCCAGTGTCTCAGTGTGTATGTTCCTGCTGCAGGGTGAAAGAGGCCCCCCAGGGGAGTCGACTGTAGGGACCCGAGGCGTCCCTGGGATTCCAGGAGAGAGAGGAGATCAGGTTTGTAAGCATGTTTCTGACCCATTGGATGTGCATTGTCTGGCCGAATGCTTGGCTCTGCCTGTACGTATTCGCTGTACCTTGAACCCCACCCCCGTCAGGCGAAGAGGAGAGCTTCCTAGGGGGCTGCCAGGGTTCTGCGGAGGGTGGGTGGCTCAGGGGTTGCTGACCGCGTAGCATGCCTCTTGATTTCCTATTTGGCTTGTTTTCAGGGGAATCCGGGACTTGAAGGCTCGAGAGGAGAGAAGGGGGACCCTGGCATGACGGTGAGAAGAGAGCTCCCTGAGGTCTTGGAGCAAAGCCCTGACTCACAATGACAACACATCAGTGCTGCTGCGCAGTCAGTCAGAGCAGTGGGATACTTCCCCCTCCCAAGGGCTGGGACTGGCCCCTGAGTCCTGCCTTCCTGCATGGCAGGCTCGAGGCCTTTTCCCCTTTACAGTTTCCCTCCAGGTCTGGTTCAAGTGTTGGATTGCTGGAGTGGGGGGAGATTGCTCTTTTCCCAGTGATTCCCAGAGCAGCTGAGGCAGGTTCATGGTGGGCTGGGGGGGCCGGAAGACATCTCTTCCCTCTCTCTTCATTCCCTTGGTTTTCTCTGCAGGAACAAGAGATCCGCGCGTTTGTCAGGCAGGAAATGAGTCAGCACTGCGGTAAGTGAGGCTTCACCTTCCACTTGGGGCTGACTGACTTCTCAGCAGCACCACAGCTCTGATCGCTACAGAATCATCCCCTTCGCGGTCTCCTCCTCTGCCCTCTGTCCCTTTGCCCCTTCCTCTCCCCTTCTTTTGGTGACGTTGCATGTGCCATGACTCCCACATCTGGAGGTGTTCAGAGTACAATGGGCCAACCCCATGCGAGCGTTAGGGGCCTATCAGTCTAGTCTGGCTCTCTGTCCCTTTCCTGGTACCTGGTGGCGGGGCAGGTCTGTGCCAAGTGTCAGGATGCTGGAGAAGGCTTTCCCCATGGATTAACCTCCTCTTTTCTCTCTTTCTCTCCACACAGCTTGCGGAGGGCAGCTCTCCTCTTCTGAACCACGTAAGCACTGATTTCTTGTGCACCCTGTAATCCCAGTTTGCAGTGCCGAGCAGCAGCAGCCCTGTCATTTGACGAGCAGGTCCGTTCTCCCAGATATGTAGCAGGTTTCACGAAAGGGGCATGGCCCCTGCTGGAAGGTCACGTGCAGCTAGCTCAGCCCTGTAGGACTGGCCAGGTTGGCAGATTGCCAACAGAAGAGGCAGCCCTGTGGAGATGCTGGCTTGGCAATGAGCCCTTGGAGACTTGGCAAGAGTGGCTGGGTTGGTAGGGGAGCTGTCACTGAGGGTGACTGGCTAAGCCAGGAGCAGGAGATAATGGAAGCTGGAGTAGCAAGGGCAGAAGAGGTGACGAGTGACATGCTGCAGTTTGAAACATTCCTCAGCAAGGTCTCAAGTCTGGCAGCACTGGGGGGTTTCTGAGGGGGTAGCACCAGGGAGAGAATCCGTGTAGGCAAGGAGCACTCAGTAGACGCCAAGCTTAGAACTGCCAATAGGGCAGTCTCAAAGCAGAGCTCCAGAGGCCGGACAGGAATGCATGGCCAGGCATCTGACAGCAAAAGGCAAGTGCTGCACTGGGCGTCCCCAACCTGAGACAGCATTGGACATGCTACACCAAGATTAGCAAAGAGAGTCACAGCAGCCATCCCTTCTCTGGACCCAGCATCCAATGCGGCTCTCCCCGACTCACTTTGGACAGACTGCCAGTGGGCACAGTAATGTATGGGTAGTCATGCCTGGAGAAGCCAATACTTGTCATACCAAGGCACCAAATACATGGTAACAAGCTTGTAAAAGAACAGTTATTGTGCAAGCCAGGACTGAGAAATCACTGTAGCCAATACACTAGAATAAGGAGAATAAGATGGCACAAGGACATTGACAGACTCATCCAGGGTGAGATCCATTCCTGCACAAGCGCTAAGCCTGGTATGGATCAGTGGAGGAAGGGAAGGAAAGAGCGGGCTGGTGAGGAAAGCAAAGGGGAAGAAGGAAGGAAGGTTTCATAGCAGGTTCCCAGAAATGGTCAAAGAACAGCTGAAGATTGTAGGGAAGAGGAGGCCAGCGGGGCAGCCAGCAGCATAAGCCTGGCAAGGAGGAGCTATGACGCAGAGGTAGGTAATGTTTGGGCAAACATGAAATGAATTATTTGCCTGATTGTTCTCAAAGGAGGATGGGGGACACATGCAAGGAACAGACATAAATCTTCCAGGAGAGGAAGAAGAAATACCAGAGGAAATCAGGATCACGGCAGAACAGGTGATCGAGAAAGCAGAGCATCTTTCTAAACCACCCATGCCAAACCCGCCCAGAGCAGAGCCAAGCAGACTCCATCCTTGAATGGCGAGAGAGAGTGAGAGAGATTATCTTCTAGTAGATAATTCCACACCGTTTCCAGCCAGACCCAGCAGGCTGTACCAAGCTGGGAAAAGGCTGAATTTAGTATCAGAGGCGTCATTCGTACAGGGCACAGTGTTCAGGGGCTTCTCAGCATTCCTGTAGTACCTTCCTATTTGTGTGTAGAATCTGTGACCACATGCCTCATCCAGAGCTGTGAGTGAGCCTGCCTCATATCTGGGAAGACCTGTGCTGTGCTCGTCTGTGTCTTGTCTTGTCCTCCATTGGTGTTTGACTAGCAGCTGCCTCGTTGTTTTTGTATATTGTTCAAACTCTAACCCACCAAGGACTGTGTTCAAGAGCATGTCTGCCCCAGTTCTACTGAGGGGATGGGGTGGATTAGGATGAAGGGAATCTGAAGAGAATATATCTCCCTTTGTGCAAGCACCCTGCCTTCAGGTCTCTTTCTGCTGGTATTTCCAGCATCTATATTGCCATCCCCTTGCAGTGGAGTAGGTAGGGTGAATTTTTCTGTATAGCCCATGTCCCAGGAGGTCCTGTCCCATCAGAGGCAGAAGGATACAACTGTAATGATTATGCCACAAGCCAGGGCTGATGCAGACAAAGTGCTGTTGTGCAGTGTCCAATGGCGGGCTGCAAGAGGTGGTCCAGACCTGCCAGTCTATGGTGCTTCTCTTCATAATGGCTATTTCCTCCCATAGGTCTCCAACGCAAGGCTAGTTTTGCACCATGTCTGACTGGCTGTTAGCAGCCCTAGAAGTGGACAGGGCTGATGCTGCTCTTGAGCATTGGCCTGTGGCTTGTCGGGGGGAGGGGAGCCATGTCAGTCATTTTCATGTCCTGTTTGATGTCTGTGCTGTGTCCTTGCCTCTCTTAGGTCTTCTCCCCAACTATCCATCCACCCAACCATTCCCATCTGTTAATGCTCATCTAGTCCCTGTGCTTAAGTTGTCACATGCTGAAGAAGAGGAGGGTGAGTCTTGTCTCTTTGTGCCCTGTCATAATACTCATTCTCCGGTGCTGTCTTTGTGAGTCCTGCATGGAAGCTTTGCCATTACAGTGTCCTTCACTTGCAGGTACCAAGTGATTGCAATACCCGCCTTCTGTAACAGTAACTCAGAGAACCTAAGGCAGCTGCAGGCCATTTAAAAGTAGTGTTCTAGCTATTTGTTACTACCTTAATGCTAAGATGCACCTAGGTATGGGCCATTGTATTATGACTTAATGAAAGGCATCTGCGTTCTCGCAATGATGTCTTTGCTATGTCGTCAACCCCCAACCACCTTTGGATCAACTGATCAGAGGGACAGGCGAGTGAGGGTGATGTGCAGACTGAAAGGAGTGTTGTTTATCGAACAGCTGGAGTGCACGAGGTGCTCAGGATGAGTGGGTAGGTTCATGGAAAAATAAACAGTGACTGAGTAGAGGAGTAAGTGTATGGGTTGGATATCTATCTGCAGGATGGTCGCATGGTTTATGGAAGGGTATGTGGTGTAATGGATGTGTGAATGTCCGGGACGACCGGGGCATGGATGAGTGACTATGGATGGAGAGTAGATGAATGGATGGGTTCATAGGTTGAGGGGGTAAAAGGTATGGGAAGAGGGTATGTCTGAAGAATGATGGGAATGTGAAGGCAAATGTGTAGAACGACTGGAAGGATTGATTGGCCGGATGCTACAGCACAGCTGGTTGAAAGTGAACTGTAAAGCAGCATAGGTTGGTGGGTAAACATCTACACCTGAATTGCATCCAGTAGTAAGTGAAGGTGGCACAAATCTTCCCTCTAGCTCAGGGGTGGCCAATCTGTGACTCCGGAGCCACATGCGGCTCTTCAGACGTTAATATGTGGCTCCTTGTATAGGCACCGACTCTGGGGCTGGAGCGACAGGCACCAACTTTCCAATGTGCCAGGGGGTGCTCACTGCTCTGCCACAGGCCCTGCCCCCACTCCACCCCTTCCCCTGAGCCTGCCATGCCCTCGTTTCTCCCCCTCCGAGCCTCCTGCACGCCACGAAACAGCTGATCGGGAGGTGCGGGGAGGGAGAGGGGGGTGCTGATTGGCAGGGCTGCCGGTTGGTGGGAGGCGCTGGGAGCGGAGTCGGAGAGCTGATAGGGGGGCTGCTGATGTATTACTGTTGCTCTTTGGCAATGTACATTGGTAAATTCTGGCTCCTTCTCAGGCTCAGGTTGGCCACCCCTGCTCTAGCTCCTTTTCCAGCTTTCTGTTGTCCCATTGAGGTAGGGCACAGAGAGATTTGCAGAGATAAGGCTCCAGGGAATGTATTCATTCCCCATTTATTTAATTGTTAGCATTTTCGGTGACAACCTCTTTGCTTCTCCTGTGCCCTGCCCCCACACACCCCTTGTCTGCTCTAGAACATTTTGTATCCGTTTTCCAGCCATGGTGACCATTCCAGTAAAATGAGCACAACATTTTCTAGTTTAGCTTTAGCCACACAGTTCCCTGCGCTGTGACACTGCACTTTCAGGCAAGTGACCCCTGTGGTACAGTTAGTCACTGGGCAGTGCAGCCAACTCATCTCCCCCCGGCTACCTTTGTGCAAACAAGCCAATGCACCAGCCGGGCAATTCAGTGGCATGTTGACCAAGCCTGTTATTGAATCTGCCATTTTCATCGGCCGCTCCCAGAATCAAAGCTGAAGGCCAATTGTCGTCATCCTAGGAATGATGAGGGATGAATTCCCACATGGCTCGCCCAACAAGCCCAGTGACCCCATCCACCTGCCCTTCCCTGTCCCATGGCCCTTCTCATATGGCCGGTGTTATTTTCCAGGGCACGAGGTGCGTGTTGTGAACACAAATGACCCTGAGTATGAGCATGTCTACGCAATGGAGTACTACGAAGACGGCCTGGAAGCTGATGGGACAGAGAGCACCATGCTGAGCGATGGTGAGTTTCCTTAACCTTCCGACAGCTCTGAGGAAAATGAGACCTGCCATGAGACTCTCGGGGGTGGAGGGGAGCAGAGAAAAAGCAGCAGCCTTGGTTTTATAGGGACAGTCCAGATTTTTGGGTCTTTTTCTTATATAGGCTCCTATTACCCCCCACCCCCGTCCCGATTTTTCACACTTGCTGTCTGGTTCCCCTACCCACAAGTATCAGGATTGAAAGGTGGAAGATGCTGGCTCCCCTGAACTGTAACGAAGCCCTCTCCCTGGTCACACCATGCACAGGTCACCTGCCCTTTCAACTCGAGATCAGAAGTCACAAAAATGGGGTCCCAACTTGCATGGGGAGAAATGGCAACACGAAAGTAGCAGAGTTGCTTGAAAATCCTTCAGAACTTAACTATTGTACATCATTGCTATGCTATCTCCTCTCCTGGTGGCAACCTTGTGGTCCTCCTTTTTGCTGGAGCTTTCTGTTGGGATCTACTTTTTATGAGACGGGGAAGGCCAGCAAGGTCCTGGAACTCTTGTGAAATACCTCCAAGGACCACTGGTTCCAAATTTCCACACCCAAATAGCCTTATAGAAAATCAGCAGCTTCAGACTTTAGAGAGAAGTCTTTTCTCTCCTGATTATCCAACACCATTCAGTGAGGTCTCCATAAATGGCAATTTCAAAGTCATCATGCTTCCCATTGGATGTGGCATCTACTGTCCGTGCCAACATTATGGCTAAGTCCTGGGCTTATCTACAAGAATCTAGGCAACTAGCTCTTAAATCATATTTCTTACATGTCTCAAAGCAGGGCATAAAAGCTTCCTTTCTACCTCTTTAAGGTTACAAGGACTTATCCCATTGATACTGGAGGTGTCCCCCTTGTTGCTGTATTACAAGAGTTGATTTTACTAAATAGCAATTACAATGCACATGATTTTTGAATTTTAAATGCAGGCTACGTAAGCTGAGGTTTCACATAAAATGCTATCACCAAGCATATTTAACAGGAGGATCCCGCCTTTTTTCCTGGAGAGGCCACTTTTGTTGTGCCCAAGAAGGAGTTCAGTCTCCATAGCCCAACGAGCCGTTGGCTTCTCGGTCACAAGTGAGATCAAGTAGGGAAATGTTTGCCAGCTGTGCTGTGATTCTGTTTTGTGGGTGCTTGTCCACTAAGAACTGGACAGAGACCCACCCACTTGTTTCACATAGGCCGCCAAACAGCCTTCAGATAGTAACAGCTTCCACTGGGCCAGGCTGGGCGCAGTGAGTGAGAGGTGAAAGGCTCCGTATCCTGTTCCCACCTCACATGCCCGGCAGCCTCACTGCAGGAAGCAGTCACGCACATTGACTTTACCAACTCCTAATGACAATGCTTCAGCCACCAATCCAGTACAAGGTTTGAAGCATATGGATGGATCACATAGGCTTTCAAGAGCTGATGGTTTATCCAGCAGATGCAAATCTTAGTATCAGGGTTCAGGACCGACAACGCTATCTAAAGTGCTGCCATAGTTCCAGCATAGGATCCAGGTACTGACCTTCAGGTTTGGGTGAGACGGTATTGTGACATACAGGGATACAATTCAGACCAGTGGGGGCCTTTGTCACCCTTGTGTGCCTTACAACGCCTTGCTGAAGTAGCTCCCACCTGGGCTGCTCACAAACAGCCAAACAGCATGCAAGCCACACCTTGCCCGGTACATCCTGGCTCTCACCAGCTTTGGTTCTACTGCAGAGTGACCCCAACTTGCCCTCAGTCCTGGATTTCCCCCCATAAATGTATGTCCTGTACTGCCCAGCCCTCTCCTGGACTGTACAAATATTTTAAGTCCTTTATTTCTTTAAGGGAATAATATATCGGCTTATTATCTTAAATAGAGTTACCCAGACATTTCAATTTAAACACACTGGATTAGATAAAACAGTAAATCAAGATTATAAACTACAAAGGGATAGATTTTAAGTGAGTACAAGTAATGAGTCATAAAAGTCAGAAACGGTTACCAGAGAAATAAAGATAAAACGCCTACTAGTGCCTAACTTAACAAACTATATTAAATTCAAGCAAAATTTTTCACTATATGCTTCCAGCAATGTTAACATGCCCCACCCCCAGAGTCCAACAGCTGTTTTTCTTTGTCATCTTAGGTGCAATGCTTGAGACAGACGGAGGGAGAAAGAAAGAGGGGAGGTGTCCTGGGGCGTTTTCCCCTTCTTTTTATAGATTGTTCTTCTCTTGAAAAACATTTTCCAGCTGAGAAGTAGGAGACAGAGTCTGTGTGGCAGGATGTTCCCTGCTGTTTTTCCTACATGTTTGAGCTTTCTTTGTTTTCCCTTCCTGCTTGATGACTCTGTTTATTGCTTAAATGCAAATTAAGGCAAACATACACTTCTTTGTTCCAAACAGACCAGTTTGGTGCTACGTGGGTCTTGAACATGCACTCTTAACGTGATACAGGGGAACCTTATTGTGATGGGTTCCCCCTGGAGTGCCACCTGGAACTGGGGTACCACTGAGCCCTCTGACTGACCAGCCTGGGCTCCCTCTCACACTTGACAAGCTCTAGACCACTCCAGGTCTTACACTTCCACCTTCATTTACACAGGCAGTGACACGCCAAGCTGCAGTTACATGCCGGCTTTGACCAGCCATTGCATGAACCAACAATAGAAAGGCTATAGCCAAGATTTCTCCCAGCCTAGAACCAAGGAGCTGTACCATCCTGCCAGGGTCAAAATCCCGACCAGTATGAATTTATTACTCAGTTCGCCTCTCCCTCTGTATGGAGAGGAATATGCACACTTGTGGTAACTAAGCTGAGATTTTCCCCAGACACTTAAAGGCACCCTGGTTTAGGTTCAAATATAAAACAAGATTATTACCTACAAAAAGATAGATTTTAAGTGATAGCAAACAGATCAAAGCAGGTGATCTAGTAAATTAACAAAAACACAAACTACGCTTAACATATTGGAAGGATAGGATTTGAATTAACAATTTCTCACCCTGGCTGATGATACAAGCAGGCTTGCAGATTCTCAAGGCCCAGGCTGCACTTGCTTTGCAGCTTGGGATCCCCACCCCCGTTCCAAGTCCTTTTCTTTCGGAGCTTCTCTCAGGTGTTGAGTTGTGGGGGAGTGAAGAACAACAGATGATGTCGCTCCCTGCCTTATATAGCTTTTCCATATGGCAGGAACCCTTTGTGCCAAAAACAGTTCCCAGCCCAGTTTGTGGAAAAATACAGGAACCCAAAATGGAGTCCAGAGAAATGTGTTCTGGTCACATGCCCTTGCAGAGTCATAGAAGCCATTACTTACAGGCTGGCTGAAACATCCCCAGGAAGGCTTAGCCATGCCACAGCCCATTGTCTTTGCTGACAAGCCATTAACTGTCAGGTTTCTTCATTGTTGTACCTGAAAGGCTGGCTGTGGGTGTTTTCCAGAGTAAGCCCATTTGAAATACAGATCCATAATCAATATTCATCACTTCAGATACAAAAATGATACATGCATACAAATAGGATAATCGTATCCAGCAAATTATAACTTTTCCAATGACGCCTTACATGACCCATCTTGTACAAAATGCATCAGAATTATGCCATAATCATATCATGATAATATTACTATGACAAATATGGGGTGTAGTGTTACACTTACAACTTCTCATACAGTATTGCCACACATATTTTATCTGGACAGTACTGACCAGCAAATTGAGTTTTGAAATGATACTTTACAAGGCATACCTTATACAAAGATTATTACAATAGTGCATAGGGTGTAAATACAGAGGTGTATTCCATCAGACCTCCATCCTTACAAACCTGCAGTAGGGTTAGCCACTGGCTGACCTGGAGGCAGCAGGTCAGGGCCCTCTTTCCCGGACAGGGCATCTGCCACCATATTTTCTTCTCCCTTGGTATGTACAATCTCCACATCAAGTTCTTGTAGTATAAATCTCCAGTGCAGAAGCTTGGAATTTGAGCCATAATTTTGTTTAACCGGATCCATGGATAAGGATTCCTTAAAACTCTGAACTTCCTGTTAAAAAGATAGGGCCTAAACTGCTTGACTGTCTACACAATTGCATAACATTCTTTCTTTATGACAGAATAATTTTGTTCAATGCGTGTCAATTTCTTGCTTAAGAAAGCAATGGGGTGTTTCTTGTTGTTTTCCCCTGTCTGCATCAGGATAGCCCTTAACCCAGGGTCTGATGCATCTGTGCACAGTTCAAACATTTTATCAAAATCTGGACCAGCTAGAAGAGGCTTTTTTAGACAAGACTTTCTGTAGCTTATCAAAACTCTCTTATCATGCCTTGTCCATACAACTTCATCAGGCTTTGTCTTTTTACATAGACCTATGATTGCAGATACACAAGCCTTCTGTAATAGTTTACCAGACCTATGAAAGATTGAACCTGTTTTTTGGTTTGGGGTATAGACCAATTTACTGTGCTTTCAACTTTCAATGGTTATGGGGATATTTGACCTCTCCGTACCCAGTGTCCCAAAAAAGGAACTCTGGCTGCTCCAATTTGACACTTAAGAAACTTTTATGGGTAGGCCTCCCTTTTTGAGCTTTGACAGCACCATTTGTAAGTGGTTTTTTGGGGTTTTTTTGGTGATCAGCACAAATGTTGCCAAACATTGCAATGTCATTGACATAGGCCCTTGCAAACCTTTGTGAACCATTTAACAGTTGGCTGACCAGCCTCTGAAAGGTGGCCCCTGCATTAATTAACCCAAATGGTAACATTGTAAACTCAGACAGCCAGGTCGGTGATAAAAGCAGCATCATTCTGTGTAGCCTCATCTAAGGGAATCTTTCAATAACCTCTACCAAATCAAAAAAGCTGAGATATTTAGCTTTGCTTAAGATATCTAGCATATCCTCTATTTTAGACCTAGGATAAGCATCTGGTACTGTGACCACATTGAGTTATCTGTAATCAACACAAAACCTTACAGTGATATCTTTCTTAGGGACCAAGACCACAGGTGATGCCCAAAAGCTGTCAGACTCTTTAATTACTCCCAGGTCTAACATGCTTTGTATTTCTGTACAAATTTGTTCCTGCACCTTGCCAGTAGCCCTGTAGATCTGCTGGGAGGTGGCTGTGGTCTTTCTTTAATGATTTTGAGTCAGCCAAGTGTGTCTGCCCTGCCTTGTTAGAAAATACGTTGTGGTTTTGCAGCACAGACAACACATCTTCCCTTTCAGCTGGTATGAACGCACTGCAGATATCAGTGCCTTCCAGAGTTGAATCAGTTTGGCATTCAGCCATTAAATCAATGAGGTGGTATGCCTCAGTTTCCCCTTCCACAGAGGTATGACCAATGCAAAATGTTTAAGTGTCTTCCATTCACATATAAACTGCCAACCCCATCTGGCTCCTTTCCATTTCTCTCTAGCTGTACCTTATTGGGGGTTTGCCTTGGGTTCTGAAGGGCAAGAGGCATCCTAATGTCTTCTGATGATGATGATTTCCTAGGTATGATGTCAGAGGAGATTTTTAAGCATTGATCTCTTTTTCTCTCTCAGCCCCAGGGAACCTAATCAGCAAATCTGTTGATCTGTTTTTTCCCTCCCAGCTGACCTATGCAGCTTGCCCCTGGACGAGGGAGACTGCAGCAGATTCACACTCAGGTGGTATTATAACCAAAAAGTGGCAGAGTGCCGGCCTTTCGTCTACAGTGGCTGCAGGGGGAACCTCAACCGTTTCTACACCAAGGAGGACTGTGATCTCCAATGCAGGCACCAGGCAGATTCAGGTAGGGGACCAGCAGTGCTGCTCCTCTCCATTGCCAATAGATCTAGGACAATAAATGTCCCTTTGTGATGATTCAGCCCAGAATGTAGGTGAAAACGGGCAGGTTGTAACACCAGTGTGTTTAGATGCTGGGGTGTAGCGGTCCTGATTCCTAGTCATCTGCTTTTACCGCTCTTTCCTCTTTCTCTGCAGATGCCCAAATTGCTGCTGACAACACATCAGATACGAAGAGGAATGTGTAAACTGCCCTGTTTTAGTGGGGTTTCCCTGTCCAAGGGGGAACTGACCAAAGGGAGAGAAGACCCCACCTGCCCTCTGAGTGAAAGACTCTTACAGGCTCCTACAGGGGAACTTACCCTGGGCCTGCCCCAGGTCCCAGCCACACATGGTGCGTTTGGTCTGAGACTCTCCTTGTTGCCATCTCTGCTCCCTGCAGCGCTGCCCCACATGCCAGCTTGCTGGAGCAGAGACTTGGTGCTATTTCGCAATGAGTGTTTGTGCTGCTCTTGGTTTTACTTTTTATTATTATTTTTAAATTAAGGTGAAATTTTTATCAAATGGAAAAAAATATCTGTAACCTCTTTAAAAAGCCAACAGTTCTGAATTAGAGCTTTTTAACTTATTTGATGCTGATTAAGAACACACATAATGCGTTAGCCGGTCCAAACCTGTTCATATTGCCACTTGCTTTATTTCTGGTTCAAAGGCCTGTGGGCCCCTGCTTGTGAAATGGACTAGCCAGCTTGAATGTCTCCTAGCCAAACTGCTCCTGTGGAATTGGCAAACCACTCACTCAGTGAGCAGAGCTGTGAATGGCAGCATTGCACAAAGCCCCTGGATTCAGTGCCAAAGTTTGCATGATGTTAATTCTCCAAAGGGTAAAATCATCTTGGTTTCTGCGTGGAAGCTGCCCCCTTCCATCCCCCAGGCACTGGAAATGCTCCTTCGTGGCTTGTAACGCTGTGCTTTCTTTTCTTTTGCTGTTTGTCTTTTGGGGGGACTCGTTGGGCTGTTGGCAATTCCACCCTTGGGGCTGCCAAAGGAATAGAACATACAGGCTGCCTTCCTCTCCTGGCATATCCCAGGCATTTGGACTGTATCAGAGGAGGAGGAAACACAACCCAGTTGGGCAGCCCTTGAGTCTTAGAGATGCGATTTCACGGCTTGGAAGAGACTGGCCAGGTGTCAGTTCTCCTCAAACCCCAGCAAGAGCCAGAGCCCAGGGACCTTCTCTATAGGCAATTCCACCATTCTCAGCCTAACTCTTCTCTTAGCTCCATGCTCAGAAGCCCTCGCAGACAAGCATGTTGCAAATAGCAAAATACGGTTTACTGCTTAGCAGCGGAGATCAGCCTCTCTCTCATGGTCCGTGCATTTCCCTCTGGATCCCCAAGCAATCTGTTCTGCTCCAAAACAGCATTTCCCTCTGGATCCCCAAGAAACCTGTTCTGCTCCAGAACAGGATTTGCCAAAGGAAAGGACCTGGTTGGTGTCTCAAACCTCCATGCTCCGGTAGGACCAGACTGTTTGCACGCTCCATTCGCCATCATCTCTGCCTTTTTTTTTTTCAAACAAACCATTTTATAGTAACTAAGGGTGATGGGTAGGGCTTGTTAAAGGCACTTTCCTGTTGGCCTCCACCAAATCCTGGATGTTAGCTACATCTCCCGTGTGCTGCTCCCCTGCACTGTGTGCTGCTTGATGTCTGCAAACATTCAGTTGGGATAAAACAGCTGGGAAATTCAATTCACACCTGACTGGACCTCCGGTGCAATTTTGTGCCCAGGCAAAGGTGATTTTACAGAGGTCCCTGGGAATATCCAAGACCGCCGATTAAAGAAAAGAAATCAGGATGTTGTAAAAATTAATTTTGGATTCCAGATAAACTCTAGTCAGGACCATTTGCAAATTTCACACCATGTAGAGACTTGGGATTTGGAAAATCATGATTTTTATTTAATTACTAATTGAATTAACCTCTCAGGTTCCAGGCGGGGGCTTCACAGGGGTTAAGGCTGTAACATCTGTGCTTGTTATGCCACTGGGGGAGCTGTGAAAGAGCAACAAATCTCTCCAAGGAGACATTCCCCACCTCCTCCAAAATAAATTTCATTTGAAGAAGTTTCACCTTAATCCTGAACAGTAACCAACATTCTCAAGCAACAGTGACAGTATTGGAAGAAACCCAAACAAAGGCCAGAGCGTGTTTGTGTACGTGTGTGTGCGCGCGTGTGGATTTGTCTGAATGATGCACATTGATCCACACCCATTTTAACAAGGCTTTTCTTGAACCTAGTGGTGCTGAACCATGTTATGAGAATAATCAGGGAAACACTGAGGATGGTGCTATGCTATTGTAAGTTCCTGCCATCATACGGCATTTTAAAAAGCTTTGTAAAAACTGTTTGCAACCCCGGTTTTATACCATCACCCTTTTCCCCACCCAAAACGCTGTGCCCCCGGTTGGACATGCTCGCACTCTCTTTCAGTTCTGTAAAGTGTCAATACAAACCTCCCATCTTTACACAGCTGTTCTGAAAAGGGAAACAAGGGTACCCATCAGATCTGAAACCATTCCAATGGGTGGGTGTATATATGATATCTATATATTGCTGCACTGTGTGTGTATATATGTATACAACATGTGTCTGTGTGTCTGAATGCAAGGGAGGTGTCATTTAAAGCTGCAGTAATTGGAATCTGATGCAGTTATTGTAATGATCGCTAACGAGGGAACACCCTGGGCTAAGACACAGGCACAGACAGATTTCACTGGCTGGACAGAAGTTAGGGAGCCACAGTGTGACTTTAAAAGATTGTTTCTGTAGTCATCGGGTCATGTTCCTGTGGAGTGGCTTGAAACAGGTGTAGTTGAGGGAAATGTGACTGGTGTTTCGAGTCTAGGTACAAAGTGCCTGGCTTCGTGTGGTAGGGCAGTCTCTTGCTATTGAAAGATTGCCTGGCTGAACAGTACAGAGTAAGAACTATGCCTGGGAAGACATGCGTATGCAGCACTGTTGTGATCTCAGTGCGTTTACTGTGGATCTCCATTTTGATTACAGTTCAGATCCTTACTAAAGACTACTACTACTGTGTTTTCTGGTAATGGCCCAATTCTGAGGTCTTGGCTCCTGACACAGTCCTAAGTAACCAGCAATATCTTAGAGTTGCTGATGTGTCATGTCACCTGCCCAGCTGGAATTGTGCTGTGATGCTTTCAGCAACCTCCTCTGAATTTGTCAGGCTTAGATCTTCAAAGAATGGGTGTGAGTGCGAAGCCCCCTGTTACAGTAATGGGCACTAAAACATCTGACTCGGTTGAGGACAGACCTTCTCCCTGCCTGCATGGATTGCCCACTCCCGTGGGATGCCTGGTCAGTGCCAGTGCTTTCACAGGTATCCAGCACTGTGCAATGTGCAAGAATGACAATGGAAACAATCTTTCAGCTTTTTCCATAAAGGTCTCCTGGAGAACCACCATCCTCCTTACATCTGGGCCCATGTGACCTTGCTGTAGATCATTACTAAAGATAAACTTAACTTATCAGCATGTTCCCTGCATCTTTTGGGGGGAAGTGTTTGTCAGCATCCAGTGGTGAGTTTCACTTCAGTGTCACCTGGCAACAGCTGACAGAGGCAAAAATACCACCCTGCCTGGCAGTGACTTTAGAAGATTTGTCTGGATAGATTCAGAGAAGGGTGACTACGATCCCAGCCTCTGTTGCTTTTGTAGCTGCTCGATCTGTTTGCCACGGAAGCAAAGCAGGCAGCTGGCAACACCAACCAAAGCGTGTTACTTTGTGTCACTCCAGTTGCTCAGGTACACACTGTACAAGGCTTGTTACTGCTCCTGATGTTGAACTGCTCATGTTGGGTGGTTGTTGTTTTTTCTGTCAAGTGCCTTTCATGACATATGGTGCAAAAACTCAAAATCTGGCAAATAAAAGTTTGTGATATCTCATTTCTGTTGGGCTTACCAGTCTGTCTGTTAACGCTGTGTCTCTCCCTACCCACTACAGAACCTCTTGCTCATCACTACCTCACAGTGTTTCTTCACTCTTCACTTGCTGGAATTTGGGGGCCTTTAGAAATGTGTGTCTGTCTCTCCATCACTCGATCCAGCCCTTTTGCTTCTTGGCCTGTAATAGAGAGGAGCAAGTTGGTGCCAAGACTCGCAGCTGCCATTAAAGAGCCCCATAGAGAGTGTATGAGGATTGTTCCCAATTTGATGCACAAGCCTGAACTTGCTACTGCGACTGGCTGAAAAGTAGCGAGAGCCATCTGTCTGGGTCAGGAATATACACTTGTCATCAGTCAGCTGCAGTGAAATGACCGACTTAGCCTGTCATCCCTCAGAGTTCAATGGAGTATGCCCTGGCCAGGGAGTGGTAGTTACAGCACCAGACTCAATTGCCAATTGTCCCTTTTTGCTGGTGAGATCCCCATTTTAAGTTAACTAAATGGGAGACGATCTGCTTTCTTTCAAGGCCTTTCACCAAGGCTGAAATAATTATTTTTGAAAGGGTAACCATTGAAGTTTTGTTGGCCCAAAATACACCTAATTTTTGTTCTTAAGTCAGTTTACAAAGTCCATCTAATCTTTGTTGCTCTGTTTATATTTCTTTGAAAAACACATTTGTTTTTTTCCTTGTCATATAAAAAGCCATGACTCATGAGTGACCTGAGGATAGCAAACCAACATGAGTGCCTGGTGCTCACATGCAACTCTACTAAGATGATCCAACTCTTGGCAATTTGCCCTTCAATAACTAACCAGTACATGCAGTCTAGCATCTAGCAACCCTACAATAACAACCCCCTCTCGTTTTCTGGTGCCCAGGGTGCAGTCAGTATTGCACCAGAAAATGTCTTTATCTTCTGAGCAAAAGCAGGGTCTTTCCCTGTCACTCCAAGAAGGCTGCATTTGGTAACCTTCTCCCCGGTACCCACACTTTGGCCCCAAAGCTGTGAGGACATGATCCTTGTCATCTGGGGTTTATTGCTGAGGAATCCAGAGCGGGTGCCATGCCAACGGAAATTCACCCAGCAAACTGTCAAGTGGATGTGGTCATTTCTGCCCGTTTGGTGTGTCTTTACAGGTGCAGCCAGCTAATTACAGAAACTAGCCCACTAAGGTGAGTATTGCGTTCTGGCCCCACTCAGCAGTGCTGCACGCCTCACTCACATGACCAAGCGTGTGACCTTTTTGGGTGACACTCTGTCCATGTCAGCAACTTAGTCATCAGCAAGGGCTAGGGCATGAGCGCTACAATGCTAATGTGTTCGGCACACGCTGTGTCACTGCGACTGTGGCACTGTATAACGTTTCCGATGCTTTATGTGAATCAGTGCCTTCAGTCTAATTTCAGCTGCTCTGCCGAGCTGGCAGGCAGATTTCACTCAATAAGGAAGGCCTCTGTTCCCTGCATTCTTCTTCTCCTGTCCTCTTTATGGCTTCAGCTAGCAAAGCAGGACAGGCTGTTGGTACATAAATGAACCAGCCCTTGCTGAAGGCCAACAATGGAAGTACTCAGACCATGTAAGCAACAACACAAGATTCTCTATTACCTGCAGAGATGAGAGGCATCAAGTAGGCACATTTTTGTGTTGGGCTCAGCACTGAGAATGGGAGGAGAGCTGGAAGGCAGACTGTGCACTCAGCTCCTTCTGAGCAAAGGATGAAGGAGGGTCCCTAACAGTTCCTGGACACACCAAGGAAGAATCCACCCCTTGCCTTGTGCTTCCAGCAGAGTCTTTAACCCATATGGGAGCAGAGTGAGGTTCTGGTCTCTTACCCTACAGGTCCCCCAGTCCAGCCACTCCTTGGCCTCTGTACAGTGCTTACTCTGTACCCAAATGGTTGAGTCTATGGTAGACGTAATCTTCAGAGCACTTTACACACATGAACAAATTGCCCCTAACACCCGACTGTGAGGCAATCTCAATCCACAGGTATCTGCTGTCCCTTGTTATAGAAGAGGAAACCGAGGCATAGAAAGGGAAAGTGGCTTGCCCAGAGCCCCAGAAGGAGGCAGTATCAGAGCTGGCAGTATAGCACAGGAGTCTCTGCCCCCTGTCCTGTGCTCAGAGCACTTTGCACTTGTTCACCAGTAAAGGGAGACTCCACAGGACCCGACTTAGATCCTGCTGCTTTAGCACCCACTGTACCAAAGGACCTGGCTGTTCTATGCAGCCTCAACTCATTTGAGCAGCCGCCATCTCCCTACTCTGCTCCTGTGCCAGGCACAGCCCCCACTCAACAAAACACAAGCTAAACCGAAAATGTCTAAAAATAACCCAGCGTGGCCTAGTGCGTGACTCTGGCTGCTGGAAATCTGAGCTCGGCACACTTCCAGCCTGGCCTGAGCGAGAGCTGGCACAGCAAGGGGTATCCCAACACATGCGTCATTGCAACCACATCAACTCAACTCCAGTCAGCCTCTGAGTGGGGAGCCCCAGGGGCCGTTCAGTGGTCCCCTAACACAGCCCGAAGCCTTCCAGGCCTAAGCCGCAGAACACGGTTATTAATAGCATCAGACAAAGACCCCCAGTGTGCGTGTGGCAGGAGTAACTGGCCAGGCAAAGCAGATCTATTCATTCACAACTGGCTTTCTCCCATTGTGCATGAGTGTGAGTGTGACTGTGACTGCTGTCACCAGCCTCATCCCATAATTAGGGTCCTACCAAATTCACGGCCGTGAAAAATGCATCATGGACCTTGAAATCTGGTCTCCTCATGAAATCTGGTCTTTTGTGTGCTTTTACCCTATACTATACAGATTTCATGGGGGAGACCAGCATTTCTCAAACTGGGGGCCCAACCCAAAAAAGGATGGGGGGGGGGTCACACGGTTATTGTGGGGGGTCGCGGTATTGCCACCCTTCCTTCTGCGCCGCCTTCAGAGCTGGGTGGCCGGAGAGCGGTGGCTGCTGGCCAGGCGCTCAGCTCTGAAGGCGGTGTCCCCCGGTAGCAGCGCAGCATTACCAGACCATGCCATCCTTATGCGCTGCTGCCTTCAGAGTTGGGTCAGGACCCCCACAGTTACAACATTGTGAAATTTCAGATTTAAATATCTGAAATCATGAAATTTACGATTTTTAAAATCCTATGACCCTGAAATTGGCCAAAACGGACTGTGAATTTGGTTTCAGAGTAGCAGCCGTGTTAGTCTGTATCCGCAAAAAGAACAGGAGTACTTGTGGCACCTTAGAGACTAACAAATTTATTAGAGCATAAGCTTTCGTGGACTACAGCCCACTTCTTATGGATCCGAATGCATCCGAAGAAGTGGGCTGTAGTCCACGAAAGCTTATGCTCTAATAAA